AAAAAGGAATACCCCCCCCCCCCCCCCCCCCCCGAGATATCGACGCCGGCGATAACGTTGTGGTACATGTACAACAGGGAACCTTCTGCTTTTTTTCTGTTGTGTTTCAGAGTTTATTTCGTGTCGCGTTGCTAGTTGGGAAACTCATTGCGGTTTTCATCTTGTTTGGCCCCCGTGCGTGTGCGCATAGGTGAGGGTGCTTCACAAGGAGCCGAGGGGGCGAGAGGTTAACGACGGCGATAATTTTCTGTTCAACAAAGACTTCACGGCGAAGCTGCACCGCATCAGGATCAACAGCATCCAGCTCAAGGAGACCTCGGAGGAGAATGAAAAGACCCACGAGGCCGTATTCAGAGACCGGCAGTACCAGGTCAGGACAGGGACACGGGGATAAGGATAATGACAATTGTGTGTGTCCGTTTTGGGCGCCACGCTATCATATGACATCTTTCGGTGTATTTTGACGTGTCAGGACACGGACATGCGTGTTTTTTTTATTGTTTGCACCGACCGCGCTAGCCGGCTGACCAATGAAAACACGCCAGTCTCAGTGCGGCTGAATACAGAGAGCGTTTATGAAGGCTACCATGATCTGGGACCCCGTGAGGGGGTGTCATGGTGGAGGCTTAAATGCTCTCCATGCCTGAGCACCGTACGAATTGATTCATAACATCTCTAGTTTCGGTTACTGCTGTATCGGTTCACCGATGGCGGACTCCACTCGCTCTCTCCCACCTGACAGTTGATCGGGTGTGATGGATGCTTTTTTCCCGTTCTAAGCGTCACCTGATACGGTATGGTGCTCTCACCATACCACCCGTACGACCATTCCATCCCATCAGCATCATCCCGGTTCCCCCAATTGACCAATCAGTTTCGTCGTAACTTTTCTGAGTCTCGCTCCTTGTCCCCATCCGAAATTACTTCGTTGCGCAGGTGGACGCTGCGATCGTGCGCATCATGAAGGCGCGCAAGAACCTGGCGCACACGATGCTCATGAGCGAGCTCTTTTCCCAGGTCAAGTTCCCTGCCACGCCTGTGGACCTCAAGAAGAGGATAGAGTCCCTGATAGAGCGGGACTACCTCGAGAGAGACCCCAACAAGCCCGGGGACTACCGGTACCTCGCATGACCACGGGCTGTGGCGGGGGGGGCATTTATTGCATTTTTTTTTCGGTTCGGAACATGTGTATTTTATCCGCTTGAGCTGTCGACATCTGGGCCAGCGTCCGGTTGTTGACACATGGCAGGTATTGATTACGCCAAGATGGGGGGAGGTTCCGCTGTATCAGTTCTTAGGGGGGGGGGGTGGTTGCGGGGCGGGACTTTGCTTGTCACGTCCGCGGGCGCGGCGTTGGTGTTGCGCGGCTGCGACGTTCCAAGAACACGTATATGGGCGGTGATTTTATTCGTGTTTTTTCGAATTGGGCAGGTGTCTTTTGCTGAACGGACGGCTGGGTGTTGCTGACTGAGCGGGCGTCTTTTTGCTGAAATAATAGACAGGCGTTTCACCGCGCCAAAGGCAAGGCCTATGGTGGAGTTGGTTTTGGTTGGCAGACTGGTACAGTGCCACCGCTGCTTGGAGAGCGAGAGCAATCGCACTGTTTCCACGGAGGCAGGTTGATTGATTGCCGTGGTCTGTCTAATGGAGTGTGTCCTTTCTTAAGGCAACGGGCCCGCCGCCTGGCGTTGGGATGTCTCACTCCTTTCGCGCTAGTGTGGATTGGCGATGTGTATTTCGGAGCTTGCTATGTTGGTTTTACTAAAACTTGCTATTTTGGTTTTCGTTTGTTGCCACACAGTATTGTAGTCTGGGGGGGGATGTTGGCAGGCCATCGCTCTCGATTTGTGTTTTTCGGTAGAGGCTGTGTGTTTTATGTACCATAGAGATGATCATCATCAAAGGTTTTTCGGCGGAAGAGCGCCCGTTTCGGCTTGCTCTCCAAGACAAAGCCCGCCACACGGCCAAATAACAGGGAAAACACCCACCCACCCCACCACGCACACTACGTACAACTGCTTGCTGTATGATTGGGCCGCTTGTGGCAGTTTTCCAAGAACGTTTGGAAGTTCTTCTTTCTCCCTCTCCCAACGTGCAAGTGCAACCCTTCGGTGTGAAGTCATCAAAGCGAAGTGGCAGCATCATCCCGGATCCCGATAGGGTATCCTCGTCAGCGAGGGCATACAAACGCACCTATGCGCCGTCCTAACTAGCGATGATTGTGCAAGATGGACCGATCGACCTCGCCTCCAAGAGGGTACGATGGAAAACCAACCCGATCGTCCACACGTGCAAGGAAAACTGTTAAGCGTATTCTGAGACCTCTCGACGAGATCGTCTCTAACCCCACCCTTTCCTGGTGGTGGCCGCCTCTTGCCACGATTTTGCTCCAAGAAGCTTGGTCGTGTCACGACCCGATCCGCTGGTATCTACAAAGCCCATCATCTCCTTGTCTACCTTCACTTCTCACTGGCGGTTATCTCGGTCAGCGGCCAATGCCATCAAGGGCCCCTCTCCCCCAACCACCCCTCCCTCGCCAACGGTTCTTTAAGCCTTGCGGATTTTCTCGAGAACCTGCCGAGAAAACGTCGGATGAGATTCCTTCCCGAGTCCCTCCCACCCGTGAGCACCCACGGATTGTCAGCTTCTGAGATGGCTTCCCCACGAACACGTGACACCCACCGCTTCTTCTCCAACCTGACTACAGGACTACACTGTCTGCGTGAACATTCTATCATCAGGTGATACTATTGTAGTAACCTCAGCGCCACCCTACCTAGTGTAGTGAAAGCAATAGCGGTCCTCGAGCAAAAGCACACGACTCGCACAATCTACAGAGCGAGGTCTACGCACAAGTCCAACCGGAGTTACCGCTCCTCCCGTAGTGACCATCTATCCGGGTCAAGTAAAGTCAAGTCAGGAACCGAAATGCTCGTCGCCGGCGACGTCCGACATGGCCTTGAACTCGTACCCGCCCAACCCGTCGAATCGCAGCAGGTACTGAGCGAAACAAACACGAACGGGGGTTGTTCGCGGGAAAGAGCAACAAACAAAGTGGTCGTGGGAAAGAGGAACAAAGTGGTCGTGGGGAAACAATAGTTACAGCAGTGTTTCGGGAGGAAAGATATCTACGAGTTCACTCATGAGTGAAACGAACAAGCATGGTACAACGAACGCCGATTTTTTCGTGTGGGTCCTCATGACCCTATTGTTCATAGATCATAGAACTCGGTGAGGCCGGGATGGAACACGAGGGGGATCGCCAGCCAGGAGCGTTTTGGGGGGGGGGGGAGGGTTGTGTCCAAAACACGTCTGTCGAGCACGGGCTGGGTTGTTGTGTCCAGCTGCGCTAAATAGTGCGTGCCAGTTGGGGATGTCTCTGCTGAGAAGAGCAAACCGCAGCACACCCCTTGCTCCAAAAACTAGACCTGAAAAATCTCAACCATTATAATAATAGCAACAGGTTTGGTTCACTCAACAGCAGTCGACAGGGTTAAACAATATGGTTTATTTTCTTTTCTCATTCTTTCTCCCTGTGGTGCTTGTCTTCAAGTTTCAATCGACACCTCCTTCTCATCGTGTTTACTCGCGATCAAGCGCTGGTCACCCCGGAGACGTTCGAACCTCAATCTTACATACTTCTAGCACAGGGGTTCCGAGGATATCAACTGGGAAGACGAGCCCTCTAGGTTATCGGTGCAAGCAAAAACAGCTTCCCCAAGCTCTATTGTACCGAGCCTGGGTCTCTCTCGGTCAAAGTTTTTTCTGCCTGTCTGTCCTTGCCATTCTACCTGTGTTATTTGGGAAACACTCCGAGGAGGTGAAGGCATAGACTACGGCAGTACTCACGCCGTGGTGCTTCCACAGGCTCTTGCGGTGGGACACCGTGAAGAGAGTGATCCCGCTGCTCGCGGCTAGGCGGTAGATGTCGCCCTCCACATCGACGCTAACCTGCGTGACCATGGGGACCAACATCACGGTATTTAGCGTGACAGGACCCGTATCATGGCTTGGCAGGGGGAAGAGGGTGTGTGTTAAAGGGAACGAGGGCTGGACTGCTGTGACCGATGATACAACGACGGCTAACCCTAAGACGGCTGTGTAACAGGGAACTAGGGCTACACTGCTGTGATCCGTCAACCGACAGATGATAACAGCAGCAACGCTCCACAACAGCGACACCGCTGGCAACACTAAGACCCACACCAGCAGGATCAACGGCAACAAATACGGCACACTTGCCACAACATTGCGTCACTCCGCCGTTACTAAGCAGCGGTTGATGCAACCAACAAAAATGCCAAGAAATGGCAGAAACGCAACTGAGAACAATACACAAAAGTCTCAGGGAGGTGCAGACAGGGTCAATGGCCAAGCACTCACGGCGCTTGTGCACTCGTCAGGGAACTGCGGCGGCAGAAACGTATTTGAGAATAAAACACCAAGAAGTTTCAGGGAGGTGCAGGCGGACATCACATGGCCAAGCACAAAGGCACCACCGTATCACTCACGGCGCTTGTGCATTCGTCGAGGATGGCGAACTGCGGTCGGTGGTAGAAGAGCCTGCTGAGAGCCAGCCGCTGCTTCTCGCCGCCGGACAGGACGTCGCTCCAATCCCGAACCGCGTCCCAGCCCCCCTCCCTGTCCAGCACGTAGCCCAGCCTCACGGAGTCCAACACAGACAGCAGGTCGACGTCGGTGACTCCCTTTGAGGCTGCCTGAGAGCGCAGGATTAAGTCAGCTCATTTTTGTTCTCATGCCCGAAGGCTCACTACTGAGGTTGGACGTATTTCTTCAAGCGTTCGTAGAGATTGGGGCTGGTCGGGATACTTGGTCGCGTTGTCGTGAATGACCCAAAACAGCGGGAGTCATCGAGGGCCTCGCTGGCTACTCTATTGTACTGCCGAGCAACGGACTACAACAGAGAGAATGTGCCGATTGTTGGGGCGGCCTCAGCATGGGCGGGATCTATCGTAGCCCTGCCCTCCTCGAAGCCGGGCGCAACTCGCACACAACAAAGCTACTGCTGTCCAGCAGCTCTGCACGAACAAACACGACCCATCCGAACCTGCAGACAACACCACACACCGATCCAGAGCTCACAGAAACACAATCTCCTCGCTTGACACAGCGGCCAAGGGTGCGCAGTACAGATAAGTAGCGATCACTCTGCCCCCCACCTCTTGCCGCGTATGCGGGTAGATCACTTGGTCCCGCAGGGTCCCCAGTGCCAAATAGGGTCTCTGGGGCACGTAAAACAGACGAGATGTAGGCGGTTTCGACAGCGTTCCTCCCCGCAACGGCCACAGGCCCCCCAGCACTCGAAAGAGGCTGGACTTTCCAGACCCGTTCGGCCCCGCCACTAACACGTTCATGCCCGCCTCCACCTGGAATCCCAAGAGAAAAATGACCCGGCGGGAGGGGGGGCATACTCATGTTTCGCATGCCTCAGTTGTTAGACTATTGACCTCGAGAGGATGGAGCATTGTTCCCACAGGACCGATCACGGATGGCCAACCTTTCCTTCCAGAAAATGACCGGGGGGGTAGTTCGAATTGTTTCATCCTTTCAGAGTCAGTTGTTAGAAAATGTACTTTACATACAATCACTGAAATACTCTACACATTCGAGAGAATGCAACAATACAACAAAAGCTTTTGTTTTTCATCACTCGAGAGGTAGTTCTGGCGCAAGAAGGTATTTCGTTCATTTGTCACGACAAAGTCGACGGGGATGAGGAACAACCAACACGCTGGCAAGTTTCTGAGAACAAGCATAAACTCGGTGGGAGTTGGCGCGTCAGATCGCCCGGGGACCCTATTATCCAATCTGCGGACCCCCCCTCCTTAGAGGTCGGCGTGCTTAATCTACTACGAGTCGGCGTTAGGGAGGACATACGCTTTCGCCTCTTCCACGAGCCGGGCAGCATGCTAATGTAACAGCAAAAAATATGTGGTTCTGCCCTGGGTGGCTCATGGATCGTGCCCGTGAGAGTGGCCATGATGCATGAAATGGCTATTGTACAACACGCCGGAAGGAGCCTAGAGCCATCTATCGATCACATCTTCGCACCCCCTTGCCATCTTGTTCTACGCCGCGCCGCACCAGAGAGTAACTTATTTTTCACTTACACCACGACGTCCTCTTCGCTAGCGGTACAGTTAATGGTATTCTGCCGTCGTCCTCTTCGCGATACATACAGTAGGTAGAACCGGCCTTGTCAAGACCAAACATGCCTGCCTACCTTGAAAGAAAGGGCTTCGACCAGCACCTCCCCGGTGGGGGTCACGAGAGGCACGTCCACAAACTCGATGACGCTGTCCTCCTGCACCACCACCGACCCCGACCGCTGCAGCGGCGGCGCGCCCGGCCTGCCGCCGCCGCCACCACCCCCGCTTACCCCCCCCGTCCCCGCCCCCGCCCCCGCCCCCGCTTCCGAGGCCCTCGCGGCACCAGCAGCTTCAGGCTCGAGCTCGGGCTGCCCCAGGGCTACTCCTACCGCCGACGCCTTCGTTCCGGCCATCATCGCGGGATGGCCATCCGCGGGTGCACGTGAGATCGACGATGGGCGAGCAGGTTCCGACAATGAGGACGTCAGCCGCGGAATCGTCCCAGAAACGTCGCCGTCCTCGTTGCCGATACGGCCGGGTTCCCCGGACGCACCTTCTCGTCCCCCCTCATCCGCCGCCCAACTCGGCGAATTCCCGTCCTCCTCCGTGGCGAGGTTAACCCCCGACACCCCGGGGTTTCGTCGAGGAGGCGTTATTCTCGCCGCCGCCCGCGCCGCAGGCGCCGCCGCAATCTCTGCTGCTGCGGTAGCGTTTGCGACCGCTGTTACTGACGCCGCCGAGGGACCGTCAGCGCCCGCTGCGGTGGCTCCCGCCGCCGCCGCCACCGCCGCTCCAGGGATAGCGGCACCGGGGCTGTTCGGCACCTGTCCCCTCTTGAAAACGCCTCTGTTGGCGTCGTCGATCACGTCGATGAGGCCCGTGACCCTAGAGCTGAAGCCCGACAGGCGGGCTAGCTCTCGGCCGGAGAGCACCAGGCGGCCGAGGGCTGCCGCCAGCTTGAGCATCATCCTGCCGCTCGAGTGGTAGTCTTGTGGTGCGACAGGCGAGAAAAGACGGATAGATTGGAGGCACGCGAGAATGGGAGACGCGGGGCGCAGCCAGTTTCCTCAAAACACCAACTAAGAACTTGCACTCTTGACGCATGGTCAGCACTATCGTGAAGGTGACAAAGGCGGGTTGGCTTGCAACCGTGTCAAAAAGCGTCTTCTAGCGCAGCAGGTAATTTTCTTTTTCTTTTACAAGAGTGCCGCAAGAATCTGTTCGGCGGCTTCTCTCAGAGAATCGGAAAAAAAAAATAATTAAGGGGGGACCCGGTATTCCGATTTAAAATAAAACCTACAGGATGATTCCCGCAAAATCCAAATACCGAGCATTTTAATTTCCTTCATTGTCTTGAGCGTATCATATGTTGTGTTTAGAGAAACCAGATTTTGTGCAAATTATGTCCTTCATTGTCTTCAGCGTATCATGTGTTGTGGATAGGGAACCTTCAAGAAACGAGCGTCGCTACTGTACCACGTGCTCCGTATGACACGCACGCACCTTGGTAGACCTCAGCCGCGGTGCTGTGTGCGTGTCTCGGGTGGTCCCTGTTGACGAAGGGACGGGACACCACCGTCCAGCCCACGAGGCTAGCGAAGTACTTTGCCACCACCGAGTCCAGGGCACCGAGAGAGTGTCGGAACCTCTCCGATCGCCTCGTGACGGACACCAGCTTGTCGAAAACCCCTTCCAGCACCTGTTTCTCCTTCGTGTTGCCCTTGTAGAACGCGATCTCTGCTCGGAGAGGGATGGGCGGACAAAATTGTGACGATTCAGAACAAAAGACATGGCTGAGGGGTGGCATTGTGCAAGCGCGGGATGATCGTGTACGTCAACAAAACAGCGCACGAACTTCAGCAGCTTCGCATAAAATCGGCTTGCTAAGCAAGAGATACGCTGCTCCCGGGGTTTAGCGATACCTCAAGGGGTCTCGCGGATCGGACAACATTCTCCGCACACACCTTGCGCGTTGGTGAGTAATCGACTGTTAACGTAGCGGTACTCCCCTTCCTGCTGCGCCACCAGTGCGGTGTACATCGCTGTCGGTTTTCTGACAAGACAGGAAATACGAAGAGAGAGAGAGAGAGAGAGAGAGAGGGAGAGAGAGAGAGAGAGAGACTTTAACAATTGACAACAGAATAGGTCCGGCCGCGGCAGCCTTCGTGCTGGCGCAAGCAGTAGACATCGGCTTGTGTCTCGCGCTTGTGTCTCCCATCCAAGCGATATCCTTTGCTTCGAATAAAGGCGTTCGCGCCGCCCAAAACTACCGCCAAACTCCACACCCCAAAAATCTCGACGCGATTGCACTTTCCGGCCCAGGACCTCCGTACCACCAGCCATGGTATGTATCACGTGATACTTTGAACGGAACCGCACTGCACTGCCAACAAGTCGAGTGTGTGCCAAGTCACCTCAGAGCGCTGAGAGCCACCCCGGACAGCAGCAGGTAGGCTATCATCGTCGCCGGCGCCACGGCATCAACCTATTAGACACCAAACATATCGTTCCCATCCCGTCAACAGTGGGGGATGTTAGCGGAAGCAAATTTTTGGGGTAACGGGTAAACATACGGATTTCTAGATCGCCAGCAGCGTTCCACGGAAACAGCGGATGCAAGGTGTGCGAACAACAGTGCAAATTGGGAGTAAGGAAGGCAAAAACCGCCACGAATCGGCGAGGGAACCAGAGGTGGTGCTCAACGAACACGGCCGCGGAAGCGCATGCCATGCCCTCCAAGCGTTTATTTAACACGCCCCCGCTGCGAGGTCAATGGTCTAACGACTACGGCATGCACGACTATGAGTATGAGTACACCCCGCTGCACTCGTGATACGGAATGGCTGTTGGCTCCACCGCTCAAAATAAGAAACAGGCGGAGATACAGGAATGCGGCGGTAGATAGGTCAAGCAACGACGACCGCACACAAACACCATCATCCATAGAACCATGTCTAGTTTGCTGGGGGCCGGGTAGACCATGCACCCCGCGAAGCTACGAGCAATGAACAGGGTTGCGGTCTGATTTCACGCGTGCAGTGAGCCGGCGGGTTGCCCGCAGCCCTCCTGGGGTGGTCGGTCAGCTCACCTTGTCGGACAACCTGCGTACGTAGATCAACATGTCTAACACCGGCTTGGTGATGTTGGAGAACAGCTCCGCCATAGATGCCGCGAAACGCTCAACGTCCTGGGTAATCGCCTGACCAGACCACCAGCAACACGTTTATGTAGGGAGAAGGACAAACGATAAGCGAGTACGCATTGTTGTATTGATGGATGACGCGCATTGGAGGATCGGCCAAGGACTACCGGTAGTGAAAGCGTTTACCAGCACGGCGCCGCGTACCATGGCATGGCGGAGGGCAAGAATAGTTCAGACACTGTACCTTGCCGGAAGCGAGGGTTTGCAGCAGCGGTGTATAGTTGTCGGCGCAGTATAGCACGGCATACTACCTGCATCGTCATCGCAACGAGTCACGTAGGGCTCTGCATTGAGCGATGTCCCGCGTCATGCATCATGATTCATGCACCTGGTCCGCGTTAGCGATCCGATCGTCCAAGTTCGACACCGCGTAGAAGGTGAATCCCTCCATGTACTTGGACATGACGTGCTCCGTGAGGCGCTGGCGAAACCGCAACGAGAGCTCAGACTGGCAGTACTTGAGCACCTGTACACAAGAAAGAGACAAGCCGGGGTGGGGGGGGGTTCGTAGCATCTACGATACGCGTACCCCCTCGTTCTTCGCCTCGGTTGTTTCGTGATCGACCATCGCGTGCCGTTTGACAACGAGTACGGGCATTATCTAGTTTCTCCTCAAAAAGGTGCAAAGAGAAAAGTTTGGGTGTTGGATCAGTTTGCGGAGTGTGTGGGGGGGTAGATGCCCCTCCTGTCTCTCTCTCTGTTCACGTTTCCCGCTCTCACCGAGTTGACCACCGCAATCGGCACACACATCCGAACGAAGCGAGACATCCCCCTCTTGAACCCCTCCTTGCTTCTCTCCACGATGGCGTGTTCGATAGTCGTGGTGAGGTTGAGCATCACCACGTCGAGTGATGTCCTCGCCAAGAGCAATCCCGCCACAGCCACTGCGTGTTTTGTCCACCCGATCGACAAGCGTGCGTTTGTCGTTCCGAAGTGAGGGGTATTGGACGAACAGGGGGTTTGCGAGCACCAACCAGGCCCTGGGGGAACGTGTGCTAGGCACTATACAACACCGAGACGAGCATGCCACAGGAGAACGTCGATCGCGTCGGTACTTGCAGAAAAGTGACATAATGCCCAAACCATCTGTGGGAAATGCACGAAGAACACTGCTCGTACTGTAGCACAGACGCCGAGGATTTCTTGAAGCGTTTGACTGTGTTCAGTCAGTCGGCAGCACGGAACGAGGGCGGAAAGCAACTGCGCGTCACACACAGACCTCATCTCGGAGCAAGCCAAGGGACTGGAAAATACATAGTACACGTAACAAATGACAACAGATTGGTCCGCCTTTGAGAACCAACCCGCGGCACCTGGGCCACACACCTGCTGGAGAGAAATACACAGCAGTTCCAATGAGTTATATCTGCCTTACAAATCTTGCTGGCTGCACATGTCTTGGGGGAAGGTTACCACCCCAAGGCATGCAGGAAAGCTCACCTAAGCACCCCGCTTCTACAGAGTATGGCCCTGGGACCATCACCTTGAGCAAGCGCGAGATTCGCCGGAGGAACGCCTGGGCCATACAATAGCGGGACGCATGCAGATACATAGATAGCGGGACGAAGCAGCACACAAGATGCTGGTGAGCTTTGCTATCACTAACGTGGGCGCGTCCCTGCCGGAGTAACACACACCTTGCTCGTACGGGGTACGTGAGACTGCTACTGAGACCCAACACCCCGGCGAAAAAGCGGGAGTCTGTTAGCCGAAGGACACTGCGACCTCGGGATGGAGTTGTGATTCGAGCACACCGAAGATCAAGCGATTGGACCCGAGTATGCATACCAGAATGTAGAACAATACCAGCGCTGCACAACAGCAGTATCAGTAGTGCTTCTAGGCTACGGACTCTCCCGCGCTGGTACTCTCAAGTTTGATACGCTGTCTCTGCACGCAATTCCAACCGTTACCGCCGTTGCAGTACGCGCGGTGGGTCAACTACAATAGGCGGGGAAATCGACGAGGAGCAAAAACCCGATCACTCCACAAGATACCACAAAACGACGCAGAGGTACATGCAGCAATGCTAGAACGGTCAGAGGACATCTATACTGGTGCACATGTGCAGCTACACAGGAGGGACAACGTACACCCCGCCGCCCTCTGTACGCCTGAGGTAGTTGTACATAGACGGGGCTCAGATGTGCGTGTGCTGTTGCATGCTCCAGCGTCGTATTGCCGCCGGCGCAGTGCTGTTCTATAGACAACTCGATAGAGGCTTTACCGCATCGACTTTGGGCCTAGAAGCAGGCCGCTTTCGTCCCCTCTGCTCGCTGCTGCCGGTCGAAGAGGACGTGCCCTCCGGCTGCTCCTCTGCCTGTGGCTTGGAGAAGTGCTTGATCAAGGCGATCGTCACGATCAACGTGAGGGCGGACGAGCTGTTCGATCTCCACGTCGACGGCAAGGCTGCTGCTGCTGCTGCTTCCTTCGGTCGAGACGGCGGTGCCATGGCAGCGGCCCGCTGCCCCTATGCAAAGGGGAAGACAGTTCAGCTGTCGATACGAGCAAAGGAGTCGGGTGTCGGGTGTCAGGTATCGGGTATCGGGTATCGGGTATCGGGGCAACCGCGGGGGGGCTGGGACGCTTCGAGACTCCATTTATACGCAGAGGCGTTACTCCGAAACGGATTGACTTGACAGTCTCTCCGGGAGCGGACATATGAGGAGTATGAGCACAAAAGACACATTATTCATGAGGGAGAGGTATCTCCGGTATGTCCCTGTCGCAAACAATGCCAGCCGCTGCACGTAGGGAGCTTGTACGCTACGGTGCACATCCGGGCGTGGGTGTCATGCGTTCCGCACGTCTTCCCTTGTCGAGCTTCGATTGTAGGACGGAGTCGCCTCGAGGATACGTATATATGTTATCATCGCCTCTACTTCCTCTGCCTATCGAACCGCCGCACCCATGCCATGTGCATGCTGGCCGACCGCCCCATTGGGGGGTGGGGGGACAATCGTTCCCCCTGAATCTATTGACACTTCTGCTCTCTGTCCCCATCGTTCGCCGCGACACGCGCAATGGAACCATCACCGATCCTGACGGAAAAGGGGACTGCCTCACTTCCTCATGAACGGAACCACTTTGCACCATTCACTACACTTGCAATCGATTGCAAGTGTAGTGAATGGTGCAAAGTGGTTCCGTTTACCTTTGAACAAGATGCGTACGAGGGAGCGGTTCAGTGCGTCTTCCATGATTGACGATCTGCCGCTCGACTAATATTGCAAGTGTAGTGAATGATGCAAAGTGGTTCCGTCACCTTTGAACACAATGTGGGAGTGAGGCAGTCCCCGTTTCCGTCAGGATCGGTGATGGTCCCATTGCACGTGCTCGTAGCAACAAAGATCTCCGTGCAGGGTGGTTGGTATGCTTCAATGCGAGGCCGCCGGGCAAAGTGAAATGCTGCTGCTGTAGACTTGTAGCGCTGCACCCGCGGTGTTGAAAATGTTTGGTGGTGGTGTTGTTTCGGCCTCAAGTCCGGTTTTCAATCTTTCATCATCAATCACAAGGTGTTCTACCGCTGTAGACTATATAATCCGGATTATGTTGTTTGAAAGCGGAGGTGATACAGCACCTCAGTCATATAATAACGGAATGAATGTCACGAAATCCCTCCGTTATCCGTCCGCCTTTCGTTGAGTGATCGGGCATCGACCTTTCCATGAACATTCGTTTCGGTTTCACTTTGTTTTTTATTCCACCAATCATCTTCGCAACGGACGTGTCGACCTCATATCGTCTAAGACCTCGTTTACCCTTCTTCCGTGCAGATGTTATCATCGCCTCTAATTCCTCTGCCTATCAAACTGACCCTTCCCACGCATGCTGGCCGCCCGCCCCATTGGGGGGCGGGGAGCCAATCGTTCCCCTAGTAATTATACGCAGAGGCGTATTCCGAACGAGCACAAGGAGACATATATTCAAGAGGAAGATGTATCTGCGGTATCCCTGTCGTAAGCAACGCCAGCCGCTGCACGTAAGGAGCTTGCACGCTACGGACGGTGCACACCCTGCCAACCGTCGAAGGTCGAGATCGTGCAGTCTGCACCCAGCTGCATGTGCACAACAGTACAATTATGGAGTCATACAGCTGACTCCTACTTTTCATGTAGTCAGGTTTACTGTATTGAGTGTGTACCGGGGCTCGGTTTCCGTTGAGTGCACTCATCTTCTTGTGAACAGCCTGTAGTACAGCAGTGATATTAGCCCAGTGCGCCCTAACTTACCGGAACGTGTCAACCTCACGTCCAGCGTTGACGGGATGACACAAACACACCACACAAAGAGTACAACGCGGTGTAGGAATGCAGTAATAATAGACCACTGCAAAGCGCAAAGCATGTGCCGCGAATTTACACCTCGCCGAGACCCGTCATGGGTTCAATACGCCGAGCCGGGGCTCGCATGGTATTGTAGATGTAGACCCCAACCAAGACCAGCACCCAAGGAAGACTTAAATTTCTAGTTGCAAATCATGTGCTCGCGTGCGCGTTGGCTGTGGTGTGTCGGAAACACCACTGCTCTTGAACCACCGTGCCGTCCAAGGCACCTCGTGCATGGCACAAAGAAGGGTGAAAATCGAAAAAATGGCTGTCATGCCAGGCGGCACAAGAAACGCAGAGCATCACCGACGCGCTGGTAGACCAAACGAATCTTGGCGATTGGAGGCCCAATATTCTCAAGCTCGAGGTGTCAACAGGTCTCCCTTTCGATATCTATGGTGGATGTTTGCCCTTGAAGGTATGCGGACCACCGACTACCAACCGACTACCGAAACCACAAATTAAAGAGTTCTCTGTATCTTAGACAGGCGTACCCCACAGCAGTATGACTCACACCAAAGAATGCTACATACTCGCAAACAATCCGGAGTTTTTCGCGTGAGTGGAGCTTCGCGCGGAGAGAGTCTCCAACGATCCATCATCGAAGAGATTCTGCTATTTACTGTACACGGCAGTGACCCTGTTTTTTTTTGTTCCTGGCCTCTACAGAGAGGCGTGGTGAGAACAAACAAAACAGAAACGACATGCACAAAGGTACGTACAGCAAGAGGTGTCCTCTGTGTGGCGTACATACTCGTAATACCCATCTCTCTCGAGTATCTACTGGAAGGCAGGAAACATTGGTGGTGGCACTATTATACTGTATTACTGTAGAGGGAACGGCACATGAAGCAGTGACACTATCTGCCATGAGGATTTGATGCTATTGCATACTGTAGGAGGGTGCGAAAGAGTGGGCAAGAGCATCGTAGTGATGCTCATGGGTGAGACATCTTTCGCCCCCCTTCCGCCGAACTGCGCCATTGGTTTCCAACCGTCGCCATCGTTCCTCACCCTCTGCATGTTTAATCACGCCTTCTTCTTGCCCATCAGTCGTTTTTCCCGAGGCCGCTTGTGAGTCCGAACGTGGCGCTGTCGAGGGATGCGAGGAAAAAATAAAGGGGTGGGCGACACGAAATGAGACAGGAAAGTGAAGAATAAAAAAAACTAAAACTAAACGGTCTGTGTGCGTGGTCAAGGCAGTAGAACAGATAAACGGTAGGAAACACGAATAGAATTATCCCTTTTGTGGATCGGCTGCCGCTTGACCTCCGACTCCAAGTATTTAGGGACTCATGATCCAACATTGGCGACCGGTACGGCTGACAATCGCAGTCTATGCAAACAACAGGTGTTATGGATGTATCACCAATATCACGCACATTCTTTCGAGTTCAACAGCTGAGCATGAAACAAGATGCACACAGGACGGAACGAAAAGTACGCGCTTGAGCAGGTCTACCGCTGAATGATAAAGCCTGAACCTATCCTCGAGCAATATGAGCTGCCAAGTACAAAGGAAGAGAAGTGTGGCAGTCTTACGTTCTTCCCCACTTTCGCCGTAATTTTATTGATCGAACATGGCTCTCGTGGCACTTTCAAAAACTCTCATAAAAATTCGCTTTGAACAAGACAAGGCACGCGGTGCAAACGAGACCAAGCCAGCGCTTGACTGCCCTGATCCTATCGAAGAGCCCAAACCAAAGGGCGTCGAGGCCTCCTTCTCTCGGCACTTGTGTCTCGTGCTTTATTCCCATCTATCCTGGCGCACTTACTTGGGAGTCAAAATGACGCTGTTGGAGACTAGCGGTCGGGCTCTACCTCCAACGACATCCACGTGATCAACCTCTTCGCACCTTCACGGCAAACTCGGACTTGAGCGAGGACACGCACCCCAGGAATGGACACACGAGCCACGGAAACTCGGTCTTAGCGGCGAACCTTCCTCTTGCCGCCCTTTCGGCCCTATGCCGATCTCGGTACAGCGCCATCCAATCTCGCTCTAGCAGAGGCTGCTGCTGCCCGCTGGTATCCTGTTGGTCCAAATGGGGTTTGCGAAATTGTGCCATCACCAACTGAGTTAAGTATCGAGCAGCGCAAAATTATACAAGCTATGGTTTGACACATCGTGCGCTTCGAGAAAAAAAGCACAATGGCAAGCACCGAGAATCCATTGAGACATCTGTCTGGTGGTGCGCTACCGTGCCGTCAGCCCAATATTGGGTGTTCCACAGGAGCAGGAAAAACGCCCAGCCGGCAATGACAAATACGGAGTGTCGTTGTGATGATGCTCGACGATAGCCGACAACAAGTTGCGACCATTCGTAGCCAAAACGACAGCAACAGTAGAATCGTATCAAAAACGGCACAGCAGGTTTTCACGATCATGACTACGGCAATAAAAACCTGTCTTAGTACATACCTCAGAGGTTCGCCAGTGAACAACGCCGATCTTCCCGTGCCTTCTCCTACGCTTCGCATTCTTCCTCGCCGAGCCCAAACCTTCGGCCAAGAGCCTGTCCGACACTCCCACCAGATCCAGGTCGCTTCCAATCGCCGTTAAGGGCCAGCGTGCCTCGAAGAAGGGCCTCCACACACCGGACACGGTGAGCAGCTCTCTCCAAGCGCGATCCACGCAAGCGAGACGGCAGACTCGCTTCGGCGTCATGAACGAAAATACGCGCAGGGTCACCTCGTCCGGCACGCGGCCCCAGCCGTTTCCCGCGATTGCTCTGGCGCCGTCTACGTCTCCATCAGCCGAGTCGTCGTCGTCGTCGCTGCTATCGGTGTTGTCTGAGGAATCCCCTCCGCCGTCCCCCCTCCGGCTTCGGCCTGAGTGGTTTGTCGAGGGAAGCTGCATGTCGACCCCTGCGGCTGCGAGGGACCAACTATTTCGAAAGGCGAGACTCGCCCGCTGAAAATCGATGCCACTCGCAAAAGAAGCGCCTTCTTCGGTAACGGTAGCGGCGACTGGTCCTAGCTTTGACTCTTCGCGGCGACCCGCCGCGTTCGGTTCTCCTCGACGCGAACCCCATGGCAGTCTTAGGAGCTCGTCCGATCGGGCGAGCTGAAGATGGCCCGCCTCTTTGAGCACGTCGATGGCTGCCTCCGCCAGGGGCCGCGGCACACACGACAACGGGCGGGGGTCGCTGTCGAAAACGATCTCGAGCAAATTGCCCACAGTTTCAGGCACGATAGAGCTGCAAACACCGCCCCGTTTCGGCCGCGTCAGCAGCAAGGCGAGAGCGTGCGAGAGAGACGCCAGAACAGCCTCGAAGTTCGAGTTTTGTCGCCGTTCGGGTGCCGCGGTCGTTCCTGGCGCACCTTCTTCCGGCATGTCCAGCATGCGGAGCACAGCAAGAGCTTGCCGAGCCAGCCACACCAAATGCGTCGCCGACAAGGGGTCGCTGACATGTCGGCACAGGCAGAGGTGGCCCACGTAGGCGTCCAGCATGGGTAACTCCGGTTGCCGTCGTGCCACCCCCCTGCCCGTGGCCGTCCAAGCATCGGCATGTCTCCTTCCTCTAGCTGTTCCCGATGGGGGCCGCCACCGACCCCGAGTGAGAAACCGCCGCATTTCGGCCCCGCACCGTTCCCGAAGAAAACCGGCAATCTGAGCACCGCCGTCCCCCGCAAGCCCACCAACGAAGGACAGCAGCAGCCGACACCCGAGTGGAAAAGACGGAGGAGACGCCTGTCTCCTTGACAGTTCCGCGGCCACGAGCGCCTGCCGAACGCCGTGACACACGGCTCGATTCACCGACGCCTGAAGTAGCCGAGAACACTGCCTGAAATGAACATCCACCGCCCATCGCAGCATGCTCTCCAGCACTAGGTCCCTCTTCTCTTGCGCGTTGCAGCATTGTGGTCGCGCCCTCTCCGTCTCCGAGGCATCGGTACCCGCTGCGTTGTCCGACAGAGCAGTGGAGCACGAAAGGCATCTCGAGCGTCGTCGCCGGTCTTGCGTCTCCTCGCCTTCCGCGTCCAGCGCCAGCGAGTCGTCTTCAGGTGTGGGGAAAATCCAAAGAAATGAGTGAGGCGATGTCGCGAATGCCTCATCTGAGTAAGGTGGACGGCACATCGTACCATATGGGGCATCATACTGTTTGGGCATCGTACTGTTTGGGCAGCAAGATAGCTCTACGGAGGGAATTTTACGGCAGCAGCGTCTGCATGGCTGCCTGACACCGAGAGGACACAAGATGCCCTCGGCCAAGGAGCAACATGCGGGAGCGGGTGCAATCCCTTCGATGACAGAGTGCAGTTATCACAACGCTCAAGTATCGGAAACTGAAGCGCCCTTCACACTGAAACTACTAATGTCACCGCTCACAAGTAGCAGTACTCGACCATAACGCGACAAACCTGAGCTTATGGGTCTTGACTTGAAAGTATCTCCGTGGCACCTCCCACGCGCAATATGAGTAAGCACAAGTGTCTCTATCTACCCTAGGGAAGTCTGCCGTACACTTACCGAGGGTGTCGCACCCATCGCCGGCCACAAACCGCACCAGCACTGAGACCACCGCCTGGCACAAAGACCGAGGGGACGATGACACCAACGACAGGACCCCACTGACAAACATGCGCGTGCTGCCGAAAGCCCAAACCGCGGCACCAGGAGAGGGCCGTCGGAGGCAGTCTTCGATTGACGTCTCCAGGGTCAAGGTAGGCATGGCAGGACAAGCATCGAGAGCGCCTTGTAGACCAGACACAAGCGCCAAAAATGGTCCGTTCGTCTGACGGTGCGGGTATTGTAGTCGGTTGCAGCGACAAGGCACAGGAAAGAGCAAGTGTGAGGGAGGAGCGTGCGGGGATGCAAACAAGGTGACAACTGCATGACACGCTCAAATTTGGGAGACTTATTCATTCGCGAGTTGGGCAAGAAAACAAGAAGGGACTCTACGCTAACGTGCAGCTTGAGGGGGAGTCGATCCGATGCGTTCACCATGGCAGTCCCGACTTCAACCCAACGTGGAGCTCGATGCACTTTCATATATACACACACAGCGCTCCCTTGAGGAAGCCGTCATTTTTGTCTCCAGTTTCTCACAGCTTTCACCACCCTCACACAAATTCTGGCCTTAACATCTACCGCCCACCCCACATAAGGCACTAAATTGATGACCCATCTACAACTCGCCTCCTTGACGGGACGGACGACGGCCAGGCGATGGAGAAGGACATGGACAACCACCGGGGTGCACACAGGTAGCTCTGACTGAACCTGCTTCACCAGGCAGGCAAAGTAAGCGACAACGGTGATGCAATCAAGCGCGTGGCCGACGGACTTGGTACTACCCACCCCATCAAACCTCGGCGTGTGCGGTTGTACATGCACGGAAGGAGGGATATTCAGTATCTACGCAGTCGAAGTCTATCCGTGCCCAAGCAGCTATAATATGAAGTCTATGCGGTCAGAGGACCCATAAATGAGCATAGTAGCTCTGCCTTGGATGTACATCTAGAAGTAAGGTAAGCGTTGTGCCGAACGCTTGGTAAACCTCAACCCCATGTTACCATCAAATGGGTTATTTTGGGCGAGTCCACCCGATGAGAGCTCACCTGGAGGAGCGCCTGTATGACTTCCGGCATCAACCCGCATCCGAAAGCATCTGATGACGACCTGCATATATGAATGAAACCGTATACATATCACCGTAGAGAAAAAATCAGGTAAACTTGGGACAAACGATCCATCGCGCTTTGTGCCTGCGGCCGTTGTCGCGATGGACGTGTTGCGGCGGTTATTCCCCATTCGGTATCTACAGCAGCAGCAGGGGCAGCAGAAGCAGCAGGGTGGCGGTGGTGGTATTAGTAGACCCAATCAGGTGACCTTTATCCTGTGTACAACCAGCGTGTATACTTTCGACCTGAAGCCACCACAGTGCTACTTACAGGGCGAAGGACCGCCAATTAGTGACTCGTGTGCACCTCCTCCTCCTCCACTGGAATCTACTCTTACAACCATAGTCCAAGTCGACTTCTCCAGCATCAACGCATGTTTGGGCTTGTCAGCATATGATACAACAAACACAAAAGATCTTTCAACAGAAAGCGCACCAGTCGCAACAGCTGTGGCCCAACACCGTCGCAAAAGGCCCCTCGAAGATGAAGTGAATCCAGTCCCTATCCTCTCGTGTGCCGACCTCGCAGCTCAGCAGTAATCCCTGTCGAATCGGCACCGGATGCCGCCCGCAATGATAATGTGTTGTTGGAGCGTGTTGTACAGAACTTAGCTTTAGTCTAGATATGCTGTGTGTTCAGCAGCACGTATGACTTGCAGATCAATTTGTTTTCGACGACAAATGTTGCGGGGAACGAATTTGCGTGGTTAGCAAGAACAGCACCCATCTGCACGCGTTAGAGAGCCAAACCCAACAACGGTAAACATATGCCTCTCATGCGTCCCGCGCGGGACGCCGTACACCACCTTCAAAAAGTCGACAAGCTCTTGTCTCCAGTGCAGGAAAGCTGGGTGGTTGTCCTCGGCTTCTCGATGGACGTACATGCGTCGGAACGTTTGAAGCATTCGCGACAGCTCGCCTAGCCGTTCCCATCCCCTGGTTTTCTCCATAGCCTGCACGAGACCTGCGCATCTCCTGTGGTGAGTGGTGAAGTGTTGGTGGTGCTCACAGCCCACAGCCGCAGCTGGGGGAGGATGCGGCGTAATTAAACACCCCCGCCCATGCATCCACGGAGCCACCGGAACCCTTTTAGATCCGACCGGCAAGGATCACACCGCGATCCCATCAGCAATCGGATTCTAAGGCGGCTAGGTCTCTCCTTGGTCAGTGGCAGTGGAGGTACTGGTTACGTCTCTTCGTCACACGGAGCCGAGCGTATCTGCTGGTAGCCGGCGTTTGTTGCTTTGCAGGTGGACAAAGGCAGAGGGACGTACATACGAATAAATAATATAATTCGTCGTCTGCAGCGGCATAGCTGTCGTGCTCCGAGGTACGAGGTGAAGCTTTTAGAGCTATGGTCGCTTGCCGACATCGATACGGCTGTCCGTCATAGGCGAAGCGGCAAACGGGTTCGGGGCCATTCAGTTGCACAGGACGGACCGGAGCGAAGCTTCCATCCATGTTTTCGTCCGTGTTCGACAAGGTTGTGTCGGCGACTGCACCTGACACCTTGGGCACTTTCCCACCTCGCGGCGATCTCCCGGCATCATCCTCAACGCTATGTTGTCTGAGCTTCGCAGATCGGTTCATATCGCACTACCCCATAGCTCGAAACGCAACGGTCGATGACGTCGTCGATGGTGGTATACTACTGGGCCGTACTGGGCCTACCACCGGGATTGCGATATCTGCCGGTGATGTCGAAACCATCATGGGGAGTGCCGCTGAGCTCGGGGGACGGCTTGCTGCAGCCCTTGCCGGGACTGTTAGATCCAAACGAAGAGACCTCGCAACAGCTCCTGTCTCTGACCTTCTGGCCAAGGTTCGGGGGATCTTCGGGAACCGCTTAACGTGCATCGGACGGGAGATACGGGTGTCGCGAAATGCCGAGGCGGAAAAAGACGAGACTCTCTTGCTGCGACAGATACACGCCCTCAAGAACGCCGCTCTGGAGTCTTGCAACCGCGAGAAGTGGTGTTTTCTCGTCAGTTCTGGTGGGGAGAGCTTAGTGGTGTGCTCTGTTCCTCTGCCAGCGGTGGAGGAGGGAGGGTCGTGTGGGTGCGACTTTCTAGTATTTGACCCGTGGCCACGGCCTGCAATGAAGTTGCGCGGGTCGTACATCGTGAAATTCACTACTGTCAGGTAACTGTTCCCGCAAAATGGGGACGTTTGATGTACACGCACCCTACAGTGTGTCTGTAGATCTTCGACCTCAGTGCTGTGAACATGCCCTCAATCTCTGCACTACGGCAACACGAGCCGCACTCTTCGCAAATTGGGTGTGTTGTTGTTTGTTGTTATTCACGAGAAATACCCTTTGTCTGTCAAGTACTTGCTCCACAGAGGCAAAGACGCGAAGTTCACTGGTCGTAAAACGAGGTGCGAAACGCAAATAAAAGTAATGCACGAGGATATTCCATTACTGCTGTAGGGCAGAAATGAAATATGCTATGCTCGCAGAAATTACAAGGAAGTACATTGACCCCGTGCCCTCCTAATTTGGAAATTGAGAACCACGAAACACAGCTTGTCTCTCGACTACGTACGGCAGGAGTACCACTTGCGACAGAATCGCACTAAACCGGAGAGAGTTTTCAGTGTTGGTTTTTTTGTTTTCACCCACCGGGCACCCCAGTCTGTATGCTGGAGGTGTGAGAACTGCATACACGACTATAAAGGAAGCCGATTCAACTACTTCCTACAACAAAACAAAGTACGCACGTCATGCAAGGCGGATAGAACACTCTCACGTAGACAGATAGTGTCCCCGTGTCGCGCCATTCAACGGCAAGCCGATATCCGAACCACCCCATACCCTTGCTGTGTCCATCTCTTCTGTCGAACTTTTCAATTCGAGAGTAGGGGTCTCCAGCTGCATCTCCTGTCGGCGTTGGGGGAAATCTGGAGAAGCAGCGGCCGGTCGCAGGAGGATGGCGCGTTGAAGAAGGAATTGGTGGGTCTATCGGTGGTGATGAGAGCGAAAGGGAGGGGAGCAGAACAGCACGAGGTGGACTTGGCTGCGAGGCGCATGCTGGAAGACAGCGGTAGGTTTAGCTTGGATACACAGCAGTTGTGGCCATATGAGTGATGATCTATTGAATGAGAGTACAAGGGTGTCGTCGATGGGATACGTGTCATCTTTGAGGTACTCCGCTGCACTCCAGGCATGCCGTTGCAAGAGCATTTGGCATGTCAGGTATGCTAGACCACTCAAACAGCGAAAATTCATCGGCATGGTCATGTAGAAAGGTGTGATACCTACTTTACTTCACGAGCTGCAAGACCGGTGTTCTAGCGCTGTACCTCTCTCGTATCCCCGCTGATCCATCAAAGTCCAATCTGTCGCGCCTTGCTGTTCACGACAACCTGAACGTTCCTCCTCGCATCGGCAGTCACGGCTTTGCGGAAGGCCGAGAAAGCTGCGGCCATCAAAATAAAGCGGCAAGAGGTAGAGGCTCTCCGAAAGGCGCTACGAAAACCATCGCAACAACAGCACCTGGCTCCCTCCGCGCCTATATCGATTGGCATGTTTGGATCAACCGATGGGGCAAGTGGGCTTGAGAACGTAGACAAAAGAAACAATCCATCCACGGGGGGACGATTGTTTCAACGAAGCGTGCACAGCTACCGTCATCTGGAGCAACCTGACGAAATCTCGGAGCGATCCAACCTTCTTGCCGAAACATCACCCCCTGGCGGTGGTGGCGCAGGAGCTCTAAACCCACACCGTGAAGATGTGGCTGGGAATGTCGCTGAAGGAGTAACACCGGACATGTTGCACTCAATCTCGCTCGAAGCTGGGCTCGACGACCGACGAGCAGCCGACGACGGGAATGTAATCTCGACCTCTCGCGATTCGTCGGCCGGCCGACGGAACCTTCGTCCTCCGGCAACGGACGTTTCTCCACCTCTCTCTTTGCGGAGATCGCAGAGGGAGGAGGACCGACGACGACGTTGGTCCGAGGAGGATGACACTATTCTCCCTGTCGACAGCGGACGTAGCCGTGGCCTAGGCGTTGCGACAGCGAGAGAGACCCCTGCGACAGCCTCGAAGAGAGAACAAGAAGTCTCACTGCCTTCGACCGGGAACGCACACAACGAAACGGCCAAGCGTCCTAGAGACAGAAGTATTGATAAAGGCGTCTGCCTGCCGAGTCGTCCCGGCACCACGACGGTCCGCGACGACCCCCTGCACCGGTAAGACAACGCGTTTGGTACCTACCTCACAAGGGCATGATCGAAAGTACATTGTGTAGCGGCGGTGTGCTAGTACCGTGCTGATGATGCGCATTGAATCCTCTTCTCCCCCCTGCTCCTTAATTTTCATCGTCGTCGTCGTCCAGTGCCCTCCTTCGGTCGATCGAAGGCGAGGGGCTGGCGGAGTACAGCAGGCGCGCCTACAGCGTCTATCGGACACACGGGGTCATTCAAGACAGGACAGAGCCCGACGAGTACCTGGCACCCGAGACTAAATCATTCCACCAGCTATCACGGTCGGCGAATCAGGTCTACGACCACCGAGCGACCACTTCGCCAGCCACCGACGAGTTAGACATGATGGCGTCGTCGTCAGAGAAAAATTCAGACGGAGCGGGTACCACGGCATCGGTTGCAGTGGAAGCCGACACAAAAGAATTGCGGGGAACGGAGAGTGGTCCAGTAGGCATGGATATTCGCTCCGACCCGGTCACGCCCTTTTCTCCTCCTCCTGTTTCTCCACAACTCCTCCGGCCAACCGGCAGGCGGTCGCCTCCAACAAGTGACGAAAAGAGAACCGCTTTCGCCGCAACAAGCGACAGTGATCGCCAAAACCTCGGTGTCTGTGAGGCCGCCGATGTTGCGTCACACATCACCAAATCGGAGAAAACGACACCGCCGTCAGAGGGACTCCGGTCAGGACTTCGCGCCCCGCGAGCCGGTCGGAATTTGGGATTGACTTCTTCAGATGCCCGCCGTACTCCCGGCGACCACCGTGAAGGACGGCTGACGGGTTTCCGTGGCGATATGAGGGGGAGTGAGTCGCCGCCTCCGCCTCCGGCCACCACTACTGTGCCTTCGCGTCCGAGAGAGGCATGGACAGAAGAACAAACGATCGTACAACAACACGACGATAGGAATTTAGAGGAAGATAGGCAGGACCCCGACTTGTCGGGTACACCAGCAGGCGGTGGTGCAGCTGGGGTCGTTACTGACGAGAACGGCGACGATCACTCCGACCGCGCTAGCGCCGCTCCGAATAAACCGGTGACACCTAGTGATGGAACGAACGGACAACGTCGAGCCCGCCGTCAGGCGAAGAAGAGCAAAGGACCTAGAAGGGCACCCAAAGAAGGTGCTGCCACCGTGCGGGAGGCGCGAGTCGGTTGTGACACCGAGAAGGGCAGCCGGAGCGGCAATTGTGCTTCTCTAGACCCGCCTAGAAATGACGAAAACGCCCGCGAAGCGGAAAGATCAGGAGGAGGAGGAGGGCGGTCAAAAGGTAAGTCTACCACCGTTGCTGGGTGCGTTCCCATCACCACCCTCGCTTCCGCCGATTCGGGCCGACCGAAGGCGGAAACGCACCAAAGTCAGGCTGATGGTGTATCTGCGCTGTGCTTGGAAAGCGTGCCTGGTGGCGCGTCGGATATGGCACCCGCGCCGGTAGAACCACCGCCTCCCGTCACTGGTGCGGATTGGTTAGATCGTGTTGGGACCGGTGTAACAAGTGGCGCAGGGTCGGCGGAGGGACACGTATTGGGTGGAACAGGGAACCCTTCGGAAAACCAGGACTTTGTGTGGTTTGGGCAGCCGGACACCCCTCAACGGCAACAGCCTAATGAGGGCGACGAGACGGGAACTGAAGTTGCTAGCGCAGAAAATGCTGCGGGAGCGGTGGCGGCGGTAGTGGCACAACAAACTGGTCGGAATCCTTCTTCTTCATCTTCTTCTTCTCCTTCTTCTTCTCCGCAGCGGCACCGATCGAAAGCACGGTTGTTGCTTCAGATGGAGGTCCGACGCCAGAGAGATATCATTGAGCAAGCCGCTCAGGCACGGGAAGAAGAAAGAAGGCTCAGGAGAGCCCGGATAGGTGCGGAGGTGTTCAAGAGAGTAAAGCACCTTTGTCAGCGACGCACATCAAGCCCCCCGGCCCGGTCAAGTTTCTCCCCAGCGCAACAACTGCCCCCCCACAAGTCAGCACCTTCCGCTGAAAACGGCCAGATGAGTGACTTGCAAGTGCCCGGGGATCGTGCAGAAGGTACAACTGTGGCATCACCGTCCCACCCTGAAAAGTCTGTCAAGGCGTGGGGATTCCGGCCACCGGAAGTCGTGGGCCATCTCACTGAAGTCACTTCAGTGAAGGCCATCCGACCCGACATCGCTGCGCCTAAAAAGGGCATCGCTGTTGTCGGCAAAGAGACAACTCTTGATGTTCTGGCACCAGCGCCACCAACCGAACGAGAAGGCGCCCGTGGCGTGGCGACCGCAGCCGAAAACCCCTGGCGACGAGTTGTGAGCCAGCAGGAGACCCACCTTGAGGGCTACGGGCCTGCGAAGAGGGAGCCAACCCCGCCTTCGGTGAGCTTCGATGTCGATGTTGATGGTTTTGGGGGCCGGGCGGAGCGGCTGGATGGAGCCTTGAGTAGGGAGCAAGACAAGGTTCGACGTCAAGAGAGGTTCGAAGCCCTGCGCGCGAGGAAACTGGTGCAGGCAGAGGTGAGTGTAGTTCGCCGCAAGTGTTCACCTCCGTACTTATACCAAGCCCAGCCTGAAAGCGCACTGGTGTGAAAAAGTTCGACGGATGTTTCAGCCTTGGCTCTGATCGGTCTCCCGAAAAGTAAGTGGGATCCATAACTTGTTTGCGACCAAGCTGATGCCGTACGTACGAGACATGATATAAACCAGAGTGGTTAGGCCAGAAAAAACCTAAGGGTTGCCGTGCAACGAGGAGGCCTCCGTTCGTCTTGAAACCTTTGTGCGTTATTGCTATGGACATAGGAACGGAGACGAGGCCAGAAAGAACGGCAAGTCGCGGCAAGAGAGGAACAGCGAAGACAAGAAGCTGCTGCTACCGCTGCTGCTGTCGCTGCTACAACTCCCGGCGCTGACCGAGAACAACACTACCAATTTTCGAACAACGACCCGCGGCGACCACATTCATCACACCACGCGTCTGCTGCGGTCGACGCATCGGTGTTGCGAAATAAAGGAAAAGAGACTTCCCCAGGAATGTCGGTTTTGCGACCCCGTTCATCGAGTGTGCCAAGAAACGATGACGGTTCCGTCAGAGGGGGCACCCGCGTCCTCGGCGACAGCAATGGTAGTGGCGGTGGCGGTGGTGCAAAGTTGCCGACGCCGGGTGCTGGGCGCGTTGCCTCGCCCGCTGTCCGAGGCCTGTCACGACGCTCAAACCGGAAGCTGGTGAGAAATGCCATCAATTTTCTTTGCCTGGCCGGGGGGCATCTCCAGGAGAGGAAGGCGCGAGCGTTGGAGGTATGGGAGCTTGTGCTTCATGTGGGCAATACAACGTAGACTGCATTACTTGGGTTGATCTCGGGGGTCTCCTTAGGGCGCGACGAAAACACATCTTTCTATCTCTCTGGGTGTCGTTTTTTTCTGCGCGCTATCTCGTACCCGGTGTGAAGAGAGATTCCAGACGTTTTGACTCCTCCTCCCCCGACGTGCCGTACATCTTGCAAGTACTTTAAGTGGTGCGCCATTGCGTGGTTCCCCTTGTTAATCGTCCGTTCTTGGCTGGTCTTGGTACCTACGCACGCCCCGTCCGACCAAATTATTTTTTACAACCTTTTGAACTAAACAGTACAAACCACGGGGAACTACTGAAAAAACTTTCCAAGGAAACACGACAATGGGTGCAGGTGAAGGGTTTGATCATGGGGGGGGGGCGTGTGAGGTCTCTTACTGCTCCATACTAACTGATGCTCCGCTATACTCCCCACCAGGCTTTGGACTCCCATCCGGCGTCTAACTTCATCGTCTTGCTAGCCCACACCAAGCTCCTCTCGTTCAAAGGGCTGTACGCATGCCGCGGGGAGGACGACGGTTCCGCGGATCGTGTCTTTGGCCTTGGTCCTCCACATGTGGATGCCACCATGGTGAGTGTGAGACATAGCAGGCGTGAGCAGCCTTCCATCCGTGCTAGTGTATGTACGCATTCATCGGGAAAAAGTCCGTCAGAGTTGTCGGGAATCTGTGCGGAGTATTCGCGAGCTACTTCTGTAGGATTCGGAACTGTTTTGAGCCCACCACAAGCATACCCTGAGTTGGGTGGGTCCATCGATCTTTCATGGGTGGCGAGGGGGCGTGGCTATCCTTTTTTTCTTTCATGAGCATCCATTTGGCGCCGGGCCTCCTCATGTCTTCTGACGCGCAACGCCGGCGCCGGCACCTCGTCTCTTGCATTCGTTGATTGATCAACTTGTCGGACCTTTGAACGTCTTTGCACACGATTCGCACGTAGGCTTCAGGATTTTACAAGTACAACTCGGCGGCAAGAGAGTTCCGCGAGGTGCACAGCAAGACTCTGGGCAAAACAACGGACGCCATCAGCATGGAGCCGACGAGATTAAAACGACCCAAGGGCTTTGTTACACAATGACTGGTCAGCTGGTACCACCTGCATCATGCTGAAAACCGGGTAACCCCACCAGCCACGCCCCCTCGCAGCTCTACTCAATAGGATCACTGTATTCCACCTATTTGGGGACAACATACTCCACCTGGTATAGTCTACATAAGGTAGAGGTTCTTTACGCGTGCTGTGATTTGCATGGAAAGTTTAGGGATGATCACTAGCCGTGGTAGCTCGCGTTCGGCAACCTGCAAGCGTAAATTGAAACGGTGGCCCAGAGCGACTCCATACGAGTTGCAGAGGAAGCGCATATGTATTTAACGAAAACGGGAGCGCATGAAGGTGGCCGCAAGAGATGTAAACATGATTCGAGTTCCTGCATGTGGGAGTGCTAGCTAGCGTTGACATGCCCAGCACTCCAATCACAACTCATCCGCAACGCGCATGCTATCCGAGAATGAGTAACCGCGCGAAGCGGTGCCCAAAGGGTCGGGCACGGAGCGCGTCGGGACCACAAAAAAAATGCTTTGGAAGGCTTGCCTCGAACGAATGCGTTGATTGTACGCCGGAACCCCCGAACGGTGGTCCTTCGTTCGTGATCTGGAGTTGTTCCAGGAGGGAAATCGCACATATGTGTGTTCTACCTTAGCGCGGTCCACAAAAGTCTTTACGATTCTCCTTTGGGCGCCAGTACTTTGAGGCGGGTCTCCTCGGCGAACAGCTTAACGAAGTTACAGCATGATCGAGGGTCTCGATTGACCAAGTTGACTTCAGAACACCCCTTTTTTCATGTTCAAGCGCGTACCACGAGTGGCGTGTGGCATTTTCTTGATATTTTGTCGATCACTCGTCCTACTCGAGGTGGCGTCGAACTCGGACGCCGTTAGTTCCCGGTCATCACCGCCCAGGACGTGGCACAGAAGGTATGCCTCGTTTGCAAGAAAGAACACGGCTTTCGCGGCCGGCACGCTACTATGAGTACAAGCAAAGCTTGAAGAATCTTGACCGTAGTCCTCATGTAGCGTATTTACTCGACATCTCCCGTCCACGACGTTGGCCCTTAAACACCTGCGCCCCGCGCTGCCGCGTCTCTATCCTTGCCTCGTCTGTCGCGACCTTCTCTTAAGACGTTTGTTCCCCGATGGCGTTGCGCCGTCCCCTCAAAGTCGATCTTGGGACGCTGGCTCCCTCTGGATGGGGTACATGGGCCCACCATGCCTCTAGCCTTGAAACTCTTGTGTGTCTTGACTCCAACGTGCACAGTCTAGAGCCTCATCGACAGCCAAGGCGACCCTCAAACTCCCCGTTGATGGAACCACACAATTTTGGCTGCACTTTGGCTGCGTGACCCCGATAGAAGCAAGCCCATCAATCGACAAAGGGTCCCAAGAGTTGGCCTGTGCACTCCAGAGGCCGCCCCGCAGACGCACCACCGAGCAATTATATTTTACTAAAAATCCTCATCATTGTGTTAAACATGTTGAACTGTTTTTCTCACCCTAGCCAAAAGTTCTTCAAATGGCTAACGAAGCGTTACGCCGAAACAACGCAAACCGTTCACTACCCTTTCCGCGCTACTGCCCGGAGGGCGACTCTTGTCGTTTCCTTCTCCCCGCGATAGCCTGAGTAACTTTCGCTAGAGAGTACGACGCCGACTTGAGCACCCCTGCCGTCAGGAGACCTTTCGCTCCTTGCCGCAGGCTAGATCTTGAAACCACCGTCGCCAGAGCACGAGAAACTTCCGCCGTCAGCGGAGCTCCACCGGTAGCAAGCTTGTTTCCAGCTGATCCGCCTTGGATAGAAAGCAGTGGTGTGACGTTGTTGTTTAGATAATTGCCCCTTTCTCTACATTGCGCGACTCAATTGCGAAATCGCACCATCTTTGTGCGTGTGTGTGCCGCGGCTGGTGTGTCAGGTTCAAGGTGAAACTCTGCCATTGCAAACAAAAACAAAAAAAAAGTAGACAACGAAGCTAACGCAGGGAACTTGGGTCATTCAGAACGACAAATTGGCGTTGCTTCGAACCCAGAAGATTACCGCAATACCAGGAATAGGCGGTGCGCCTGGACCAATGGAGCGAGGCTTGTGACCCCAGCTTAGGCTCGAACGCTGTCCCATCACAGGCATGTCTGCCATAGCAAGCCATACGAGGCGAGCAAGAAAGCCCTACTGGATGGGGTTTGATTCACGGAGCCCCACCTTCCCCCAAAGGAAGCAGTCCTCGCACGGCCCCAGGAAGAGACCTCGCCAAAGCTAGTCGGGTGGTAGGCGATACATCCTGGTCATAGGAGGAGCAGTCAGACCCCGTTGCGGTCATCCCCGGAATCCCCTTTGAACGGACAATCACGAGCAAAGTTGGGTGCGATTCTCTCGAGGGTTAGGCTTCCACAAGGGACAAATCAACGGGGCATAGAAGTATAACTGTATGGCAGCAAGGCAAACCGCTAAAAGCTTGGCACACAAATGTGCATGGAGGCCTTTTTTCACCTTGAGGGCCGGCGCATACAGGTCTTGGAACCTTCCCAGGGTGGCGCTGACGATGTTCTTGACCTTGTCCGGGTTCTCGCCAAAGTACATGCGGAAATCGCCTGAGGGGAAGCGAAACCAAACGTTAGAGATATGGGCATCCAGTGTTATCCATCGTGTTCACAGATCTTCATGTGACGCCAGGTGTGCCGGAAACATACATCAAAGGCGACAGGTGTTCAACTGTGCTATTCGTCTCTTCAGTTTCGAACCCTCCCCCTCCCTTCCGCTTCTGTAGCGGTGTTGATCGCGACGGCTGGTATCTTTGATTCGATGTCATCGACAGACACCCTTGGTCTTGGTTGACACTGTGCTCACCCGTATAGGAAAGTCCCGCCACGGTGGTGTAAAACTCTTGAGCACTAAACCGCTCCGGAAGCAGAAGCAGCGAAGCCTTCGCCGCGGACGAGAGGTTGCCTTCAATGATCGCCGAAGCTTTATGGTTTCCTTGGATGATGCGCACCGGCTTTTGCAGCCTGGAAACAAAACATTGCGCAGTCCGACGTTAGCGTTCGCACTGCATATACTACGTTGTAGTTGTGGGGCAACGTGAAACTGTCATTTTTGGAGACGTATATCCTGGCTAGTCGGAACTCCCTGGTACTGCCGTATTGTACCCCCCGCTGGGATCACCATTCAGGACTGTACACCTGCGGCTCGCTGTGCCTTGTGGCTTCTTCTATTATAATATTTATGGCAAGCAAGGTACGCTCGAATTTCAGGAACAAGAGAAGGATGGCGCGGCTTTCGCTGGAAAGTAGTTATCAACGTATTTTTATCGAGCCGAAAACAGACAAAATTTCATCCCGCGAGAAATGAGGTGGGATTTAAGATGATACACCGATCATGGCACAATACAGTGTCCAGTTTGAACTGAATCAGAACCACCCGTGTCATCGGTAGCACTGGAGTAAACACGCAACCAACCATCCTTGCAGATATGTTTCCTGAGGGCCCATATAACATACCTGCCGGCGGTGTAAAGCCAGGTCCAGTCGGTCAGATCCTCGGCCAGATGCTTCGTACTGATGACGCCGTACTTCATCGAACGACCTCGGTGCGAGGTGGTCGACAACGGCACTAGGGCGTTGTAGTACAGCTACAGATGAGTGAAACGTTTTCGGCACGGAGAGGGATTGGATGAAAAAGATTGGCGCTGAAGGTATGGTGCAGGCTCATGCACAAGTAGGTTGCTCGATGGTGCGAGCAGATCAGATCGCCACATGGTGGTTGCGGCTAAAATGTCACTGCTAACGACGCATCCTTGTGTAAGCAACCACGGCACCCGCTTCATTCAAAGACCAGACGCAGGCATCGTGTCAACGGCCGTTGGCGCAGCGAGGAAGTCACATTACAGCAGTACATACCTTTGCTCCGAAGCCTTCTTGTAGCCAAGCGACTCCACCTGCACCAAACAATCGTGCCAGTCCAGAGTAGTGATCGCGGTTCCTGCAAGCGCACGCAAGTGCACACCCCGGTGACACGTCTCATGAAACTCTCAATTCTCATGCGCCGGTAACAAACCTTGAAAGCGAGGAACAACTACTGCTGTCGTCGCGCAGTGCACAAGCACGTGCTAATCTGTGAGCTTGCGCGCTATCTTCTGCTCTAGGACGTGCTCACCTTTTGAGGTTGGCCTTGTGCCAAGCCTCCGAGTCTTCGACGGCCAGAACGAGGTCAAGCATGGGCAGATCTGAAGCGTTGGACACATTCTCCGCATAACCCTGCCGCATCATATGCACACACGAGCAGAAAAAGTCAGGTGAACTGCATGCCGGTGAATCCGTATGGCTCGCTGTACCTTGAAGTATTGCACTGGCTTTCCTGGGCGGACAACACCCCGCCATTTATAGTACAGGAAACTCTAACGCCCAGAAGGCCGAAGACCCGCGGAAAGGCCGCGGAACGTTCTTGCGGACGCCGCGTGCTGAGCCTTGCCCAACCGCGAACGGCTCCGCAGTTCGATCGTTCTGCTGTGGGATTCTTCAGCTAGAGCCACAAAAAACAAGTACGCACCAATTGAGCACTGACTGCAGTCCCGTGATTGCCCCAATTTGGACAGGGCACACTGCTCGCAGTGCCTCTCTGTGCAGCTCAGATGGAGCAACGGCTGTGCGGTACCCACCTGTTGCTTGACCACGCCAGAGCCGTACGCAAAGGCGAACTCTGCCTCCGGGAAAGCGGAGATAAGCTCGCCAAGCTCATCGTCGGACAAGAACTGCGTCAGCCTTGCCATCTGTTTCCCCCTCTCTCTCTGACGGCATATGCATACGGCTGTGGTCACTCGTGTCTTCCTCCTGGTTGTTGCTGCTTTGTTTGCGAGCGCGATGCTCGCGTGATACCACGAACCCCCCCATCCCCCAAGGGTATATTTCTGCGATTCCCCCTCGTAATTCCTCCGCATGTCTCCGCACTTGCGGTGCGGAGCAGCCTGCTGGAGGGAGGGCTTGGCCCAGCACCATGCGTTCTGGAGCTAGGCTATGCACACTTGTGTTGTGCGTGACTTGTGCGGTCGTTGGTGGACAAGCGGTACGTGTGCCGAAATGGCATAGAGATGATGGCCACATGGCAACTACGCTTGAGCGGGCCGTCTTGACAAAATTGAAAATTTGAAAGAGACAGCGGCGAAGTCAACTCCACTGACATTTAGACTGCAGACTACACACAATGCATAGATGTCATGACCTCTTGACAACAATCGCCCCTTGCTTACAGCTGACCGCGAGAGCACTTTCGCCCAAAAAGATTTGATGGCTTGGGGCTTCAGGAGAGAGATGCCCAAACAAACCATTGGTCGGTAGTTGGTCAAAGGGTCGACATACTGGCTGTTCCACAGCGCTGTACTTCAAAATCCACACGACTCTTCGGGGTGACACGTGTGCGCACTTCATCCGCATCTCCAGGTGTGGATGAATTTCGTTCACTCGTGCATTCGTAATTCGTACAAGTATCCGTGTGTACACGTGCCCGCGCCGCGGATCTGTACACCACGCCGGCTCTGCATTCGAATTTCGATTTTTTTTCAGTGTTCACAACTACTGAGCATGGTTTTTATCCCACTTCGCATACACAAAGCACAGTTAAAGGTTCTATTCTGTACCTGTGACCTTCGATGTCAGTATATCGCTCCGTTTGTCCGTGCGCGCTCGTGTATACTAGGGCCCGCAAGATCAAGAGCATACGGCGGGGGGGAGGAGGGGCGGGTTGTTGGGGCGGGCATTCCAACAAGCAAAGCGCATAGGGGAGATCGTCGACCCCGATGCTGTGGCCAACGCGGAGCAGGCTTGGAAAGTGAGGGGCGCCTGTAACAAAGAAAACACAAGCCAATTTTTATTGTGTATGCATTTCGATTTTATCTTCGGCCCTGCCGATTGCAAGGCGCTTGGTATCCCATTCGTACCAGACGTGGTTTGACACCATTGCACCAAAGGCCACTTATTCCCAACCGTTCTGTATCTTAAACGCGCCGTTTGCAAAGAGCGGCGCACACGGCTATTACCCAACGAAACCAAAGCAACAGGCGATGGTCCATGTACATAGACAACATTTTCTTAGCAACCCTTTCTGCCATCCCCTTCACCCCAGGAGCTTGCACCCGACTTGCGGCAAGCCGCAGACGACCTTCTCAGAAGCAAGGAAGAAATTTTGTCCACTGGAACGGAGGCAAGAGGCATCTGGTCCGCTGCCAAGGAGGCCTGGTCGGGGTTAGGGGCGGTAGAAAGGGATAGAACAGCGGCCGACAGCAGTGCTACCTTCGCGCTGGAGAGGGAAGAAGGGGGTTCTGTCACGGTTGGATGGGAGGGCCTCAAGAAGGACATTGAAAGGGCAGCCAAAGGGGTCTTCGGTGATGTGAGCGTTGAGGGATTTGTGGTTGACTGCTTGAGGTGGTGCATTGGCCGATGCCATTGCCATCCTCACACGAAAGGATCACAACAGCGTGCGAACTACAGAGTCCTTTGCATGTGTGAATGAGACTGTTTCGGAGCAGTGGGTAGCCGAAAATGTTTTTCGCTTCGCTGAGGTAAAGAAGAACGTTAAAACGTTTACACGCTGAGTTCAGGAGGCGCTCGGACAGAGAAGAACACTCTACGTGAAGCGCTGCCCGTGCCGTTGCCACTGTCGAGACCCTCACATCGCTCCCGTACACACCTCACTGCTCGCACAAGCCAACTGGCGGTTTCATTGTCACGTGTACACAAGAAGCCTTCGCTTCGTCTGACACACAGCACTACTCGCGAAACGACACCATTGTACAATCGAAGGTCTTCGGAGAGGCAGCCGACGAAGTCTTGGCATCTTTCGAGACCCGTCTATCAGAGGCCCTGTCGGAAGGCAACGTTCGCGCGGCTTCTCAGCTGTGGCGTCGCCTGCTGGACACGCCGGGGGTACAGCTTCTCGCCCAAGACGGGCGGTTGTGGGCCGGGGCGGAAAGAGCGGTGCGGCGGTACCTCAGCGGCTTCTTGAGCGAGAAGTCGGCGAAGGAAGCGCAGAGAGCCGTCAACGCCACGGCGAACTTCGCACTACACTTTGCGTAAGCGCGTATGACGGCAGTGTTGAAGAATTCTATTTAGTCCGTTTATTTGGCGTGCTTGGGATCCACGATGCGTCGTGCCATATCCGTACGCCGGTGCTTTGGTTGACCTTTTGACGGCCCAGTTCATTCTTCTCGTTGGTGGTGAACACGTGGTGAGTGTGTGTGTCGTCCTATGTAGTCTGGACGTCACTTTTTTTGCACCTTACCGTGGTTTTTGTCTGAGCGCATCAGCGGGCGTGATGAAGGAGCAATGAAGGCCAAAACAGAAAAACCTGTTACATATTTTTTTCTCTTTTCTCCACCTTCGGTCTTGGTGCTTGCCTTCGCTGCTATCTGGAAAAGGAGACAACCGCTTCTTTCCCTCGTCGACCATGATTTAATCGCTTTCGTCTGTTCTGGGCATTCTATGAGCAAAAGGGCCCATGGGTGTGACTGCGCCGAAATTCGAACGCCCTTCCCAAACGCGAAAAGGTTGCGAGGGTACTCAGCCACTGTTGCTTGATCAGTGGGTACTGTCGGAAGGTTCTGTAGACAGTGGGTGTACTTGCAGGATGGTTTACGAGCCTTCTTTCGCAACGCGCTGGCGTGTCGCGGCACTCTTGCGAGCGTAGCACCAACTCGAACCAAATCCTTGTCGACGCGTTGTGTCTGTGCAGTGGATTGAGTCGCAATGCCGCTAAGAGCGACCACGAGGTGTTCGAGGAGCTGTCCCACAAGCTCTGCCATCTGCAGGTGCGCGAATGGTTAGCTCAGGCTGTTGCCGAAACCACAGCTATCGCATGCCGTCGAAATCGGCACAACATTACAAATATCGCATCCATCTCGTATTCATCGGCAGCTCCAAACACCCAAATCTTGGTCCTGAGACTACTTGCGAAGCGCGATATTTAGCTTCACAACGGAAGCTGTGCGAGCAGCTTTGCTTTTTTCCTGCCTGATCGCGCACCAACTCCCCTCGTCCCTACTAGACGCGCTTCACACAGCCGCGTCAGGCCATTCCCAGGCCAAGTTATGTAGATCTCTGCTTCTGTGTTGAAAGCTTGAGGGCCTTCTCGTTTTCAGGTCTTGGACGTTCAGCTGGTTGTCTCCGCCCATTACTCAGCGGCTTGTCGTTTCGGGTCCTTCAACGCTGTCAACTACGTTTGTGTAGAGCTGATGGGGAAATAGTTGGAGGAGTGTCTCCTTGATACGGAAGTGAGCCAAGTGTCGTCGTCGCTGATTCGATGTGCTTCTCTCCATCCTCCACCGTTCCATGCACCCCCAACCGGGCGGGAATCCTTCAAGGGTGCTGCCGAAAAGCTTCGGCCCTTGGCGGTGCTTGCTCTACCCTTGCTGGGATACCAGGACTACGCCGCAAAGCTCGAGAGAGCGATTAGATCTAACGCTCTGTCCAGGTGACCTGAGATACCTTTGGGACTCACGTCAATGTCGAGGTTTCCAAGCCCAACGAGTTAATAACCTGACGGTTCCAGGCGATACGGTTTCGACTGTTCTTGTCCCTATGCAGACACCCGAGTCTTGATGGAGTAGGTCTCCCCCCACCGGCACCGAAGAACGTTGTTTTTTACTTTTTGGTTGCTCCTCGCCAGTGGTATAGTACCGATCGTCGCTTTGGCTGCAATCGTTTTTTTCTGATGGGAACTACGCAACCCTCATGATGTGGCTAAAAGTATCGAGCAGGTCCGTTCTTCCCAGACACACCCTGGTTAAGATTTGCCAGAAAATGGTTCACACAGCACCTTGTTTTGTCGAATGCAGCGTCCGTTTGCCTTTGATGGTCTGGTATCCCCCGTTTTTTTTCTTTCTGCAGGGTAACGCAGACCGTCTCCGCGAGCGTGTTGTTGGGCCTCAATCCTCGTGATCCTTTCCTCCTGACACTCATCGCCTCCTTCTCCTTAGGACACCTCTCCAAGGTGAGCAGTGCAGACAGATAGCGGTAACGATACTCTTTCTGTTCGTGTTTGGCTTTTCAGCTTGTGTGGGAGCCGAGTGTTCGGACCAACTCCAACCCAGTGCCGATTTGTCATGAGAAATGTACCCTTCTTTCCTGCAGTTCACCGCCTTCCGTGCTGCAATCGTGTCATATGTGTGCCCCCCAGTCCAAAGAGAGGCAGACGGAGATTTTGTGCCGACGCGACGACTTATTGTGAACCTATTGCTCCTTCGTCGGTCTTTTGTCTCGAGCCGATTGATTGCAGCACATTGTAGTGCTCAAATACAGCAGTTTTGGTGTTTGTCGTTGGCTCGCTTGGGAATGAATCCACGGCATGACAACGCGCAATTATTGAGGTACTTCTACTACACCGGCACTGGGAAAACACACACACACACACGCCTTTATTAAGCCTGAAGTATTTGCTGCTACCTCTTCCTCCTGTGCGACACTGTGGGGTAGGTGTTTCCCTGTTGCAATCCCGGCGAACCATGTCGTTCCTGCAGCACGATCACAATCGACACCAAATCCGTCTGTACGTTCTTCTGGCCATCGCGTTTCGTCCACCAGGATGTTGCTCAAAACATGGCTGCGTTCTTCCAGAAAATCTTGATGGATCAGGTCAGGTTTGACCAGCCCCAGACAAAACAATCGCTATCCGATGCTGAGGAACCGTTAATGAGTCCTGTAGACCTGGCAACCGAGCTCGTGACAGGGACCAAGACCTGCCAGGAGCTAGGACACCAAGCATTTGCATTCTTCAAGGTATGGTGGTGATATGCCCAGGTTCTTGATGGTTTCCTCGATGAGGATTTGGTTCACGTGGATCTTGATCAGTATTAGCAATATTCGATGAACATGTACAAAGGTCCGAGAGTTGAAGGAACAATGGGTGTAGCAATGATGGAGCAATGTTGTATTTGTTGCTGTATCAGATCTCTCGCGCAATGCCTATGGCAAAAAAAAACACAGGTGGCCCAGTTGCATATTATATGCACCCATTGCACAATGCCGAACAATACGCACTCTATTTCCAGTTAAAACGTTCCATGCTGCTTACCCCGGTGGCATAACCTGACCAGGTCAGGTAAGCATACGAAGCATACCCTCGTGGGTTAGGGTAGTCCTTGGCTCACATCGTCGCCAGATTTGCAACGTTGTTCTGCCCGCTCGGGACAAGCGTTCGCAATCGGATAAGAAGTACCAGGTTTGCGTTCTTTTGTGTTAATTCGTCGGTCGTTAACACGTTAGCGCGTATGGCACATATGCAAATTCCCGGGCGGCAACACCGTGGTGAGCGCATGACACCCCGGCAAGAACAAACTGTAGCCTATTCTGCAGACACAAAGAAACGACGCCTCAAGCCAAATTGGAATCGTGATTTACTCGACAAAAGCAAGGTCCCAGCAACCACAATCGTGGCCCGTGCCTCGTAAAGGGCACGCACTACGCAAAACAGATTGTACGTGTACGCGCGAGAGAATTAATGCGGCACGAGGGCGGACAAGATGACCGCGGCTTCCCGAACAAGGAACCATGCTGCCGTCAAAATGTAACACCTAGCCCCACTCAGCCATAAGCGGCTCCACACACGTTTTCGACCGGCTCATCACTTCGCGACCTCTCTCGCAAACACGCATTTGCACCAAGGAAGCCCATCTGGAGTAGCGGCAGAGATTGTCCCGCGCCACACGACCGTTGGAGCCTATCACGAATGTAACCGTACTGGTCGCCGTTGACACCGCCATTAAGTATCAAATCAAAACAAGATTTGACGTCGAAAAAAAACGGAAGAGCGGAAAAACGAATTTTGGTGACAGGAAGCCGAATAGATTGTTCTAACACGAGCCCGGTGTTTCGGCCTGGTGTGTCATGACCATAGCCATAAGCCTGCCTTTCTGGCACGGTCGCTATGACATGCATTAGGTAAGAGTTACTGACCACTTTGGTTTGGCGGCCTGGGAGTCTACGTTAAGAGTTTCTGACTACTTTTGGTTTGGCGGCCTGGGAGTCTTAAGTGGAGCTAAACGAAGACCTAATCGCTCGACACATTGATCATCACGGTTTCTCCAACGGAAAGGATCCTTGGAAAGGGCATGCCACGGCACGACTCCGAGGCGGCAGAGTGAAGCAAGCCGTGCGTCTCCCCTGGGAAGCCTTTGTCGGCCGTTCCGCTCATCATCATGTGTTTTCCCAACGCTTTCCGCTCGCCCACAAATCCCCGCAGGTGGTGCAGCGGGCGCTAGAGGAATCATCCCCATCATTTGTTGTTGAGAATGTCGACGTCAACGGTGTACATCCGTCGACAGAGGCATCTGAGGCGCCGCAAGAAGGGAGGCCGCCGCCACAACCCCTTCAACAACATGGCCCTCCCCGCACCCCCCGCAAGCTCAAGCTGGAAGGCATCGTTCTCCGGCACGCTATCTGGGTCGCGGCTTTGGTTGACAGCAAGTACTTTTCCTTGGGAGTTCTTGTCGTGTGTCTTGTTGTGGGAGGTGTTTTGGTTTGTGGATCCGTATGGGCGTGCTGTTGGCGGGGGTTGAGGGATACGCGTGGCCGTCCTCGGACGATCAAAAAGGGGAGAGGGGGCGTGCAGCTGTACCAAGCACCGCGACCGGTTTTAGCGGCCCGGCGAGAGAAGACGGCGTGAGAGGCGCGTGTTCCGACGATGAGACGTGTGTGGTGTTATTGGAGAGGTTCAGCCTTCCGTGCGGCATGTTGTTTATTCTCTGTATCTCACTTGGCGGCTTTTCCCTGTTCCTGTTACCTATATGGGCACGTACGTACGTACTGTGGGAGAGTCGCACTCTCAAGTCATTCTGGATTATCCTTCCGAAGAAACTGGTGGTCATCCGCATATGTATTTTACGATGTTAGTTGTTCATCTGGTACTTAGTAGTGACGTTATGTATATTTATGATACGTGTTGCTTGACTGGTTGTTTGAAGTGACGTTTCCCTAAATAGCGCGGTTGATCGAATGGCTAGCGAGAATTGACACCGGGAGTGTTTCGTGATTGTTCGTATTTTTTCAGGTGAGAAATATGTAGTATAAATAGTGCGCTTTGCCAGTTCTCCGAAATCCTCAGACGCTGTCGGCAAGAAGGGTAACTCGAACAAGATATGCATATGGCAGCATTCATCACGTGGGGTCCAAAGACCGCGAAGTGAATTATGAATGATGATCCCTGTGGTAGGCACAGCCCCCCCGTCCCAAGATACTCATAATCTAAATATGCAATCATCAAAGCGTGGTTGTTTGGTTGAGGAGCCCCACAGGGAGAGGCCCTACCTCTGTACATACGTCCTCGTTGTGACGCCCTGGTTGCTGTTGCCCTTTTTTCTGCGCCGAAACCCATTGTTGGATAAACCGGGTAGGCCGAAGCTTGTAGGTTTGTGGGGAAAGGCTACTCGGCCGGTGAGGGCCGAGATGGGAAAGTCTTGTATTAGAGGGAAGAGGGAACAGCAGAGAACACAAGAGAGCGAGGAACCGAAGAGAGCATCACCACACCTATCCGTCACGCAATTCAGATCACTCATCGAATCTCCGAAGAAACCAAGCAGAAACTCCCTGTTCCTCCGCAATCTACCAACTGCAATCTCCGTAGATCCATGCCCCATATTCAACCGCATTTACTATGCTACGAGTATATCTAACAGCCCCCCTGCTCGTATGCATCGTAATGACACGGCAAGTCAATATAATTCCATTTACTTCCCAAACGTAGATCCTACTCCTCCATGACACACAAATAACCAAGAACTCGATGATGCAAATTTTCCTGAACTCACCACGTCTTGTCTCATCGCCTTCATTCCTTCTCTGAAAAACGCTCTTCTTCTGGTCCATCCTTTCTCAGTACAACGTCACCCGCAAAGTACTAATATCCCCCGCACAACCGAAGCATTAAACAATCCATCGAACCAAACCTATCTGTGACACTCGTCATTACGTCCACTTTCGAAAACACGGATCAATTCGTAGAAATTCGCCTTCGTTGTGCTTCCAGTACATCCATCCATCCGTCTACAAATCCTACAAAGACAACACAAATTTCGCAAAAATAGAAGTAAGTATGAACATGCCCATTTGCAGGTAAAACGCAGCTGGGTATGGTATGGATCCTTTTTTACTCTCACATGTCCGATCAAACAACATCCATCCTCAAACATTCGTTCAGCGTGAAGATCATTTGCGCAGAAAATACGTGAGTATTCCTATTGTGTCTCTCTAGAAACCTAGTACCACCTACAGGTAAATCCCTTCCGAAAGAACAACGCGCCCCCCTGCTCTGGGAGATTCGCCCCCGTGAGTTTAGAAGGGGTTGGAGTCTGAACCATAGAACAAAAGAACAACATTTAATGTTCATCCAGTCGAAACCCAAGAAAAACAATCCTCCTGCAAATAAATCCCGACGAACACCAAAACCAAATCAAATTCAATGCCAAAACATATAATCCAATCCAGTACCAAAACAGAACATTCGAAAACCCTTCAATTCAATACCAAAACAATCAACACTCGAAAATCCTCCAATTCAATACCAAAACAATAACACTCGAAACTCCTACATTTGCCGGCCCATCAAGCTCCAGCGCTAACCCATTGCCCAAGCCATTGTTTCTCTCCCCCCAGCGGATATTTCGCACGCCTTCGCCGCGGTCGCCTTCCGTCTTTCATCTTTTCCGGCTGGCCGCGACTCGAGCTTGGATGTTTGCGTCCGCCTGACGTGGGGGAAGAACATTTGTCGCTCCCGGAGGATTGACTCGGCGGTGGTGCAGGGCAGGTCGCGCGTTTGGAGAAGATGGCGGCAGATTAGTTCCGAACAAACCAGCACTACTGAAGAGAATCACATACTACCAACATTCCCCCCGGTTCTGCACAGTAGTGACTGCAGCAGAAAAAACAATAAATGAAATACACTTTCAAGTCGTCGGACCCTACTTGTGCAATGTTTGTCTGAAATTACCGATCACTGCGACATTGCAATTCAATACATAGATACCTGAATATCATCCTGAAACGGAGGTTGATTAGTCCTCTATCACAAAATCATAATTCAGCCGCTGCTCCTGTTCCAAACAAAGGGTAATCAATCCTAAGTCGAAACTTTCACAACTTTGGAATTGCAATCTCATAACAAATAGCAACCTCAAGACAACGTATAACAATATTCGGAAATCAGCATTTATTTCGTCAATATTGTGGATTTTTAATCTGCAACAAGGTGGATGTACCAATCAATGTTGCACGTCGCTGAGACTTCACACGTCTGTGGTACTCGCTAACACAACCAAGACATGAAAAGTTTTTGATCAGGTTAAACCTGCTACCGAAAGAAAGTCCAGATAAAACGTTGATCACGAATTTTTGATCAGGCTAAACCTGCTGCTCAAAAAGTAGCTACCAATAAGAGCCCAGATAAAACGTTGATCACGCTGTTGCCGGCGAGAGAAAGTTGGTCTCAGCACGGCTGTCAGGAAGACAAAGCACACAACTTCGCCAATCACTGCATTACATTACGCACAATACTATTTCTAATACCATGCTACACGCACACACAATATCATCAGTTTAGAAACTGGCATCAGTTTTTGAGGATTACTGGTAACCTGGATTGTGTCTACCCATTTGCTACAGGTAGTCGGCCTTTGACCGAGCGGTGGAGTTTGACGGCTGTACCGCACGACGTATTGTCGCGTTTTGATTGAGCAAGTGTTGGTGTTTGACGGCTTTACCGCGCAGCGTGTTGCCGCGATTATTCTGTTCATGCCTACAAGCCCAGTAGACGGCGGGCTTCAGGTAACGATGGCGCTGCTGTAGGTCTTGGGAGCGCTGCTGTAGGTCTTGTGGGTGCTGCTGCTGTGCAGGCCCTCGCCGCTGTTGGCCTCTTCGTCTGGTTGGATGTCGTCAGCCGCGCATGCGGCTGCCCATCGGTGCTACCCAATCACCCTCGACAAAGTCGTTAACGCTAGCGTGTTGGATAAACCGGGTAGGCCGAAGCTTGTAGGTTTGTGGGGAAAGGCTACTCGGCCGGTGAGGGCCGAGATGGGAAAGTCTTGTATTAGAGGGAAGAGGGAACAGCAGAGAACACAAGAGAGCGAGGAACCGAAGAGAGCATCACCACACCTATCCGTCACGCAATTCAGATCACTCATCGAATCTCCGAAGAAACCAAGCAGAAACTCCCTGTTCCTCCGCAATCTACCAACTGCAATCTCCGTAGATCCATGCCCCATATTCAACCGCATTTACTATGCTACGAGTATATCTAACACCCATCAAATACGTCGTGTGGAGTTAGCAGTGCTGCACATGACTGCGTCGATCAAAACAACTGTTACCTCCAAGGCACCTATATCGGCACTATGCGTGTTATGGTACCGAGAGACAGAATGGATGAATGTGTGGCGCGGATCAAATCAATCATCATTCATGTATGTGCCCTCCGCGCCGACTTTTGGATTTATTTGCATGTACAGCAGTACCAACTACTCTCCTCCGCGGTTTGTTTGACTCCAAACTGGTCACTCGAGTTGTCGCCCCGGGTAATCGTTCCCGCACAGAGTCGGACGCCCCGGAGCAAGGTGATGAAGACCCGATATTGGAGACGCGCGGGGATCATCTCAACCCTCACTCCACGAGGTAAGGGGACAATGGCCTACCTTCCCCGGGTCTCCAAACATGCTCCCAATATATGACGAGCTCCGCCCTCTCCCCCGCCCTCTCCCCTCTTACACCGCTCGTGTCCCTGCAGCACTGCAGCACTGCAATAGCTCGTAAGGATGAAGCGCCGACAAGCCTACAGTAGCGCCGTGCTGATAGCCGGCTACGGCCTTCTAGCAAGCCCATCGCATGCCTTCGTCGCCCCTTCACCGTGCTCGTCCAGCGCCAACCGTCATGAACGGCATCGATACCGGGTATCCAACGCTAACACTGCTTTGTCGATGGCGTGGGGCCCTGCTGAGAAGGCGGAGATCCTGAGTGGCCTAATAGACTGGCAAGAGCGAGATGTTGACGGAGTTGGGGCGGCCGATATACAAATTCTGACGGAGTCGTCTCCCACAGCAGGTAAGCAGGTGACCTGTTGCTGGACGTTGGAACATGAAGGTGACGTTTGCACATTCCACCGCATTTTTTACGGGCAACATCAACCACGGCACACTTCTGCTTTGCGGACTTCTTTGACCCGTAGCTCCATCTCCTCTCCCATATGCTTTGCGGGAGGATGGGTGCGGGTTTGCGACACTTCCGAGCGGTGTCCGTGCGTTGAAGCATTATGATAGAGACGGACGTGGTGCGACATCTTCAAATTCATCTGTGGTCATCATGTGTGACACTTAAGTTGATGCGCACCATCTCCAACGGTCGCCAGAGCGCCAGCAGCGCGACATCGATCGTACGGCACTAGACCAATATAGACGGTAGCATTTTGCTCTGCATCTTGACGAGGTATGCATTTTGCCGCTGTTTCTTCCCGCGGGGGGGCGTGTCCTGTCGTGTGCTGCTGCTTCTGCTGCTGCTGCTGCTCGCCCTTGCAGTGCTCACACGCTACTACGAGTCCTTGGCGAAGGGAGAATCGCAGCAGATGCTCCTGGTAAGACAAGTGTATTTTTTTTCTGAGGCGAGACGACTACGAATATCTGGATAATTTGCCGCACGTCTTTGTCACCGAAGTTGGCCAGATAAAGTGCAACACCTTCATCTCTAGACTTGCCGGTAAAGCACTACTGCTGTACATCGTTCGCGCTGCTACCTCCCCCCCCGGGGGCCTGCCCAGAGAGGGTGGGTACATACAGCAAACTGTTTTGCCCAGGGAGGGATGGTCGTATGGAGCCGGAGACCCGTTCCTGCGGTGCTGTCAAACGGATGTCCTCGGGGGCCATCTGAAGCAGGCGGGGGACCGTTTGTCTTGGGCCGATACTTTTGTACACCCCAGGACGTGCTCAAGAGATTATGATTGTTGCCCAGCGAATGTGCAGGGGGTCTACTACAGTAGCTCTACAACAGTAGTACCTTTTACGCATTCAGGCGCCATGGTACACCTTGCCTGCCTCACCGCAGCCCCGTGGATCATTCCTTGGAATTCCTCCTGCAAGAACGTACGTGCATCTTCACCAAAACCCCACGACAACACGACAACGACGAAACATGAACACGAACGTGTTCCCCACTTACGCAAGAGAACGCCGCATTTTCGTCCCTACCCTGGTATGACATGCACGTGGTTCCAGGTGGCACCCTCTTGCGTGATCGAAAGTGGGTGCACCACGGCGTTAGAGGCCGCCCTCTCCTCCTCATGCATCTCCAAAGTTTACCACCCCGACGTGGAGCAGGGGCTGGGCGGAAAGGCGCCGCACCTGGCTCTGTGGCACCAGGGAGGTGCGTGTTAGTGGTGGGGGGCTGCTTTGGGACGGCGTTTGGCATGATTGCTAAGTTGTGATTGTTGTGTGGTGTCTAGGGTAGACAGGTTCACTGGTATTTCCACGTAAGACGGCTGCCACTATGTTAGTAGGGCGAAAGACGTGCCAGATTTCCCGACCAGCAGAGGCTTCACGAACGGACAGGACTACACGAGTCGGTGTGGTCACTGTGCGCTTGCACGGCGGTCTCACGTTCTTCCTGGCCACCGCTGCATTGTCCTGCCCCCTCCCCCCCTTGTCGTGAAACGCAATCTCTGTGGGCCAGTTGCTGCGGAAGAGCTCTCTCCAAGCAACGATTTGGAGCAGAAAACCGCCTCATGTAAGCATTTGACTTCTCATTGTTACCTTAAGAGTCGGAGAGATGGCACCGCGGTGCGTGCAAACAGTCCCGCCGTAGCACTAGTGAGAAGGCCGCTGTGTGCATTTCATTGGGCTTCGCACCGGTCGGAGAGATCGCACCGGGGTGCGTTGAAAATGCTACTTCGTGTATGAGATGGTTTATTTGCGTTTCCGCACCGGGGTTGGAGAGATCGCACCGGTCGCAGAGATCGCACCGGGTTGCGACGAAAAACACGAAGAAAAAACAAGTAAGAAATCGATCGCACCCGATACCATCTCTCCGACTCTTGCGGTACCCGTCCTGAACCTTGTGCTACGAATACTTGTCTGATAGATCATGCTGTCATGTGGTTCACGTGCGTTCCGAACCATCCGAGGTGCCTGTGCTAGCAGCTTCCGAGAAGACGCCTCTGCGTATCAGAACATGCCACGTGCGGGCTGTGCCTGAGAAAGCGACATGCTTCCATCGGTTTGTCCTGGCTCGAAGAAAACGCCCACCGTATGCTGCATCCTTAGATACTACCTCACCAAACCATTTCAGAGGAAGACGCCTCAGAGCTTCTGCTCAAACGGACGTGTAAATAACGGCTTCTATCCACTCAACTTGAGCTTCCGATTTTGGGTGCCCCAACGGATGAAGATGTTTCACCGCCTGAAGCATCTTTTGAAGCTTGTTTCGACGACCGATGCTCTTCGTCGTGGGTGAACCCAACACCCCGCCACCCTTTCCCGCGCCGATTATGCCTTCCACGTCGACAACACCTCAAAAAACGAACCTAATGCCACAAACGCAGTGTCTAAAAAGGCGGTGATGGAAGAAGTGTTTCTCTGGCTGCAGCGCACGATGCTGGGCATGGTGGACGACGAGGAAGAGGATTTCGTCGAGCTCGGCCGGAAGCTCTTGACGGTGCACAGGTACGTCGTAGTCAAGGCCACCACCGAGGTTGAACTATCGCAAGCGTTCTGGCAGGAGGCGACGGCACTGGCGAAGCACGGCGTAGAAGCGGCCGCGGAAAAGAAGAAGAAGGATGCCGAAGAAACGGCGAAACAGAAGGCGAAACAGGATGAAGACGAAACAGCGAGAGTTGCAGCGGCAGAAGTCGAAGAGGAAGAGGCCGAGAGGCCAGAAAACACGGACGACGCAAAGACAGAAAGTTTGGAAGTCACCGGAAGCACAAAAGAGAAGGAGGTCGACACGGAAGAGAAGAAGGAGGAGGAAGACGTGCTCAAGAAGTCTGGGCTTGGCGGGGGCGACGATCCGAGGGAGGCCAGCGTTCTCATGGCGCTCCCTGGGTTCAGGTTTAAGGTGGGCCAAGCGGATGCGGGGCACATTGCTTGGTTTATAGAATCGCATAAGTGATTGTCGACCAGAGGTTTCTGTGGTACACTGTACGGAGCGTGCGTGGAATTCTTGCTTTAGGCGGGCTTCCGACGCGAGGTTGCCGGTATGGTAGTAGTCACTAGGGCTCTGCAGTCCTGCGCCTTGTTTGATGAGACGGGCGTTGCGTATTCGTGCACACAGTTTGGCTTTCGTTTGTTGGTAGTTTCCGGATTGCTCCGCTGTTCTCTGCTATATAGCTCGACGGTGGTTGCTCGACCGCAGTGAAGCACACGTCACGTACAACTTATCTGTCAATCAAATCCGCCGCATGTTGGCGGATACATCGCCATTCAGGTTGAGAGCCGTCTCAAGAAGGACTGACGCCCTGCACTCTTGTGCCGTGCTTTGGCGACACGTGCAATACACTGTCCCCAAATTCGCCGACACCAGTCGCACACAGCATCAACATGCATCTGGCACCCCTCACAGTGATTTGCCACCCCGTTTTTTGCGGAGATTACCCCCCACGTTAGTAGTTGCCTGTTTCGTTGTTCCGGTAGACTGGATCGTTGGAGGGGACCTGTCTACCCTCTTGTTTCAATTCGTTGTCTTTTCCTCTCTCTTTCCTTTTTTTCTTTTTTCCTTTTTCTTTTGTTTTTCTGTTCTTTCTTTCTTTGTCTTTCGTTCTTTCATCCTTTTTTTGACCTGGTTCGATCGTCTGTACCCCCCGGTTAGCCTTTGTAGCCTTTTCCCCTTAGTTTTTATCTTATTGTTTGGGTAGCAAAACATATCTCGCCTTGGAGGAATTTTTTTCTGGTGTCCATTTTGTATTTATTAGAAGGAAGGGGGCAGTTGGCTTGTGACCACGGAAGGCGCCCGCATCAGTTGGACCAGTACGGACAGTAGAAGGTACTGAGCGAAAACCGGAGAGGATTTTAATGCGAAGACAACAACAACAACAATAACAATCACGTCTAACCACACCGCACCCTGAACATGATGCTGCCACGCCGACATGAAGGACCGGGCTGTTTTCGGGGAGTTCGTGAGAGAAAAATTGGTGGCGCCTCTAAAAACGCTGTCGCCGTTCGGGGAAGAGGGGACTGAGCTCTCGGCGGTTATCTACGCCGGAGAAGACCTCAAGTGAGTCTTTTGCACACCAAATGACACAACCGCGTGTATGGTTTCTTCCCATACCTTTTCTTCCACAACCTTTTTTTTTTTTGTAAATGAATATCATGGCGGTTCTGTTACCAGAATGCTTAGTCCAGATCGCGCTGTCGCCGTGTTTTACTTGTCAGGGCTGGCGACACTGTGTAAGCGAAACTCAATATCAGCTTTTGCGTACCAGGTACATCAACAGCTCGTGGCGTTCCTGGTGTTGTTGAGAAATGAACCCATGGCTCTTTGCGGGAGGTCCGAATTCCTCACGCCTCTCACCACCGTCCCTCGTGCACGTGCTTTCCTGCATCGCGCCTGCCTGCCTGCACACGATCCTCACCGTTCGGTTGGACTGGGCCCTAGGTTCCCGGTGATGATCCTGAGCCCGCAGCTGAAGACGTTCGAAGCGCCAGAAGGCGGTTACAAGTTCATCTACAGGGGGGAGGAGAAGGACGCCGACGAATACATCCGTGCAGAGGAGCTCAAGATGGCGGAAAAGGCCACCGAGCGGAGGGAGACGGTGGCGGTGGAGCAAGACCCGCTCTTCGGGCCGAGGTCTCCACCACCACAAACACCACCACCACCATCGGCCGACGAGAACTCAAATTAGATCGCAGGCCGTTACAATTCGTCAAGGTGATTGTGTTGTTCCATTCTCGATGGGGTACTGTAGTACAATGGCCGACAGAGTGCCCGGGCGTGTGCTACAATTGAGGGTTATACCTGTGGTTTTTTGTCGGCGATCGCCTGTCAGATTCGGTTTCAGGCGATCATCGACCACACAAAAACTTGTGTGGCGCGCTCGTTCTCATGGCAGTTGAGTTCCGTCCTGGTGTTGTTCTTGCCATGGTGTCGGTATCCCATCAGGGCCAAAAACCAAAAGAGTGGTACACACAGATGTTAACCTGGTTATGTACAAAAAATCTACGGTCTTGACAAGCCAAACAGTCGTAAAATCCATATCCACAATTTCCTCTTGAAGGTCCGCAAACCTTACCCACAATGGACACTAGAATCAAGCACGCCGGGATGTATTGACTTGATAACGAGGTACAGGCAGGAGACTTCCAACACCCAGCATTCCCTTGGAAAAAAACACTACATAGGAGGCCGGAACACGACACACACCCCGGGGGGGCTTACACGCTCCGTTCTCCCGCTCCAACCGCCATAAACATGATCTACCCGTTGTCCGACCAGCGACGCGATCTACAGAGTACCGCAATGACAATGGGGTACCCTCCCAAAGGTTCATCCCTGTGGACTGACTTATGCATAAGCGCCACAAGCCACAAGGTGTGCGCTGAAGTGCCTGAACTTGCAACGGAGGAGGGGGGCGCGCCACATTCACACGGGGGTATCTACTTATTATCCACCAACCAGGGAACGCCTCTCTCGAAGGTCATCAAACAATACGCGACGTCGAATCCCGACATGTCAGTAGCCTGAAAAGAAGAGCGAAGTCCCTCAATTTTTTCAATAACGTCATGCTCGAACGAGCAACCGGAACTTGTCGACCGCGAACTTTCTCGTCCCAGTAGCCTCCCCGCCTGACCCCGGTCGTGATTCCAACGCAACCAGCAGCTTGTCGTCTAGCGCCAAGACCTCCAATCCTTCTTGTGCGCCGCCAGTGTTCACAAGCCCGGCCCACTTGGAGCTGGTGCAGCACGCGCGGGCACGATGGCCGCGGAGGGAGCAGGAGGGATTCTCTTAGTATTTAGACTACTGTAGCACACACAAACCGCGTCGAATACCACCAAATGGAACTCATTTCGACGCAGACCATTTTTTTTCAACAACCGAACGCCCGCCCAACGGCTACATCAGCCACGAGCTTACCATATTCACCACTGACTGTGTGCACATGACTGACCCTTGAGAACACAACATGGCAGCAACAACACAGCGGTCTTTCGCCATTTTACCTTGCGAAATCAAGCTTGATGACTCGGTTGTCCGCGTCCAGCTTCCACTCTCCTTCCTTCGTCACGGATAACAAGGGCCCGCTGGGCTCTACAGCCGTCAGCTTCCCGCCTGGGTTCAAGACGAACGGGCTGTCTCGCTGTAGAACGTCCACCGAGCTGTGAGACGGACAAAGGGGTGGGCGTCTTCGACGTTAGGGCGGCGGGGAAGGAGAAGACATCGTGGCAAGAAAACAAATGCAGCTAATTTTGTCATCAAACTAGCTGAGAGAATCTTGGGGGCACAAGTTTCAAAGACGACACGGACGGTGCAAGACCGGAAAGTCAGATAAAGTGGGCCGAGATAAACTCGACATAGCTCTCGTTCAACGCTTTCTTTCCCAAGCGGGCGCATGGTTTGAAAAGAACATCCGCCGCATCCAATACCCCGGCCCATTACCTCCGTCCTGTTCACAAGTACACGACAATATTTCGAATCACGGACCTTCCCCCAGCCTTGATCGTTAGTTTCCACCCTCCCTGTATCCGCTCCTCTAAATTCGACATGTCCCCCATCAAGGACACCAGCCCGGCGCCTCCCTGCGGCAGGGTGCTCTCGGCGTTCTTCTCCCATGGGGTCTTTTTTAACGCGAACATCTCTTCTTCCGTCTTTTCTTGCTTCCCGCCGCTGCCACCTTCCTCTCCATTCTCATTTTCAGCGGCAGCAGCAGCATCGGCATCGTCCTGGGCTTGCTGCTGCTGCTTTCGGATCAACGACGCCTCTCGTCGTGCCGCGAGAGAGGCTTCCTCCGACCGTTGCTTCAAGAAGTCGAAGGCGGCAATGATGCGGTTTTTCGAGATCCCTCCCTTGTACTTAGACGCGAACGTCAGCACCTGCGACCACGAAGCGGGCACCAGTGTGCACGATAGCCAGCAGCGTTACTCTTCGTCCCCCCTTTTGCCAAACACGCTGTTGTTCGAAAAAACAGCGGCCCGATTTCGAATAAACAGCCTCAAAACCTAGACGAAGACCCGGCTTGTTACCCTCTCTCTCCTCTTCAAAATATGTATCGCACAAACCTCCCGTAGGCGGTGTCGACGAGGGAGAGAAACAAACAGTAATCAGCCAGGCGGGTACATCACGAAAGGTCAACCCAAGGTCGTTGGGCGGGTGTACCTGCTTAGCGTCCTCTACAGCAAACACGCCATCCTCGGAAGGCCTTCCGTCGGCATCCTTCTCGTAGTACACCTGGCTGTACTTCTTCTCCTGGTCTCCGGACATCTACTCAGCAGTATATAAAAAGCAGCGGATGCAAGGGTGGAGGCGATCAAACTAGCAAAAATTAGCCCAGCCCATAACAGGATAGACAACAGTGGAGAAATGACGACATCATCAAGCAGACGCATGTAGGAAGGGCTTGAGACAAAGCGCAGTCCTCCTCTGTTTCTGATACGCCAAAGCTTCGCGTTTACGACTCGAAACGGCCAAAACACACGCCAACACAAATCAGGGCACGTCTCCCAGCAAGAGCCGCAAGCACACCGCTAGATAAAGGCTAAATCCATTTGAATACTCAGTCAGCGGCTGACTAAGTAGCAGTGGCTGACTGAGTAGTGTAATGAATTATCCTGACACACACTACAGGGCTCAGGGCGGTGGAAGCGCGGAGAACACACAAGAATTTGGCGACAAAAGGCCGGTGATACGGCAAGCTGCAAGGCACGAGCATCGGAAGGAAGGAAGCGGGGGAGCTCACCGGGGTGAAGGAGGCTGTCCACATCTTGGTAACCTCGGAGACCTCGTTAACCTCTCCTACACGACCGAACTTAAGCATGTCCATCGCCTCCAACCCCTCATTCAGCCTGAATCAACAAATGATTAAGACGTCGATACTTTAGATGATATGGTGCAAGTTTGCGAGGCATCGCACGGTCGGGATTTGTTGCAAGGAGTGCGATGAAGACAAGAGCAGGAGGATAAAGAATGCGGTAAAACCCCTGCGCGATGACTTGCACATGTCTGGTGCACGCGCGCGGGTGCAACTCCGAACAGTCCAGCGGGCTGGTTAGGTCGAGGGGGGAGGACGTGAGAGATACAGCACCAGCAGCCAATGATCAATGGGCAGGGCGACAAATTACATCATTCCCCCATTAGACCAAATCCACAAACGCGCGATTCTTTTGATGCGCGATCAACCGCGTTCAATCAGGTGGTTGCTGGTACCTGCGTCGCCCTGGTGCACGTGCCTCTCCTAAATCCAGGCCACGTGGTTCCATGCTATGAGTGAGCGAAAAAACAAGCTAGGCATTATCGAGCGTGGCCAACAAGATGCTTCAACCCCTCGAGCCGGCTGAAACAATTGTCACATGCATCCACCACGAGACCCTCGCAATCTTGGTCCCCATGGCTGAACTGCCCCGTGAATCGGCCCTGAGCATCCCAAAACCTCAACACCCAAGAAAAACAACGGCAAAGGTAGTGCACCCCATCTCACCTCTTGGCCTGGCTCTTTATCTCGCGGTTCTTCGACCGCCTGAGGACCTTGTAGATGTCCTGGGCCTGGTAGGACCTCCCCGTCGCCTCGAGTGCCATGGCGAGCTCGAGGAACACGACGGCTCCAAGCGGGCCATGAATAGAACACTCCTGTAGCGGCGGCGGCAAAGCAAATGGCGGCAGCCGTGGAGGTGAACAACGGCGCGTAGCGTGGCATGTGGTGCCGAATATATGTGGGGTTCAAGACGCCGGGGAGCCCCGTGTTTGCAAGCGTCTCGCACTTATTGAAAGACACAACGACCCGCCTCCGGCTGCAGGTGTCAGTGGGTACAAATAGCACCGAGTTTGTCAGATAGGAATGTATTCCGCCACGTAGGCTGAGGATGGCTTTAGGTTGGGTGGGTGGTGTAGCGGACGCGCGGCGGGTTGCCTTCTTTGAGGCCCGAGGGGTGTCCGTTCACGCGCCCCCTCATCCCATGTCGTCCAACAACATGCAAAGATGCAAATCCAAACCTTAGGTTTAACCCTTAGGGTTAAAACGTTGAAGCAGGTTGCAGTAACGTATCCTGCTCAACCGAGGCGAAATACGGCAACCTCAGTGAGGACTATCGACAACGCCACCCAGTGTTTGACTCAACGATCGAAGATCGTGTCAATCCTCCACACAGAGCAGAATGCCGATCAAAACTCCACGTGCGCCTTGCTGATCCTACCCGAACCGCAAAGCCAGTCATTCAGTCAGTCACCTGCTTAACGCCCTCGAGAGCCGACACTGCTCCAAAGGTATCGCCGAACTTCATTGCCCTCTTGGACTGTGCGAGCGCTGCCTTAATCTCAGTCTCACTCTCCTTCTCTCGCTTTAAGTCCTCGCCCGTCGAGCCGCGGTAGCTGAAAAAGATGAAAACAAGTAATGGCGTCACAGGACGCCATCGAGAGCGAAAGAAATATTTGCAATGGAGGGTTTAGGTTGAAATTCGAACCGGTAGTATTGAAGAGAAGGTGGTACAAAACCGCCCACGCCTGCAATCCAGAGAAATGTCTTGTAATATTTTCACCACCGTATAGAGTAGCCTCACCGTTTCATATTTAGTATCCTCTCCTTCGTCAAAGGTATTAAAAAACACTCGCTATGTCCCTGTCCCGTCTATTCCAAACAGCCTCGGAGCACGCGCCCCTTGGCTATTATTCAAAATGGCGTTGGCGTGGCCCCCTCCCGCTGTGTTAAATTCTTCCCGGGACAAACGACACCTTTTGGCATTTCCAAGACACCGCAACTTTGTACAAAGCTTGGCATGGCACCAGCCTGCAAATTCTGACCTGTTCAAGATGGCCTTGGTCTCCTCGTCTCGTCGACGCTTCTCCTCCGGATCTAGCCTCTTGAGGGTAGGATCCCGCCCCCCTCCGAAGGCCTTGCTCATGTCCTTCGGGCGCTCGAACACCCCCCAGGTGCTCACCACCGGCTTGTGCGTGTCCACATCAGCACCCTCCTTCGGCTTCTCCCAGCGCCCACCCACGCTTCCCGTGACCTTCTCAAACGAGTCCTGGTGGAGAGAAAGGGCGACGGCGTCATGGCGGCGGCAAGCACAACCACCCTTGAGGTGAAAAAAAAAAAAGTGCTAGAAATGCGCACCGTACCCTTTTCGGGCAGTTGGCTTGTGACCACGGAACGCGTCCGCGTCAGTTGGACCAGTACCGACGGACTTTAGAAAGTACTGAGTGGAGACCGGAACGGTGATTCATGTGAAGACAACAGCAAACAATGGCATGCCATGAAGACGCTGAAGCTACACGCAATCTTGTAGGCAAGATAGCGGTCATAAGTCGGCCAGTCACTTGTGAAACAATCCACACCCCCACACCCCTCAGATGAGAGGGCTCGGGAACAAAGAAATACTTGTGTTGCTGGTTGTTACAAGCGTTTCCAAGTCTGGTACCTATATCAGAGATTTTCTACTTATCTTCGGTGGATCGACGAAAATCATGTAGAGGCAGCTCATCACACACCCCAATCAGCATGATGGCGTGCGTCTTGATTCTTGCTGTGCATGTGTCTATTAGCTTCACACGAGTGTGTGCCCGTATCCAACGGAGGCTCCTCAACATTACAACACTCCAGATCGCGAATAATTACCGCCAACTGCAATGGCAACATTACCAGTTTTTTTCAAGTCCGCACCTTTTCAACCCCGAATGACGGTATGTCCACCAGTACTAATACCAACATGGCCGTGTGCGGTAGCATGCAATCTTGGCGCCGTTGTCCTACAAAAACTTCTGCTCAACGCCCGGGGTACCCACCTCAATAACTGTTCCAGTAGTCTCTGCGGCAGTCTCGGCAGATTCCACCGCATCGAGAACACGAGCGTCCGCGGAAGTTCCCGCCGCAGTAGCTTCAGCATCCGCAGTAGAAGCGCTTGCACTCGCAGCGGCAGACTCTTCTTTGTACTCGGCGGCCTTTTGGAAGGGCGACGGCTTGTTGAAAAACGCCTCGGCGCCTTGCATGGTCGAACCGTAAGCGCCGTCGAACTTGGGCTTTTCCCCCGCTGCGACGTCGGAGCTGCTGCCCTGCAAAACCACCGTCGACACCAGCAGTGCAGAGGAAAATGTCCGGCATTGCCTTAGTCACAGCGGTGTACTAACAAACTTGTGATGAAGGCGGTATGCATATCACAGCAAACGGTGGCTCAGGAGTAGGATACAGCGTAGAAAACGGGAGTCAAGAAGGAGATAGTCATCGCGTAAAGCAGCGTGGTCAACGTGGGCATCCGCGGCAGCATCGTGGGATGTGCCGTCAGGAGTGCGTAGTTGTTGGGGGCCGCTGATAGAAAAAGAGTGCCTACGGCAATAACGTAGCCATACAAGTCATACAAGCCGGATCTTTCCTGCCACCACCCGTTCGCGCAACCGCCGCTGTCTTTCCATGCGGCTCAGCGATTCGCTACTGCCGCCCCGCAAGTCCTCACCGCAGCGTAGGCCGCTCTAAGCTCGTCCTCAAGGTCTTCATCCCTCGAGACCATTAGGTCATCCAGAATGTTTGCCTCCTGCATGGGGTCATCGGGGTCCCTGACGATGGTCCGTCTCCCCGCCTCCAGCTCGCTGACGGCCTTATCCTTGTCACCCTTGACGACTAGGTTATCGCGGAGTTTGTCCTGAGGGATGTTTTGGTTTTTCAGGGCACAGCACGCGCAAAAGTGAATGAAGGTCTGGTTGGTGGGCGGTATTAAGTTTTTGCTCTCGTCGTTTGACGATTTTCCACGCGTTCCTCTTCGAGACTGAACATTGTTATCCTCTGTTTCAGACAGGCGCAGCGTTTGATAGCTCTTCTCGCTTCTTTCATAGCTCGCGGAATAGCGGGGAGTCCTTTGCTATTTGAACAGGTGTTTTGCAGGGCGCACACACAGAGGATCCGCTGGCATCGTAGTGATAAAGTCTTCGTCCGACAAGGCCTGTATAATTCTGATTCCATCGGAGAGTGCAATGACAACACTGCGTTGTGGCATCGACAGGTCGCAAGACAGCCATCGCTCCCTACTTTCAGCATTCATCAACACCCCGTCAACGCAGCGCAGGTTGTATGCGTAACGCACCTGTCTCTCGCGGTCAACCGTTCGATTGAACTCCCCTTTGCTCTTCTCCATTTTATCTGACGGTTCATGCAACGAGGTAAGGCTTAGGTGTCTGTGTGCGTGCACTCAAAGCAAGTCTGGACCGGCTTGTCTATCCCATTGCCTTCTCGGTGAGTACGTCACCGGCCGGCAGCGATTCCGCCGCATTTAGAGTTGCGGAACCTCGATACTGCTGCAGCATCTGGGTTGTGCAAGACAACGATAAAACGGCAAAGCCTGTTAATACAAAAGTACATTGGGGTCCTCCTAAATGGGTGAAGGCGCCACTCTCAACGTTACACAGGCCCTCGAGCAAAAACACCTACCCGAATTACGACCCACGGCTGTGAATCTTGTGACAACGTGAAATACTCTTGTCAACGTGTGACATGTTAGCTTATCAAACACGCAACAACGGGATAATGTCCGGCACGGACTGGGATAATGAGCGCTACGCCTCTGAGTCGTCTATACAGCAGTTATTTACTGTATACTGTTGTGGTACCCACAACCAGTCAGTGAACTGGCACAACAATGTCCTACAGTACAGCAGGATGTAGTGGTAGCCTCGAGGACATGCGCTTGACTTGAAGTGTCACTGACGACACGAAGCAGGCACGTGACACCCACCTTTCAACTCCGAACCCTTGCCAACCACGCGCTCGTAAGTATCCCCTTTGGACGCCGCCCCCCTCAGCTTCTCAATCTTGTCCTTGAGCTCCTGCTCTCTGTCGGAGACCATCCTGACGGCCGTCGAAGCCCGGCGGGGACGGCGGTAGGTCGGTCTCTCTGCATTGCTGCTGCCCTTGTGACGGTTGCCGGCTGCATGATTTCGAAGAACCAGTGCAGCCGACACGTGGGGACAGCGAAAGGCGCTGGCCTGCACCGTGAGGGCAAGTGCAGAGACAGCAACCTCTCGAGGCCCGACCATAGTCGACCCTCCTGATGTTTGCCCCAGGGATATACAGGATGTGTACGCACCGCGATTGTACAGCAAGCAGCTGCCAGCTTTGTGCGCCGGATCGGGGAGCCCGCAGAAAGGTTAAGGAGGCGGTATGCACAAAATTATTCAACATCTGAAGTTTGAGCCCGCGACGGCTGTCGAACACAAGCAAGCAAGACACGTGCACAGCAGAGCGTCTCTCTATGTAGGACGTTGCAATGGAGTTCTTCAAGCCGCCTGTATTCTCAAGTTCAACGAAAGGTCAAGCTCACCAGCTGCGTCGGTATTGAGAGCTCGACATCAATTGGTGGCACTACGTCGTTTTCCCGATCAAATTACGGCGTGTAGACGCTGTACGGCGACCGAGAGATCCTCCGCAAGGCACTGCTACTTTTGCCATTGGAGGACATGAAGGTAAGCTGTAGATACGTTCGCCCTGTTGTCGTATTTCGTTCCCGTGTTTGGGGCAGGTTCCTTATCTCCGCCTATGCATATCTCTTGTCGTCTTGCTTTGTGCCCACTTCATATCTTGACGTCTTGCGTATAGTACATGTTTACTTCTCATGCCTCTATACAGAGTACCTGGTCCCTAACAGATGTTGCTTGTGTACAAGGGTACAATAGGCTATGTACATAGGGAGGGAGAGAGATAGAGAGAGGCGAAGAGGGGGCGATCTCACGTCGGGTCCTCGGTCATGGGCGACTACTGCTGTAGCTGTTCAAAGCAAGCTGATACTAAATACTGTATCGACTCGAACTAGCTGCCTTATGCAACAACTACCTACAAGTGGATGTGCTGGTGGCAGCGTTCACGTCAACCGCATTCGTGAATAGAGAATGACAAGCACGTAGAACCTGCCACGGCGGTACTGCAAGGGGCGACAAGCCCAAAAGGGTCCGTTGTAGCCTATGGGGGACTCTGTGTGCAGTTAATACTTTGATGTACTTCCGCATCATGGTACGAAGTGCCAAGTCCCAGGGCATATCCCTAATTGTATGTTCGTCGATGCTGCTCACGACGCTACTGTACTCTACAGATTGCCTCGCCCCCTTTTTCATGGTAGATCTGGCTATGTGCATCCGTGGCCCCAGATAGGCATTTGCCAACGTTAATCCCCAATCTTGGCGTAATTGTCCACCCGCTGTATGCTGCAATCCTGTGACCTTTCCGCAGTCTTCGAGGCAGCCAAGAAACGACGAAGGCCTCTCGGTATTCCGTACAGCATTGAACCGATCGATCGGAGAGAGGCGTAGCAGCGGCCAAAGGGCTGCCCCAAAGAACGTTAGCGAATTTGGCCAAAAGGTGCTGCGTGTTGGGGGGGGGGCGGGGAGTGGTGAGGTGTGGGGGGCGTTTGATTTCTCGGCAGTCCAAAGCTCATATCTTCCATGCCCTGCCCCTTACCGATGTTATAGTGTGCCGGTAGTCCCCCCATGACATTTAGGCAACTTTTCTACATTAGACAAGCAATCAAAGGAGATGTGCTACATGTTTTCAGCTTAGACCCTCGTAGTCTCCACCTCAGAATAGTTGGCACAGTGTGTGGCATCCCTTTTGATGGCGGGCGTCGCTCGCACCGCTGGTCAGGTGTTGGCAGCAAAGAAGCTTCTGTTCGGTATTGCACCTTCCCTCCCTGCGACTAGGGTAAGAATGCGGAATGAGTAGAGACACCAAATCTTTAACAGGTCAGCATCCCCCCTGTCGTCCTGTCAACCCACGCTTGGTGTGTGATTGGTTGGTCTCTGGCGCGTCGCAGCGATTGCAGCGTAAGCCGCCGGTGCCGAAAGCAGCAGAAGCGTCTTCACAGGTTAAGGCCGGCGCACAATCAGCGAGAGACAGGAGTCACCGGAAGGAGAGGGTGTCTCCGAGCAGGAGCGCCGGCGGAGTCAAATCCCCGCACTCAAGAGACAGAGACAGAGACAGATATAGAGCTGAACGAGCAGCGGAAGGGCCCTGTATATCTGATGATCGCGAGGCGGGCGTTGCTGGCACTAGGAGGGGCGTGTCACGCGGATCGGACCGGAAACATCTACTGATGATGCTACGGTGCGATCGACGAGTCACGAGCAGTTCAGTTCGCCGCTTGTCACAAATTCTGTCGCCAGAGATGGAACGAATTATTTCGATGCCTTCGATGACTCCTGAATTTGCCGTCTGCTTTCAACAAAGCAACCCACCTGACCGTGAGCGTCATCAGGGCAAAGCGGAGGCTTGATATGGTGCGGATGGTTTACACGTCCGCCTTAACTACGGATCGTTTTTACACTTGCGCACCGTTGTGTTTTCCCCGCCTGCTTTTGATTCGCAGGCAGGCGGTCGGGGAGATGGACGACCTCCGCAGAGACGTGGCGTCTGCGAATCAGGAGCGCGCCGCTTGGAAGCTACGAGACGGTGAGCTCCGTCGGGAGGAAACAACTGTCTCTCTTTCGGGGCGAAGAACGGCCTGTTGTAGGCGCTCGGATGGTTGGATGCCACGACACCGGGTTCTCTCGGCGTTACCTGTGGCACATACTCCGCCCGCTTTTGGCATACATATCCCAAAGTCTGAATGAACATATGCACGCATGTGGGCGATTTGGGTGGATTGCTGGACGACATGTACCTTGGCACAACATACGGTTGTTGTCCTGAACCCCGCCTTTTCCGGCCCTAGCGAAAACCCTTGCTGTCGTTCCAGCAATCCTACGATAGGTGGCATAAGATATCACACCCCGTGCACCGACTTCAAAGCTCTCAACTACTCCACAGCAGAAAGATTGACAGTGCCGAACTTGGCGGCGTTGGGTCCGTCTCGTCGAGAGCTTCCCTGAGAATTCTCATTTGACGTTGGTACCCTCTTCGTGGAGTAATGGAGCTTTGAAAACCGGTCCAGGGGGTGTGGTGTTTTCTTTCGCCTACGGTACTTTCTGCCAGTGCCAGTTGCAAAGGGTTCACCCTAGTCCGGGATGAGCGCGTCACCTCGTCCATGCTTCCCCTCGCGCCCCGCAGATGGCCTTTCGCTAACGATTTCAAGGCTCGAGGGCCGCTGCGAAGCGCTCGAGAGAAGTGTCCGCGCAGAGTCGGAAGCGGCGAAGGCAGAGGTTGGGCGGACGAAGGCTGCGGAAGCACGGTTCGCCAGGCTTCTCGAGTGGGCGAGGGAAGAGGAAAAGCACCGGGTGCAGGCGGAGGAGGTCCTAGGGAGGGCGTGTGAGTCTGGACGAGCTCTGGAGGCTAGAGGCAAGGTCCTAGAGAAAGAGGTGAGCTCAATGGACTGAGAAGACGATGGCGGTATCGTGTGGTACAACAGTCTATGGATGGCGTGCTTCAGCATGCGGCAGAGACAGGTGGATTCCCGTTTTGGTGCGCTGCTACCGCTTCGTTGGTGCTGCCCCCTTTCCTGTGAACCGCTACCTTTGAAGTCTACACGGCAGCGTGTAGCACTGCAAGGGGTTAATATCGCCGAGGAGCCGGCGAGGCGGAAGCGACCCTAGTTTTCTGAGGAATTGGTTTCGTGATTGTCGCGGGAGGCGGCTACTAACCGAAGGAGTGAACGGTACAATAGACGCATTGATTTAAAGACTCGGCCTTCCGGTTTTCGAATAGGTCACACGTTGGTTCAAGCAACGCAATATCGTAACGACATTAAGCGTGGGCCTTAGGGCTTATGACTGAGTTACATTGATGTTCCTGAAATGCACTCAACGGGAATTGGCCCAACCGAACATTTTCCATGTGAACCGTTGGGCTGACCCATCCGTGGCACCATAAGGCGCACGAGAGCAAGCGGCAGCTGGACGAACGTCGGCTTAAGATGGAGGGCGCATTGGAGGATCTCCGCAGACGTACTGCAGAGAACGAAAGGCTCGAGGCGCAGGCGAAGACCGTAGGGGGACAAGTGGATGCGCTCCGAGAATTGGCAGACGCACGAGGGCTGGAGGTCAAAGAAATGCGGGAGAAACTCGCAAGGTAAGAGTGTTTCTTTTTATGCGCGTGTCTTCCTCGTCCGTTCATTTTGAAGATGGGAGGTTCGCGCTGGTTCTTGATATCTTGAGAGTCATGGTTGCTCTTGCGCACCGCCGAAAGATCTAACGGAAGCGAGGTGGTGGTTTCGGAGAAGGTACCTGTGCGTTTCAGTCACGTTGCCCTCTTGGAGAGTAGGTTCGGGGACCCAACAACTCGCTCTGTATTGTGCACCGACGTTTGTATGACGCCCACTCCCAGGCTTGTGCGGGAGGCCAAGCGCATGTCACAAGAAAACGTAGATCTTCGCAAGCACATGAGCTCAGAACAGGAGCGCTGGCGTGCGGCAGAGCGATCGAGAGCTAAACAGGACGAGCGGCGACGGATCGAATTGGACCAGAAATGTGATGATTTGCACGCGCTTCGATACAGGTGGGTTTCGATGAAGGACGTTTTTGTCGCTTTTGTCATTTCCTCAAGGAGAGAATGCTGTGAGGCGCTGTTCCTCTCCAGCTCCCGTCGTATGCCTGCCGTTGCTGTCTACCAGAAACTTTCTTCTCATGCTCACTCCAACCGACGGGGTCACTCCCACTCACCGCTGCCACGCCCGAACTCGGTGCGACGTTATTGCGCAATGTGGTTGTGCGGTGTTGTGCGGTACCTTTGGGATAGGGTGCAAGAGCTGGAGGCGAGGCTCTCGAGAGAAACGGCGCGGCGACATGGAGCTGAGGAGGATGCAAGGCGTAGTCAGGAGATGGAGCGGAGAAGGTACACGTTGACGCCAACCCTTTACACACGCTTGTGATTCACCCAATGGGAAACATCAGACCCGTTTGTAGGCGGTGTGGAGTGGAAGGGTGCTTGCCGACAACAACCCAGCTCCTGTCGCGTACTTTTCTTTCTTTCGGTGAGAAACCGTTTACCAGTACTGTTCAGTGGCGTGTTTGTGATGAGGCTTTCTGTAGGGTCACGATCTGCTTCGCTCGGCAACTAGCTTTGTTTCATCTCTGCATGGCCTCTCTAACGAAGCAAGTCATCCCCCCTCTGGTTCCATCGGCACGCCCCCTCAAATGCACACATACCGCCGCGCACCGCACACTCTCCACGCAGTATGGATGAGTTGCTGGAGGGCAGGAAGGCCGCACTATCCGTCCACACAAGGATAGGACTGGCCCAATCCAATCCTTACCACTCTGCGCCTGCTGACGGTGGGCAAGCCCCTGCCCCCGAACACGCTTGGAAACCCTGGGGTAGCCGCGGCAACGCGACAGGAGGTACTGCCACCACGGCTGCGATGACGAGCGGCGCTCGATCATCCACGATATCTGATGCTTTCCATCCTGGCGGCCGGGCGCGACACGAAGACAGCGAAGACCAACCGGGTGATCATTGCCGGTGGCAAGACCACGCAACGAGTCGAGGCAGACACCGGAATGACCTTTCAACGTCGGCGACTATCTTGCCCCCGCAACCGCCGTTGCGCCCTCCCCCTCTGGTCTCCGTCGCAGCCTTGCGGGCGTCTTTGAGAGGGCCCGGAGGCCAGCGATCGCCGTCTCCAGCGGTTGGTTCCATACGAGTGGGGTCGGAGCCATCTCTACAGCCCCTAGCGCATGCTCGCAGCCCGCAGGGATTGGACAACAGTCGCGCAGGCGCACGTCCTCGACCCCAGCCGCGGCGAGCCCCTAGCGAGGATGATTGTGACCGTAGCGCTGGTAATGGCGAAGCCGCCATTAAACTCTTGACAGGGAATGGTGGCGGCAATGATGGTGTCGGGGAGGGTGTTGAGTGCGGGTCGGAGGAAGGAGGGGAGTGGTGGGTGGGGAGTTGCGAAACGCAAGATTTGGATGGCAAACCATCGGGGTTGCAGGACACGCCTCTGCACGTGGTGTCCTTGTAAATGTTACTGCTGTGCCGCACGCAACCAAGATGGGCGGCATTCTTGGGGTGTGGATAGAAAGAGGGGGGATGGGAAAGCCATTTGCGCCCATGGTGGTGTTAATATGTAGTAAACGTATGTGTAGCGTGTGGTCTACTACAACGATGGCGTTTCTACCGCAGATTGGGTGCTGTAATATATGCTGTGAAAACGGGAGATCTTCCCGTGGGGATTTGTCAGTGGTGTCGCGTTCCCTTTGTGAATTGATGCGCCACGAAAAATCAGCAGGGCCTGCGACTGGCCTATTTGTACCGTCCACTCTGCAGCCTTTCCTACCCGAGTACGCTAACTCACATCGATCCGCACCCAATAGAACAGTGACAACAACATTTCGTAACAGCGCGGCCTCGCCCACATCAAGCGAGGTGTTTCTTCAGCCAGCCGACGATGTTGAGCCATTGATCGGCCTCGCTTGCCGGCATATCTATCGCGTGCACATCCTCCGGGTACACCAGCAGCTTCGTCTTCACCCCCCTGCTTCTGAGGGCGTGGAACCACTCCAAACCTTGCGAATGCGGGACCCTCCTGTCTTTGGCCCCCAGCGCCACGAGCGTTGGCGCCACCACACCATCTATATGCGCCACCGGCGAGGCCTTCCACATCTCGTGCAAGTCCTCGGCTGTGGGGGTCTTGAAGGCGTCAAAGTTGTACTTGCCGCACCCCAGCGCCTCCACGTAGCACCAATCGGGGATGTCGCTGACTGTAACCATGGACGCAATGTTGGTCACCTGCCGATATTACCCACAGGAATACCGGGCACGGGATCAAAAATGCTCAAAGTACCCTGTTTATGGCGGAGCATCTGCTTGAGATGGTGACGTGGTGATCACACAAGGCGGTGGGACATCACGATAGAACCAAAAAGGGGAAGTCCACTGGTGGGAAACTCCTCCATTGTCCACAAGGGGGGCAGAGTAGTGGTGCACACGCTACAAGGCAGTTCTAGTTTGTCGGTGACATTTACTGAGATTCGTACTCTTGTCACGAGACACGTGGGAGATCAATAAGATGGATTGCTTCGTGTGTATGTAGGCCCGTCGACCCTAATTTCGTTTTTGGTCCGGTCTGTTTGTGGCAAGCATTCTTCGACTGAAGCGATACAATGCTAGCATACCACAAAAAACAAAAAACACGAATGTCTGTGTGGCTGTAGTGAACCTGCAGCTGCCGAGCCGCGATATTTTGTCTCACAGCGGGGCGTCTGCCTACATAGCTAAGCTAACTTTATGCACGAGGAAGGCAGGCAGAGTGTTTGCTGCTTTGCGACACTTTAATCCCAAGCGATTAATGGGGATTAAGGTGTGCGAGGTTTCATTGGCATAACCGGCACTCGCGGCATCAGTCAAATCGTACAAGCACAAGGAGCATCGCCTCTGCTTTGTCACCTACGCAGTACGTCGTGTGGTTGATGAAACTGAAATCTTTTCGAAAGGCGCTTTGTTGCCAAAGATAAACCATTCGAGACCCGAGCGGGACCCAAGCAGCACAGTAGTATCTGTGTATCTCATACCCAGGCCAACCATCCGATCTTCGGGTTTAGCTTCAGGGCGTGCATGTACCCCAGCAAATCTATACGATCCCTTCCCGTGTTGGCACACGCTCACTCACCGGGTTCCTCAGGGCAGTAGCTTTGAAGATTTCTGGGTGTTGTGCGGTCAGGTGCGCGCCGAGAAACCCTCCGTGGCTGCCCCCTACGACTCCGACCCTTGCGGCGTCCAACGCTTCCGGTTCGAGGGCGAGCGCCGCTTTCGTGGCAGCTACGACGTCCGCGACGTCCTGTTTCCCGATACGCCCGGGGAGAGACTCCAGAGCCGTGGTTCCAAAGCCTGCAAAGACATCCACCACACCCATTTTAAGTTGGGGATAGGCTTACAGGCTAAGATGGGTTTGCTGTCGCAAGAGGCATCTGCGGCTGCTGAGATACTATCAGTCACGACCTAGCCGTACCGAGTGGTGGGCGCAAGACCGTTACAAAACAATAAGATCATCTCTCACCAGTAGATCCGCGGAAGTTGACGTGGAGGACGGCAAACCCTTGCGTCGCGCTAAGGAAGGCATATGAAGGCACGAACGCGGTTGGCATGACGCCATGAGGACCCCCATGAGGAACCACTACAAGAGGTGCAGCCTTGGCGCCCCCGCCGCCTTGATGCGGCGGCATAATAAGAACCGCCTCGATCGTTTGCTCTTGTTGTGGCTCGCCCGCTTCGTCATCAACGCCCGGAACAGGTACCGAAATCACTCTCCATTTGGCGTCGTCGAGGGCGCGCTTAACCCCCGCCGCCTGAGCACGGCCGACTCTGATCGAGGATGAGACGGAAACTCCTCCAACGGCCGGACCAAGAACAGCCTCCCCGTTCCCCGGTCCACCCCCCGCGGCGGGAAGAACAGCGAAGCCGCCGGGAGAGTTCGGGGAGGACGCCACCACGTACACCCCGGCCTCACCCACCGCTAACACAGAAGCAGAGGCGTCTTTCGGGTCTCCTGTAGAAGGGTCCTGCCCCGCCGCAGCGGTCGCCCTGACAACGCGCCCAACCTCTCCCGTTTCTGCGTCAACCTTAACAACAGACTGCCGGGAACCCCAAGCGCTCGATAGGAATATGGAACCGCCGTCTGGCGTCCAGCAAGCGTCGGGGAGATCGTCTACCCAAAGCCCCGGGAACGCCGCGCTCGACTCCGGCGCAGCCACAACATCTACAAGGGTGCGCGGCGGGCTGCCGAGGGCTCCCTTTTCTGGATCCCACGAAGCGGATGTGAGGCGGAAGCAGCCGCTGTGAGTGTCGAAACCCTCTTCCCTGGAGAGCCACACCAGGCTGTCGCCCGACGGCGAAAAACGCGCCGAGCGAGCTAGACGCCAAGAGGGGCAGAGGCACGTGTGCTCCTCCTGCTCCTGCTTGTCAATACCTTCCTGTTGAGTGGTCTTGCCGGCATCGGCAGAATCCTCTTCGCCGCTACCACCCGCGGCCTCCCCGTCCATGCTTTTCAGCAGTGAGCCTACGGGAGCGGAGTACAGTTTGCAGGGACGCTGGTAGCAGTAGATCATGCCGAGCTTGCGCGGCTCACAATCCCAGGCCGTGTAGACCACGTGCCTGCCGTCTTTGGAGAATTGGGGTTGACCGGGGGTGAGCGTGCTCGAGATCCCAGGGATTTCCTTCACTTCGCCGCTGCCGCCGATATCGGCAAGGAACAAGCCTAAGCGACTCACCTACGGAGTATTCACCAACGAGAAAACCAAAGGCGAAACGCGAGAGGTGAACATTCCGTGGCAAAAAAAATGCCGTCATTGTGCGACTGACGTTGCTTGCTCGGCACAGGCGACGACTGGCCAAACTCAAGAGCGTTCAACATTCTTGACGAGCCACGCTGACATAAAAGCATACCATGTTAGGAGTACATGCACGGTCTCTGCCTACCGGGGGTGACGCAAGATGACCTGAGGAACGATTTTTGCGCGTGCGATCGCTATCATGTCCAGTTTCGTTGGGAGCAGACATGTGTGAAACAAGGATGCGGGCTTTTCTTGCCCATTGTCTCCATATTTTCGAAGCTGCTGCCGATCAACACGGCAATCCATCATACATTGCAACCAAAGCCACACCTCAGCACACCGCACAACAGATAATTCCTTCGAAAGGCTAGGTCAATCCCAAAGGTGCGCTCACCCCTTCATACTTCTCGCCCCAGTCTTCTTCGTACACGAACTGCTCCCCCGGTAAGGGTGACGACTTAGAGCCGGTTTCGGTTTTGTCGGCCTGGGGCTTCGAGAAGAACGATCTGGGAGGTGTGTGAGTTTGGGTTTGATCGCAATTAGGCGATGTATACACGCAGCCGCGGGGTGGGGGGCGAGGAAAAAGCGAAACCACAATATGCATGCAAAACTACAACTACACTGCAAGGGTGCTCAGATCGGGTGCAACGTTAAGAACGTCGAGATGGAGATGAAAAGCCGCGTCCACGTGTACACAGACGGAAGGGGCCAAGACCTCTCGGGCGGTAATCTTCATGATCCTTACCAGTACTGGCTTGTACGCTGCGACCCAATCGTCTTGCACCACCGTGCCTATACATTCATGAAACGTGCATTATTCGTTTCAACTGAAATGCACTTTGTCGTCAAATCACCAGATCTCAACTCTCTTTCGTTTCGAAAGAGCACCCAGCCAGATGAAAATCACGCACGCTCTTCTTCACCTAGTACTGGTATCGGACTGCACATACCACACGCTCTCATCTTCTCCGCAAGGCTAATCCTCCCACCATCCAATACGGGGCGGATTTACACTTCCACACCTCACCTTGTCTCGGTAGCCTTCTTTTGTGCGACGTAGACCACCGTGCTCTCATCAGGGGACCAGTTGAGACCCCCGAACCAGGTACCCCCGGCTATCTTGCCGTGCACCCCGGCGGTCGCAATGCGGTCCATCAGCTGCCCGTCCTCATTGCTCCAGATTTCGATAACGTACGCGGCGTCCTTCGCCGTGGAGTCTTTGCCTGATGCAGAGTCTTCCCTTATGATGGCCAGAAGCTTGCCGGAAGGGGATGGCTTGAAGGCGACGGCCCCGATGAGTTCGAGCGGGAACGGCGATGATCGGTGCCATTTGCCCTCGGCCAGCTCATAGGAGTGGACGAAAGAACGCAGCTTGTTGCCTGCAGGCGAAAAGAAATGCGCGTGCAGAGCTGTGTGCTGGTGGCGTGTAGCGCTACTGTGTTGTGTATAGTCTAGGTACAGGGCTGCGTACATGTCGCTATCACAGAGCGCAGCGGATTGGTCAACGCCCGCTTGCACCCTGCCGCGTCACAAAAAGCCCGGAGCTTACTCTCCCCCGGCTAATTTTCTCTGGAATTGTATCCTGAGTTTCGGAAATGAACCCTGACCTGACGGGAAACCGTTGATTTTCTCCACAGCAAATTACTTCTCGTTCCCACGAAAAACACGAATCTTCCCTGCTCCGAACGAAGATGATTTACATCCGAGACACGCTCCATGGTTGAAAGCAGCACGGTTGACACGCCCGTTGAAACAGAACATGCAGCAGCATTCCCAGAAGGAGAGGATGTAAAGGGTGGATATCATTGCTTTACATACCGGAATGAATCGTGTTTCGGGTCCTTTCGCTTGGTTGGAGCGGAAAGTAATTTCTGCGGAGAAAATAGCTAATGGCCGATGTTCGAAGGGTCCACCTGTCCATCTCCCGTTAGGTCCATCTCCCGTAAGGTCAGGGTGTTAGGGTATACTTCCGAAAGTCAGGGTACACTTCCAGAGAAAGTAACCGTGGCAGGGAAACGCGGGGCTTTCTGTGATACAGCGGGGTGATCACGGGCGTCGACCAACCAGCTATAGGCTCATTTCAGGCTGGGTACATGCACAAGATCAAAATATGGCGTCGGCCGAGCAGTCGCTTTAGATCCCGGGGGATTACCCTGTTGATGTGCCGTTTACGCAATACAAAACTTACAAGCACACCGAAGTGTACACTGTAGACTGCCGATGAACAGGTATAAAAGCTTGTTCCTGCTTGAATTGCACTGGAGAGTTGTCGGTAGGCGTCAGCTCGCCCGGATCTACTGTTACCTACTTGCTGTTTGTATGTACAGCAGTACTGCTGTCTCCATGTACAGTCAGGAGTACCTGCCCCAGAGATATCAAGGATCCCGACCGGCATTGTTGTCTCGCTCTAGCATCTTGGGATCATGTCGTATAGGTAAGGAGATAAAGGAGGAAACGCCAGATGCAATTGCGGGGCACTCGCACAAGTCCTAGCTCTACCTTCAATGTCGCGAGCTGTCCGTTGCACCAGCAGTGTTTCCGAATGCTCCCCTGGGAGCACCCACGCCTTGCTGATGCCGGGGCTTTGCGCGAAGATTCCTGCATATGCTTGCACTGCTTCAGCACCACCCAGCATCCTTGCAGTAGTGCCTGAGCGACACCGAAATCGGCTAGAGTAAGGTGTGATGGAACCACGAGCGGTCCACGCTAGCGGAGCTCCCAGAAGTCGGCTCAGCAAGAGCATCCAAGCAAGTGGCATTGGACACGCCCGGCCTTGTTTGTTCGCGAGGGGGCTCCGCGAAGTAAAAGGCGCGTGTCCTGTATGTACTGTGTGTGTGTGTCACCCAAGCGCGCATACATGTGTCGACACGCAGCAGGTTTCGATGCACACACAAACACTCTTGACTCACATTGTTCACTACGCATGGATAACGTGCACACATAACATATGCATTGCACCCCTTTCGAACATGCGCAGTGTATGCGTAGAATATGAGAGAGGCGTGGGGCTACAAAATAAGGTTATGTACTTTTCGCTGATAAAAGAATGTCGAAGATGCTGCACAGCAGCTAAAATACGGTAATTATAATGTGAGATTTTGGACCCTTACACTTACACTGCTGCAAGCTCGAAAATAATTCACACGAAACAGAACGTCCCAGACCTACAGCAGTGTAGTACGACCGCAGGAGGGTGACATGGAATTTCACATCTTCATGACAGATTCCAGCACGGCCTCGAAGTAGTTTATGTTGAAACGTAGTTTATTGTCAGCTCAACACAATAAATCTATCTTCATTGTGGAGTCCGATACTGCCGTAGACTATATCATGTCGCTCAGCTACATACGAAGCAGTAGCAGTGCGCGGGACCCGGGATGCGTCGTTGCCAGCTTCTCTGAAGGTTTTAGATTAGCACGTTCGAGATCCAAGGTTGACGTTAGCCCGGTTTTCGAAACCTACCTGCAGGGTTAGCGAGCAGGATGCAACTCCGATCCGTCGACAACGCAACCGCGCGCGCGCCCGTGTGTTGAACCACATCTATCTCTCCCCTGAACGCGATAGCCTGTCATACTATAGTGTTCCTTCACCACCTCCAACAAGTGTCGCGATCGTTTCTGCAGCTCCGGTGGTTTCTCATGTTTTACGTGTGGTAGGAGGATAGGATGTGTGTGCATGTGTGCGTCTGCGTACCTTGATGTGACGGCACTTCTTTTCTTCTCCTTCTCGCCTCTCTGGATTTTAAACGCTGATCCAACAACGAATGCCATTCATGAAACGAGAGACCGGCTTTCTACAGTAGTGTTGTCCTCGGGGTACCGCAATTAAGGATCGCGGGGGAGACTGGACAGAGCTGCTAAATGTATGTGTGTGTTTCTGTAAAAAGCGTCGACCGCGCTATACCGCCTACAAATGAACAGGCGTTGTCAGCCATATATATGCATATAACCACGTAAATACACTCGAACACGCTTTCCGAGGTGTGCGTGTACGTAATTCACTCGACCCCTCTCGCTATGTGGATACGCAATGACGAAGCGTGCGCCCCACGCGCACACGTGAACGAAGGTCTCAGAACGACACCTCTTCGTAGATAGTACATGCCAAGCCACCCGGTTCCATGAAATGCTTGACAAACCGGAAGCACTTCCGTCGATTTCGTGGTTGCTATTTACGCAGGGCAAACATGACGCAAGGCCTTCATCTGTACGCCAAGCTCAAGCTCCAGGCCTTTCTTATTCGCCCACTGGCAAAAGGCCGACACACGCATGGGCATAACTTTGTGAACAAAGGTGGTCGACATAATAGAACAAGACGGGGCCGTTTCAGTCGATTTACAAAATTCCGAAGCCTCCCCGCATGGTCGCCCGCTTCATCACTTGTCGATGTAGAGCAAGCGACCATCGCGAAACCGACCGTCTGGCACACCACGTGACGAGGGCGACGGCAACGAGCTCACACATCCAGGGTCTTGCGCCAGGGATTCTCCTTGCCCCGCCCCCTCTTCCGCTTGGCGAGCACGCCAATTTTCTCCAGGAAGCCAATCCACCTGAGGCAATGAATGCAGGATGAGTGGGTCAATAGCATGGATGTCAGGATGCCACAAACCCAGCGACAATGCAGCAACAACGACGAAGTCTTCAACGAAAGGAGGACCACAAGATTGAACGACGCTTTGCCGGCACGCGGCGAACGAAAAAGGAGAGCAGAATTTCAACGTTTTCCATGTTCACGATGAAGATGTTCAGAAGAAATACGGAAGGTTGTATTGAGTGCACGGGTTCCGACTACGTGCGGGCGAGCGTGATGATGCGACGACATCCGCGCCAAAAGAGTGAACAGCGGTGTCAAAAGTGATACTACCGGAACAACAACAACTGACAAGATCTTGTGTGACAGTATCAGGTCACCCCGCCGAAACAAAATCCAACCTCTTCATCGCCAACGAACTTCGTTTTTAAGAACATCCTTGTTACCTGATCTTGTGGCATCGCCAGCAACGATTTCTGCACGATTTCTCCGAAAGATTTGTCCTCTCTCAGCATGCCCTCCAAGGCGACTCTGTGAAAAGTACGTGGTGGGCGAGCAAGGCAGGCCACGAGGTGAAAAACAGTCACATCAAAACGCGCCCATAAGAGAAAAGGGAAAAGGGAAAAACTGTCGTCCGGGGCGTACTGTATGCCCAGAATCTACCGTAGGGTTTCTCAATCCGCCCGAAAAGCACGCGCGAAACAAAACAGCAGCCTCGCGAACACACCAAGTGCGCAACATCATTTGAGAGACGAGCGGTGCAGCAAACAGGGTAAAGCAGGGTCGTTCGAAAGCAGCGGCGCCTTGAACATTGTCCTGCCCCGGAATGACTCAGCTCATCGTGAGTTTGCAAAATCAACTGACAACACAACGACACTACGGCCCTTCACGTGCCTGCTGTCACCTTCTCCGTTGAAATAAATCAGGTTCCTGATACTTGCTGTCAAAACACAAACATTCAAATTATTTATTGCGTGCAAGTAACAACAGAAGTGTGCCCCGGATGGAGGGGACCCCGCGTGATCACCCTGCCCTTGGCCATCCCTTTTAGACCTACCGGAACTTCTTGCCGCCCTTCTCTCCATGAAACATGTGCCAGATCGGCTTGGCCAGTCTTCGTCGGCAAGCGAGCCACTTCTCCCCACAGGCCTTCTCCTGTCTCTCTCCGTACTCGGCGTACCTCTCGAGCACCTCTCGTCTGGTCAATCCTGGGTCCTGTGTGTGTGGCCGCGCAAGAACATCGGGTGGACACAGCATCAAACCAAATAGAAACGTTGATTGCGTGGGAACTCGAACCACGTATCTCAACAACATGTGAACAATGTGTCGCCAAACGCTATCCTTGTAGGGTATGAAGGAGTTCAGGTAAAACGAGGCCGTCCACCTGGCGATAAGAACGGGGTGAGGAATGGTGTGTTACGACGCACGCGACACGATACCGGTAGACCACTAAGAGGAACCTACCTGGACCACCTCTGAGCTAACGTGAGACTAACGAATGGGAGCAGATTAACGCTCTACTTCTACAACGTCTTATTCCTGACAGACTGCGGAGAAGCAAAATGTTTTTACTTCCGAGTCGAAGAATGGAATGAAGGCAAACGGCCTAGCAGCCTGGCTTGTGCCAGAGAGTAAATATCAGATCAAGTCATCTCACAGGCGATACGTCTAAGGTCAGATGCTAGTCGTGTGGTGAGCTTGGACACTAATACAAGGAAGACTGCACGAAGACGGGAGGATGTATCGACAAGCTCGATGGCAGCACAATAAAGATTCCGGCAGAACGGCGACAAGACCGGTAGGAAGAAATTGTGCCGTTTCCACAAAACACACACCCACGACACCTCGGACTGCACAACATTAGCGGCTAGGAAGTCCGCACCGAAGTCATCAAGGAACAGCACAAGCGGGGCGAGAGTAACTTCGCCAACGCAGCTGCCGAAGAACATGAGTAGTCAAGGGACAATGTCTCGACGACAGATACCACTAGGGTGTTGAACCATATCAGCGTGTCTTTTCAAGCTAACGGGGCAAAGGAGTCGATGACATCGGATCAGGACAACGACGACATCATCTACAAACCCATGGGATTCTCGTTTTCGGTCACGGAGGAAGAAGAACTCTCCACCATTGGACCGCAACTGCACGTGTTTGACGATGATGGTTGACAGCGGAGCATCCGCTCATTACATCAATGATACGCTGATTCCGGGTTCAAGAAGATGATGACAGATTGTCGTAGACTGGCCCCTCCCTCCCCGTGTCATAACCACGGCAGGCCTGCACAAATTCGGTGGAACAGCTACATGTTATTTACGCTGCGGCACGCCAACAGCAACGGGAAGCCGCGTATCGTGCGTCTACCCATCACGATAGTTCCGGGGATCAGACGGAGCTTATTCTCATCCGCAGCCGCCCATTTGAAGGGCATAGAAACAATCATGTCGTACTTCGCAAGACTGGAAAGGGACAGCATACACTCTCCTCTGAGGCGAGATGGATCGATCTTCAAGGTAATTTGAAGATTATCTCCCCAAATTTCATCAGCTCAGACGCAGTCGGCGTTCTCCACAACCAACGACGACATGGACAACCGTCGTCTCGGACACCTGAACGAGAACAACATGCAGACTCGGGTGTCTCGTTCGAAGTAGATGATTCCTCTTGCAAGGTTTGCAAGCTTGGGAAAAGTGCTCGGCTCAAGCATCCTTTGACCACATCTCCGTCCGAGCTGGTCTACACGAACTTTGCTGGTCCGTTCAAGTTCAAGCTTCAAGAGAAGGACGGATCCAACTATTTCAGCAAGTGCACGGATCATTGCAGCAGGTGGAAAGAAGTCCTATCGCGTCCAAAAACCGCGCAAACGCCGGGTTACGGAAGGCGTTCACGTCACATTTAGTGAGACGCAGCCAAAGGCACCGCGGGAAGCTGGACACAAAACTCTGTCCAATCCAGACGAAACGAAAGTGCATAGCACACAGGAGCTGACGAGCGTACCATTGGGATATTCTTGCTCATTCACCTCTCCTCGACTCAACTAGCGAGGATAATAACAACCAAGAGGAAGACAGTTGCAGAGAAGAAACTAATCGGAAGGTTCACCACGCCCACCCACAACAATCGGTTCAGTGGATACGCTCAATCCGCCGTCAACACCGACTTCTGTGAGAACACCGAGTAAAGGAACGTCATCCGACCACAAGGAGGACTCGCCGCAGGGACGGGATAATCAAGTTCATCGATGCTTCCTGACACATCGGTGGACAGCGCAGCATCACTACGATCGCAGTCGCTGAACAGGGCCTTATGGTCCAAGAGGAACCTGCCCACGATACCGAGAGTGTGCACACTGCGGGGCTCGATGTAAAAACGCTATATTCGAGATGAAACGTCTGGTCACATCCGTCACGTTTGAGAAAGAAGACCATGGTCTCGAGCCGGAACGTAGATCACTCGTCCCTGGAGTACACATACGTCCCGGAAACGATCACCCACTCCAAGCCGGATCCGGCCAGCATCGCGTCGCCAAACACCATCAAGGGAGCCAAGGCGTCAACACACAGAGTGGCTATAGACAACGAAATGACGAGCCTTAACGAGAGCAACGTCAACGACCTCATTCCAAGATCTTCCGTTCCCCAGGCCATCGGATCACGGCGGGCGTTCAAGGTCAAGAGCGACTACCTTGCAAGGTATGAATTGTCTTTCAAGGTCATGCTCAACGGCCAGGAATCGATTGCGGGACAAGTTTTGCACCGGTTTGCCGCACCGAGAGGCAACGGATGCTAATGGCCATCGCCTGTCATTTTGAATTGGGGACATTTTAATGCTGGAAGTCGAGGCGTCGTTCCTTCAAAGCCCCATCGACTCACCAACATACATGCGACAAGCCCCGGATACGAGAAGCTTGACGTCCAAGGAAAACCCTTCACCATGAAGCTGAAGCAAGCCGTTTCCGGACAGCGCACAGCAAGCCTCGTTTGGTATCTTACATTGGACAAAGCTCTTTGGCGATGGGGTTCAAGGCCAAAGGACGGACCCACCCACGTACATCTCAGAAATTGGGGGAGGATACAGTCTTATTCACCATCATGTTGAGACATTCTCGTGGCATCGCCTGACGGGAAGCTGCTCTTCGAGAACAAGAAGCAGTTTATGGGTCGTTTCACCATGAGCGATCTCGGAGAGGTGTCTCTCATCCTTGGGGAGGAAGGTCACACGCGATCGAGTCAAGAAGATCCTCCCGATCAGCCAAATGGCCAACACCACATCACTCCTGGAACGAAACACTGCAACCCAGTCAGCACGCCAAGCGTGGGACGAGAAGTATCGCTCGATCAGCCAGCAGACACTCTGCTCGACGAGGACGCTATCAAGACGCACCAAAGCCGAGTCGGAAGTCTCCGATACTTGAGCCGAACCAGTCGCTGAGACATCTCATTAGCCGTGCTTGAACTGACACGGGACTAGCGACCAAGTGCCCAGCAAGGCGCACATGTCCAGGGCCACCCATGTACTTGCAACTACTTGGGGCGAGTGGAACTGTTCGGAACATCATCCGTGGATAGGAATAGGACCACATGGTTAACACAGGTCGTATGACACGAGGACTGGACGGAATGGAACACCAGGCCGGGGATATACCCACACGCTCTCACTCCGTTTTATCCTCAGGCTCTTCTCTCTGTCCGCTACACGTACAACAAGCTCAAGCTATGTACAGGTTCTCCATCAAGCGGACGTATGAAGGAGCGCTAAAACAGATCAACATCGACGTGCTGCGCGAAGTGGCACCCAAGCTCGGAGACAAGATCGATGTTTCGCTGGCGGACGTCCAGGAGTACGAACTGCAACGTGAACCCTTTGTGGACGACTTGGACGCCAGGGGTGGCAAGGTGATGCTCCTCGTGGTCGGATGAACTTCGACAGCATCCCACAGTTTTGTTCGGACGAACCGTTCTTGCGCGTTTAAGGGGACCGCCATCTCCACAACCCACGAAAGCACGACGTCGACATGTTCACGGACATTTCCGAGGACAGCTTAGAGTCTAGTGAAGCAGACAGCCGCAGTGTCAAAGCCGAAGGCAAGCAAAACGCTGTCGTAGACGTATACGAGGTATGTTGCAAGCTTATCTTTTTTCAGCTGGCTTGGGGCTGGCTTGGGCACCTCATGACCCACATGATATTCCCATCACAAGCCGCGGCAGAACGCATTTGGAGAGTAGTATGAGAAGTCGGCATTTCTCTTGCAAGTACCAAGTTTTTCACAACTTCATGTGCAAACTGACAAACACCGGGCATGTGCGTCTCATAGAAGCCATCTTAAAGGATGGCGTATGGACGGCACTTAAACGGTTCTGGTTGGCGGAAGCCCAGCACACGGGCGTCGTTGGTACTTGCAAGAGAAAATACCGACTTCTCATGATACTATCCAAATGCGTTCTGATCATGTGGGCCATAAGATGCCCGAGCCAACCCCAATTCGGCTGGAAAATATAGAACTCGCAACATATACGTCTACGATAGCCTTTTTCTTGCGTTTGCCTGTGACACTGCTGCTGTCTTCTTCCAAGGACCCTTAAGTTGTCATCGGAATATCGGTGAACATGCCGACGCCGTCGCTCTTGGTTGGTGGAGATGGCGGTGGTTCCCCTTGAGCGGCAAGAACGGTTCCTCCAGAACAAACTGTGGGATGCTGTGTCGTGGTTCATCCGATCATCCTTCCCACCCCTGGCGCCCAACTCGTTGCTATGCCATGCCATAGATAATTTTCCGTGTGGGTTGTCCTACACGGACTAGGGAATACTTGAAGAAGACAGGCTCGATAATCTCATTATGTATCTAGCACAGCACAGATTTCCAGAAGAAAGCATCACGTTGCAAGTAGCTCAGACTTGCGTGTGTGGAAAGATATGTGCCATCGCAAGTAATCAGACTTGCGGGCTTGAATGAATGGATATTCGTATGCACTAAGCAGCCGAATTTGAAAGCATTAGCATTGTAATTCCGTCGTTGAAGATGTATTCTGCGTTAAATCGTACGTCAGTGCAAGAAATTTTCTTACTCTTGCAAGCAGCAGTACTCTATGTGCATACGTGGCAAGTTCGAGAACACGGTGTTGAAGTCACCTTTGCCAGTAACGAATCTTAGCTTACCAGTACCATATGCTCAACACATGAGATTGGTTGACGTTGCTGGATATGATGCGATTTCATTATTTCGAGGATGGGCACGCACTCGCCCCATCCTGTCCCTCTCCTTTTCTGCGGATCCACCTGGCTTCGCTCTGTTCTCTGCATTATTTCTGGTCTTCACCGATCAATAAACTACATTTCCCCCAAACCATCTTCTCCTTCGGACTTCCTGCGTACTCAGAGCCAAGGCTGTCGTACTCAAAAAGAGTCCAGTGGCACAATGAATGTGTCTGTAAACGATACGCAGGTTCACACGCAGCCTTGAGTTTTGCTTTTTGACCTGTGACAATAAGATTGCACAATCGGGTGCTCTGTTTATGTACATGAGTGGTCATTGCTGCTTACGCACGTTCTGCTCGCGCGACACACTGCGGAGAGAGCACGCACAACTCCAGAATAAATTAGGACGTACCTTACGTTCGATAACAGTCAACAACACCTCATTCGAGAACCCATACGGGACTATCGTCAACATCCACAAGCCTACATTTACTGCGACCGGCGTCTCACCATAGGGTCCTATCATAGCCCGTGCCGTACCTCGTCGGAGGGACAGCTACTCTACATTGCACTCCCATACCCTCGGCTTCGTGAAAGCGCGGTTGAAACCTACCTTCGCCCCGAACAACATAGAATCGGCTTGGCTCCAATACCATGGATTGCTGCTCCAGGATCTCCCCACCATCACTCCGTGAGCGCCTTGCTCCAGGCAGGAGACCGCCTTGCGGGAAGAAGGTGTGTGGGGGCGATGGGGGCAGGGTTCAGTCTGCAATGTTGGAGAGCGATCCGCTTAGGTCCGAGGGTTTCGTGAGCATGAACGCCGTGGACAAAACCCAGGACAAGCACTACTTTATAATAGTACAGTCCTCGAGCAGTGAGTAGAGAGCGGGGCGCTTCGATAGCCAAAAGCGGACATGGTGAACCTGTTAGTTCAGCACTCCCATCGCTGATCTCACCCACCGTGTGCGAAAGCTACACGCCCTCCCCGCGCATGGCACCTTCAGCACAGTAACCCCGATGTCAGGATACTTGGCTTTGGCGCGTGGTAGTACAGTGGTCGCGCACGAAGATTTACCACAGGCGCACAACAACGCGCACCTCTTCATACGTGTTGACCCCCCCGTTCAGCGTGAAATCCACATCTGGAAAGTCCTTGACGAGTCTGTATACGAAATCGTACTTCAGGGGCGGTATATTCCTGTTCTGTGCCGGACTGAGCCCGCCGAGGATGGCCTTGCGGGCGTGGACGATGAAGTGCGGAACCCCTGCCCCGCGGCTCACCTGATGCCAAGCCCACCGCCATGTTATAAGCCAAGCAACCGCGCAGATAATTAAGGCAATAAATCGAGATAGTTAAGTGAAGTCACTGCACGGTTAGAAAGTGAATCGGGGAGTGTAAGAACACCTTAGCAGGACGCACATGGCGGCAGAAAGCCGATCATGCGCATCGATGACAGCAAGAAAAAAAAAAAACGTCAATGAAAGCGGTGCGGCGCAGGAGGCCTTTTGCCCAAACGGGACCGACCGAATAGAACGACTCTTGCCTCTGGCCAATGTACTACACTGCTGCAGACAGCTCCGAACGTACGTGGGTGTGAAACACGAGCGCGCAGATGCGGCCACAGAGCCCAAAAAATTGGAAAACAGGACGACACTATTATAGGCAGCTAAACGCATCGCCCGACGCATCGGCCTTGCGGCGCAGCAGCGGCGTGAACAACCCCCTCCCACCGGCTTGACACGCGGTTCCAACGTAAAATCCTTCCGCGCGTGGACTACAGCAAAGGGGAGCGAAGCCCACCTCTTCCACGAAGGCGGCAAGCTGCTCGTACGAGTCGTCGTTGTCCACGCCGATCCGGCACTTGACCGTGATCGGCGTGTCCTCCCCTGCCCCGTCCTTCATCGCCAGGCACAGGTCCTTGACAAGGGAGGGCGACCGCATCAGCGCCGCTCCGAAGGCCCCCTTGCCCGCGACCTTCTCGCTGGGGCACCCGCAGTTTAGGTTGATGGCGTCGTACTTGTACGGGCGAGCCAGGCGGCAGGCTTCTCGAACGTCGGTGGTGTCTGACCCGCCGATCTGCGGCCGACAGAGCGACGCCGATAAACATTAACGAGTTTTGCATGGAGAGAGAGAGAGAGAGAGAGAGAGAGAGAGAGAGAGAGAGTCGTCGTTCACCGTTAGTTGGGAAGAAGCCAAGACACCGCAAATGCGAGTGACAGCAGCAGCGGCAACTTAGCAGCGGCACCATAGGAGCGGAGCATTCGTCGAAGAACCTTACGCCAAACGCATGTATGGAAAAAACTGCCTGTTCATGGCGGAGCAAGTGAAAAGCAGACCCTAAAAAGAACACGATGAACTGCTCTCGACTCGATCTGCCATGTGCTTTCGGAGAGCACACGAAAAGCGAGGTTCTAATATAAGTTCCTTGGCAATGTCTTGTAAGCAGTATTAGGGTAACCATGCCAATCGCATTGATGGGACGACGATCTGCCCTCGGTCACAAATAAACCTACGCGGCAGAAACAACTGTTGAAACCAGGGTCGCAGTTGCAGTGAGCCTACATAGATGTGCCTTTCCGGGTGTGGGGGGAAAAAGTCGAGTACCTGTAAGACGACTGGGTGTTCGACCTCCTCGTTGTAGTCCAGAAATCGACCGAGGTCGTCAGGGTTGTGAATGATTGTCGATGACGGCACCATCTCCGTCCAAAGCACCGTGCGAGTTGTTAGCAACCGCAGCAGGTAGCGCATGTGCCGGTCTGTGTACTCCATCATCGGAGCGAGAGAGAACACCTGCGAACGAGCCAAGCGGGCAAGCCTAGTATCACCAGTATCAGCAGCAGACTTGTGGCCAAGGGCCCTCATGTTGCGGGACGCAACTCTTCACAGGTGGCGCAGAAACCCGATTTAAGCACTAGCACCGAGGCAAACTCTCATGCACGTTATTAGTAGTGGTGTGGAAACTTGGCCTCAGCTTTCCTCCTACAAGTCACTGGATGCCTTCAACGTCTTTGCTGTGGAGGACAGGTGTAGAATTGTTACAACCATTGCTATGTTGCACATACAAAAGTAGGACAGATGATCCGAGCAGAGTGTCTTGCCGATGGTTGAACAACAAGGAACCTGACCATGGACACGGACCTTTCAGCGGCACCTGCGGAGATGCGGAATGTGGGACCTTCGGTCCTCGTTTCCCTCGCCCCTACGGTATCACTCTCTCTCGGTTTCCTCTCTCTCTCTTCCGAGACCTCTCCTTGCCAAATCTCAACGAAAAGACCTAGGTCTGCTTCCAACGAGAGAAGCCTGCGTCCTTATTGCGCCGTATCTGAAGGCGGCATATCTGTTCACCAAGCTCGGCATGGTTGCCAGCTTTGACGGCCCTCACGCTCTTTCCCACAGACGGTACCGGCGTGGCCGGGCAGGAGCCGGGCATCATGGGGGCGCTGGTCCAAAACATCATGCAGACGGGTAGTACTCTGAGCACACCGATACACCTATCGGACATGTACTCATGGACCACCATGGCTCACCCGTTGCGATAAGAAGGACACATTGGTTGCGGCTCGGCCTTCGGCAAGGTCTATTTCCACGCCCATGGTATGCACTCATGCATACCGTAAGTGACACAAGAAAACACATCCTGGTGATAAGATTTTGGAGTTTAAAAACTTATCACCGGGTGTGCTTTCTTGGCATGGGTGTGCTATCTTGTGTCACCGGTGGGATCATGTTCACGTTGACGGAGCCCGCAATCAGGGTGTGTGATAAGCCAAGGGTGTGTGGTAAATAGGGGGGGTGATAACATATTTACCTGCTCCACAATTCCTAGAAGGGGTGTGATAAATGAAGGTAAGTGTGATAACACTCAGCAGACTCTGTTGCGGGGTCCCCAACCGACGATGTTGTGCGGGCCTCGGTGGATGCTGTTGAGCGGGCTTTGGCAGCACTTGCGGCGGCAAGTGCCAATGGAGTCTCATCGTTTGGCTTGGCGGCGGGTTGCTTCGAGAAAAATGATGTGATCGCCCGTGGAGCCGCCGGCGCAGACGTTGATGGCACCGTCTGAGCGACGCCACTTCCAGCAGGGTTGTTTCAAGAGGGTTGTCTACCTCCTCCACCTCCGTATTGTCCTTGTTTGTGTGCATACCAGCTGTGTGCCTCTGTTCGTGTGTGCACGTCGGGCTGTGCACATCCGGGCCAACAGCCACCAGCCACCAGGTGTGATAATGGGGGCTCCATGATTGGAAATGCGGCGAACCGTAGGGGGTGCGCTATCTTGTGTCACCGGTGTGATAAATTGGCGTTTTTTTCAGAGTCTCAAAAAACGTCACCGGGTGTGCTTTCCTGGAGAGGTGTGCTATCTTCTGTGAGTGTGCTATCTTGTGTCACGGTACATGTACACGAGCACGTGAGTCAGGCTCAACTCTCTACTGTATGATGTATGGCAAACAAAACGGGAGGCCATTATCTGGTTTCAAGAGGGACTCGCGCTGCTTGCCAGGTTTGCGAGAGTAAAAGCCCGGAAAGAGGCAGCGCAACGGACGGACCTGGTCCTGCAACCCAACGCGCACCTGTGAATGTTAGCCCGAGTTCGACACCTAGACTACATAAAACCGCCGCAGCGGATCTCCGGTGCCTAATTGACTCTGAGTTGGTGAGTTGGTACGTAAAAATGCACTATGTAACCAACCATTTACCTATGAAGTGCGGTTGTATCCTACCTCACGGCCCCTACCAAGCGCGGATGGAGGTGAATCAGGCGCCGCGCCCGCTTCCATCCGCGTTCGCCTGCCATGCTTCTTGCCATCGGTCTCCCAGTGATCGACGGGCGGCGCTGCTGCTGTGTGTCGACATCGTCGTGCTCTCAATCCCTGATGCTGTGATGGTATTGCCAGCGGGAATGCCCTCGCAGAGTGAACTACCACCAGAGCTGAGAGGCTCATGCTCTTCAGCTTCATCATCGCACCAGCGGGCACACGAAGGGCGAGCGAGCGAGATGCTGCTGAACAAGGTAACGAGGTGCCACTCCTAGGGGACATTTGAGATCTACCCCGGAGTTTCAAAGCTCGATTTTGTTTTTTTTACAGTCCCGCCGTCTTGCCTGCCCGCATACCGCCCACGCCCAGGACAACAAGCAACAAGCATAACAAGACAACGAGCGCGGGAAGACCAAACCTTGCCCAGGAAAGTTCGTTCATGGACCCTCAACAGGTATGTCTGGCGCTCCTGTGTGTTCGACGGTCATATCGTCGGTGCAGGCACTCTATGAATGTTATGTACGTACACGCATACGCGGAGGGTCTATGGAGCCGACTAAATAACAAAGCCCGCGAGTCCATGTTCATGTTACAGGCAACCACAAGACCGCGTGGGTGGCCACGTGCAGCATGACCGGTGGTGCCTGCATAATTTACTTATGGTGGCGATATGTGTGGCAAACTGCAGGATTTGCGTGTTCCTCGTAAAACGGAAGTGCTCGTGCATCCACACCGCACTACTGTTTCTTGGAACACACACCCTGCCTGCTGATGCCTGATTGCCAATAGGTGGTCGTACCGCGCACGCAAAGTACCACCTACTTTCCTCCCTTTTGTGACGTTCTTACCCCCCGACATAGATGAATGGAGGACGATTCTTGCTGTTGGTCACCGGGGCATCTCGCGGCTTCGGGCGCTGCGTTGCGGAGGAATTCGTTCGCCAGGTTGCCCCTGCCAACCCCGTTGACCTCGTCCTCGTCGCAAGGAGCGAAACTGGCCTGGAGAGTGCCACCGATTCTGTCAATGAGATCGCCGCGAGTATCAACGCCCCCGGTGGTGTCGTCGTTCGGAAAGAACCCTTGGACTTGGGAGACCTGGATCACCTCGAGGCAAACCTGGAGGGTGTTTTCAGTCGGATAGGTGAGTCGTCGAGGACGAAAGCCCGATCGATCCACTTCAAGTTGACCGCATGAGGTTTACCACAGCGAGGAAATTGATTGCATTTTGTATGTGCTACGCCGACGAACATCTTCAAATCGAGCCCTCGCCCCTAATCATTGGTTGGTCATTAGTGGTGATCTCATGCCCAACTGCGTTGAATCACGGTCGTGCACACAGGGTTTCGCCCTGCTCAGCACAACGCGAATATTCCAGAAGCTTCTTCTCCGGTGGGCTGGGCCTACATAGAGCGTATCTTCATGTCGGTACTGTGTGTCTTGTTGAATGAACGAACATATCGTTCATTCAAAGGAGGAAAGTGGTTATCAACCCCTCCATGCACACGCTGTGTAAAACCGCTTGCGCGTTCACCCCCGCTGCACACTGTACCCTCCACATCACTTCACAGACCCAACCCGCTACTCACGAGCGGTGCTGGTCAACAACGCCGGCTCTCTTGGCCACATCGGCGTTGCGAGCGCGCTACCCTCGCTGGCCGCGTTTCGATCAGAGATGGATTTCAACATTACGTCGGCCCTTTGGCTATCGTCACGCTTTTCCGCCGTCTTCGGCGCGAAAAGACCGAACCTAAGTTCCGGTAATTCTGTTGAAGGTACGTTGGGTGAAAGTGGGGCTGACGTCGACAAAAATGGGGCAACTACTGCTGCTACCGCAAGTGCCGACACGGTGCACGACGTGTCGAACAACATCGTGGTGAACATCTCAAGCCTGGCCGCGTTGCAACCATTCGAGACCTGGGGAGGGTACAGCTCGGGGAAGGCTGCTCGAGACATGTTCCACAGGTGAGATACGTGCTTGCGTTTATATTGGTTCTTCAATATTCTTGTTGTCAAGCCTCGTCGGGTTGATTCTTGTTGCGTGAATCTCGCAACGATGGAATGCTCATGTTTTTTGAGAGTCGTTCTAGAACGTGCGGCATCATTTAGGGCTGGCATGCTACCTGTTTGACCAACCGAGAAGGTAGGCTGGATGGGTACTAACGGATTGTTTACGGCAGCTCGTCTCGCACTGAACAGTGCATTGAGGTAATCGAATTGCGCAGCACCAGATAAATCCACGCCCCCAAAGCCCTGTGCTCTACGAAATCATTTTTAGCTGCTGCCCTCCTATTGTGGTACTGTAGTGCAGTTTCGACCTGCAGACAATACACGAATGCATGGGTGACACGGTATTGCCGGCCTTTGCCATCGAACTTTACTATATCTTCACAGGTCAGTTTCGAAACGAATTTTTTCTCGTATGGCTTTGGTCAATTCCAAAATGATTGTTGTGTCGCCCGAGCAGGGTACTGGCGACGGAACAAGCATCTATCGGGGGCCTCAAGGTGCTCAACTATGCTCCAGGGCCTATGAACACGGACATGTCGAGAGATATCCGATCGGCGGAGCAGTTCGAGGAGGACTTGCAAAGCGGGAAGCTCATAGATGCCAGGGTTTCGGCAGAAAAGTGCGTAAGGCTTGCGCTGCATGGGACGTTCGCCAGTGGGTCACACGTGGATTTTTTTGACGAGGACTGATGACATGCTGTATCGAGACACCTGTCAGGAACAGTTTGTGCCCTTTAGTTGTCACGGCATGGATGCATGTGCTTCGCGTGTTTTGGGGGTTGGTCAATAGACCTCTATCAGAAGGTTGGGAGAGGAAGTACAAGCCGCCATTGGGTGCTGGCCGGCGCGGGTACTGTGTTGGATAGGGCTAGAGTGCGGAAAAAGTGCTTCGCCGAACACGTGGTCTCGGGGGCTGAAAATGGAGGGGGTCAGTGTGCCTTGTTGCGTTATGCGACACACATGTTTTCTGGGGATTTTTCTTCGGACCTATTAGACTTCCGTCGCCAGTACCCGCACTCAGCGAGCCGCACGTAAAACATTACAGTCTGTAACAGACCCACCCAACGATTTGTGCATGTAATTTTTGTTTACAGCATCGGTCTTGTTGCTTTTCCCTGGGCGATGTCGTGTCTGACATGTTTCTTCCGCCCTGCCTACTCGCGGGGGTGGAGCTATGAAGAGAATAGCGTGCGGGTCTCCCGGGACGGGTTTCGATTTAGCAGAGACCCAACGGTTATAAATGATAAGACAGTAACACGGCCAACCACACTGAACGCCCGTCTTTACGCATCCACCCATTCGTGACGCCGTCGTTCGTCACACCGTCACACACCAAATTCCAATCCGTCCAAAGATCAAAGGAAAGCGGCCCTCGGATTGGAGGCAATCCTGCAAGGGCAATTTTGAAGAGAATGGGGTACGGTCTCCCGCTAGCATTTTCCCGAAGGTATAAATGGTTTTGTACTGATCGCCGCGGGTTAAAACAACAACGAACAAGGTGTCAACGCATGGCAATTCGTACCCGCCTCCCACGAAGCTCCTCAATCTTCAAAATCACGCAACGCGAACTTCCACACGAACCTACAACCTAAACCTCTTAACCACGACAAACGTCCTGCGTGATGGACTTACCCCTCATGAGAGATGGCAAGCGTTGCCCGACCTACAAGTTGACCGAGATCATATTCTGCAAACAAAAATTTATCACCAAAACAAGAACCACTGATATTTCCATAGTTGTGCTTGAAGGCGACAATATCGTGAAGCCCGACGGCTCAGCATCGAGAATTCCAAGAGCCGGCACTGGTTGTTCGTCCTCAATACGCACCTCTGCGCAACGCCCAGGCCCCACCTTCCAAACCCGTGAAACCGGAGTCCATTGGGTGTGCCGCTAAAAACGTGCTCTCCCCGCCCAGTTCGCCACCACCAGTGCGGTCCCTGCTGTCGGCACCGACTCTGTGCGTAGACTCAGCCTCTTCGCGTCCAAAACCTTCCCGACCGAGGACTTTTCCACTACTGAGCAGGCCATAAACGGTACTACTTGCACCGCCTCCAGCCTTCGACGCACGAGCTCCGCGGTCATCCCCGCCGCGCTCTTCCGGGGGCGCCCAGTCGCTGCCCCGTGCGGCGCGATCTGGCTCTGCAAAGCGCTCACTGCCGGTATCTCTGCTGTCCTTGGAGGCGATGCTAGGCCGCCCGGAATCAGAAACGTCGCGGTTAACGAACAGCTTCCCGCTACTGCCGCCAGCGTCACCGTTGGTAGTAACCACATTCCTGGTAGGTCGGAGGTCTGAGAGGTGATCCGTCCTTGGGATCGGCTCGCTCTTGGTAACTCGAGAGTCGCGATTGCCCCGGGTTCCTCGCTTGGTGTGAGTGAGCAATTCGAGGGGGCACGCGCAAAAATGGTGCAGGTGGTCTCGAGTTGGATTCGACGACGGCCAATTGGTTCTGGTTAAGAACAGTTCAGAACACGCATCCAAGCTGTGGCAACGTCTACCTGCCATTCTGCGATGATGCTATGACATACACTCGGAGGTGTATGCACGAACCGACAGGGGAACTCTTCAGATGACAGAGGCTAAACACCTATTCTCTCGTCTGAAATGCTTTTGGGCTTGGGTGCCGGACAGCCCCTCGTGAAATCGCATAACATACAAGGTTCCCGGGGCGACGCAAGAGGACATGGCCAATCAATGTCATCGCGGTTGCATGGGTGGTCGTCATGACGTTCGGTAGTGCCGGTTTGCGTGCAACCTGCAGACATACAAATTTTGCCTCGATATTGCATCATGTGCGGGGTACTTTGTTTTCTCCCGCCGTAACTTTTCGCTTGTGCTTGTGCGCGAGTGTGTGCTTTTAGGCTAGCGGCGTCTTTGCTGCAGGTCCTGCTGCTGTAATCCGCTGCATTAAATCATTTACTCCTTCTCTGGTCGTGTTTCCTATGGTCTGTGGGACTTTTTCACGGAAACACCAACAACGGATCAAAGAGACGCTCAACGGCCAAAGAACAGTCACAGACCTAGACCGCTCCCGTACCACAACTTCTATATTTGAATTTTTCGATATTTCTGAATTGAAATTTAATGACCGCTGCCAGAGTTGTGCGAGAGGACTTCTGTGTCGCGTGGTGTGTTCCCATGAGCAACAATAAGATCTTGGTCCCCGCTGCGGGTACGCATGCGCCAATTGCTGTGTGGTGGGTGTGTACACAACAATCACAGCAGCTGTGTGGGCGCGTGGGCGCGGGGCGCGGGGCGCGGGGCAAACAAAAAGCTCTGTTTGCAGTTTTCATCCCGCTCGAGGAGGCTTTTATGGTTCGGATTCTCAACCCCTGAAAAAAGAGCCAGTCCCAGCGACTGTAGGCGGTCCTAAAGCGCACCACCCTGTCTCGCGAGCCCCACACGTAACGGGTAATGTACCAACGGGTCCTCTGCGTGACATGCAGAAGAAAGTGCGAGAAAAAACGCTGTCCCAGCAGAGAAAAACGACCCCCAACACTAAAAAGTTGAAATGCTACATATGCATATGCGTACCCCAAGAAAAAGTGTAAAATCACGGGAAATGGGCGAAGTGCAGTGTACCAGTGTTGGTGAGATCCTTGGAGCAGCAGCTTACAAACCATTTGTCTTGGTTTTTTTCCACGCTCAAAGTGCTGCATAGCTCGATCCGATCCAGTGTTCGCGTGTGTGTGCATGTCTTTCATTCTACATACATACTGTAGGTGCTAAAATCTGCCCTGTGTGATGTATACAGCAACCTCGCCGAACGACATGCATTTTGGTCCCTTTTCGAGGGAGAATCGACGTTCCGTGGGCAAGATGTACTGAGTTTAGCACAGCGGCCACGCTTGCAATACAAACAACACAACGCAATACAAACCTTCAAGAGCCCCCCCCCGGATGCCCAATCAACGCATGGCATACTGTTTGGTTTGGCACAGCAAACGCATGGAAGACGATCAGCTTCTGGTTCATCCATGTGAAACGTAGCCTGGGTCGGCGAGAACCAGGCATGTCGCTCCATCCCGGCATTGTAGGATGCGAGGTCATGTGTTTACATGAGTACACCCCCCCTCCACGACACACTCTAACTCACCGGCGGGACTCGCGGCTTTTCCAACGTGGGGCTTGGCATGCGCGACCTTGTGCTCCCAAACGCTACGCCAGACTTGGGTACCGGCTTGCGCTCGCGGCGTAGGGTACTAGGGTTGCTTCCGCCCTGCATCCGTGATGCCCCTGAGCCGGACAGAGATTGGGTCCGCCGTATTATGTCGCCACTACGACTGGTTGTCCCTCCGCTAGGCCGCCCCCCCGCCCCCCCGCTGCGTGCAACACCGCGCTGGTGCTGGTGTTCTCTGTCTTGGTGCTTCTTGAGGCGTCGAGTCATTTCCTCTCGTGGTCTTTCGGCGGCAAGGCGGTCCCGCTCTTCGCGGTCTTCCAACTTTCGCCTCAATTCCTTCTGTTCCAGCAAGAGGTCTCGGCAGAGGTTGCTGAGCTCGTCGAAGTCCGCCCGAGGGACACTATCACTGCTTTGTGGTGCCGAGCTTACCCCCTCCGCTTCGAAAGCTGGTTTCCTGGTCGCGCTCTCAGCGCCTCGGGCTTGTCCCGTCGTGTCCAACCGTCCCTGCGGCCTTCCTGCGTCACCGAATCCCTGACGATACTCGTCAAAACGCCGCGATGATGTGTGGGTTCGGGCCTGGACGTCCGACGCCAAGTCTTGGCGGCCGTCTGGAGCATAATCACCAGCATATACAGCAGTGTCTGTCTGGTGTGGGTGCGCGTATGGCCTCATGTAGTCTCCGCTAACCTGATCCCGCCTGTATGCTGGCGCACCAGGGTGCCCCTGCCCCCCCCCCTCGTACCCGCGATCATTGATTCCAGGCGGGTTCATCGATGCATATCCCCCATTCATAGCGCTACCGTTCGCCGGGGCTATCGCTCCTGCCCGATCAGAGACGTTGCCGCCGCGGTGCTGGTGCTGGTGCCGGCCAACTGTAGCATGGCTATGTTTGGCGGGGGGGAGCCTACCCGGAGACGGAAGGGGATGGTCAGGCGACTCTTGAAACTGTGCGTGCTGCTGTCTACGCGGTCCCGACATTCCCTGCAAGCGTCGCACTTCCTCTAACTCCAGTCGCTTTTCCTCGTCCAGCTTGGCTTTCTCGGCTTCCTGTGGCGTTGGTTGGTGGGGGGCCGCGCGCAGGCTAGTTGTTACGCTTGGTCCTTGCGTTGTATCGGCAATTGTTTTGCGATGCGATTCACAAAGCAGTTGCTTGCACAGCAAGTGGTGCTTACGTAGCACCATCGTAGAAGCAGCAGTGAGGGTTACAGCAACCGGTGGCATTAATCTTTTTCCTCCTCCCCAACAAGGCAACGGCGGCACCAAGTCCCCGACAGCAGAATGACCATGGAATGCCATCACACAAGAGCGATGCATCTGTTTCCGGTACTTCCTGTACTTGAACGCACTGAAAACGCTGTCAACTACGGAACTTGAACGTCATCCTTCCCAGAGTAGTAGTGGCAAGAACACGTAAATAACAGTGATTGGATTCCTGTACGACAAAACACCAGCGACATAGGTATTGCGTTGATATTACCTTCCTCTTCTTATTCTCCTCGATCTGGTCCTTTAGCATGTTTCTGTACTGGCTCTCTTTCTGGAACTGCTGCTGCCGGACGTGGAGCGGCCTCCCGTTCATTTCAGACAGCTAACGATCGCGGAGCAAGTTGGGGGGCAGCACACAGCACACTGGCGATATAAGACACACCACAGCACGTATGTTGGCCAATAGCATCGAATCTACTATGTGGGCGATGATGATCTAGGATGTGGACGACCTCCGTCGGTTCTTCCGACTGCCCGCGCGATCGGAGTGTCGCGTGGAAATCGAAACCGCACGTGTATCGGGCGGACACACGAGTAGGTTTGGAACATCTTCTTAGAGCGAAGTACGAAAGCTCATGGTAGAATGTGAAAGGTTGTCGTTCAGCTGCCCTCCCGTTCCCGCCTCTAAGTAGTGGCGCAAGCGAAATCATCTTGCTGTTGCAGAAATGTTAAGGTGTGAAACACCGGTTGAAACAAAACGTTCACGACAAGCGGACATCTACGTTGTAAATACCTCCATGTACTACGTACCACCGCTGTTGACCTCGTCCCTCAGGACAAGGCTATTTTTATTGTCTGAACCGCACATGCACTTACCGCCGACATGTACGGTTGTTTCTCTTGCTGAGGAGAAGAGGACCCCTCGAACCGGGGTGCGTACCCAGGACACTGATTTAGCCCGTGTACAACCTGATTCAGTCCCGGGATGCTGAGGTCGTCTGGTGCCACCGAAGACGAAGCAAGACCCGGAACGTGATTTCCAGTGTTGGAAGGCAGGTTGTTATGTTGCTGATGGGAGGTTTCTTGCTTCATGCGCCGCTGATCGTCAAGAGATCTCTTGAACATCTCTTGCTTCTCCCGCTTGGAGAGTGTGTCTTGCGAGAAATGGAGCGACATCGCCTGTCTCTGCTGGGTAGGTGCCACCCGCGTTTACTCCGTCCGGAGGGTGTAACCTGCGTGCTGTGCTGAGAGATGAGGGCATGGGAAGGGCGGGGTGGTAACACTTTCAAGGTTAGATGGAATACAGTGAATCATCTCTAGCGTGGCAAAGCGGACGGGCGGTGAGGTGCTGGTGTGCTGCCGCTGCTGCTGCTTGCTGTATACTGCTGCGACTAAGTCAGGATTTTGAGGCGTTGGACGTTGGATCAGGATTTAAAAATGGAGAAACCGTTGCAAGTTACCTTACAGTCCCGCGATCAGTAGCGGCGCGCATTGTACGCGAAACACAGCAACGAACACATGAACCACTCACCACAAGTCCCACACAGATTTGCTACCGCTCTCTCTCGCTCTTGCTCGCTTTATCACGGAGCTGGTCTGTCTGTGTTGGTTGCTCCACACCGGACGGGCGCTGGTGCAGCGGCGACGCAGTCTCGTGGGTCCCCACAGCAGGTACCCAGGGAGTACATAGGATTTCCACATGCTTTCGAAACCGTTTTTTTCGTCTCTCTCTCCATCGGTCCACTCCAGGTATCTCGCCGCCTCCCAGCGAGCCCATGGGTAGTCATGTGAGTGCTCTAAGAATTATCAGCGTCGATGCACTGCTTCCTGCCGCTTGCAGAGCAGGATCAATACCAAATCGCCATGCAGGTGCTTGTGGGGGATGATCTTGCTGATGCTCTGATCCAGACGGCTTCGTCGACCCTTCGGAATGCCGCCACCTCCAACGCAAACCAAGACGCATCTTCCGACGATGTAGCCCGTACGACTACCAATGGCACTAGCGCGACCAAGAGCTCCTTTCCATCAACCTGGTCACCTGGCAGCAGTATCCAGCTCATACCGCCGAAACTGAGTGATACGACCGACAGAAGCTTGTTCCGAAGGGCGCGACTAGCAGTTTTCGACCCGCATGGGTATCGACATCAGAGAGGCCTCCGACGGCCGCTTTTCTACAAGAGCGGGTACCTCAGCTGCACGCAGTGCAACGGCATGACCTTTATCGATGCCTCGGCCCTGCGAACCATCCTCGAGCTTAAGAGTTTGGTGGATTTCGGGAAGGTCCGGCCCGAGAATCTGCCTCCGTGTGTTGGGTGTGGCGAGACGGCCGGCTTGCGGGTCGGGGCACATGACTTCTTGAGTCTCATCCAAGGTGAGAGCTATGTACAGTACCGCAACAGCAGGAAGCGTGTACTCCAATTCAAAATTTCAAACCACAGCTGTGTTGGTGCTTGTTTGTTGTGTGTTAGGGCGCGCATATTTGTGGGTTTGCGGTATCAACACCTCACCCCAAGAGGGCAACAAAGTTTATTTGACATAAGCATTGCTGCTTGCTGTATCTTTCGGTGATCATGTCATAAAGGCAAGGAAGGCTGTACAAGCCATTCGACGCAAACTTCAGACAGATATGTACCCTGCTGGAAATATACATCCGTAGTGTGTTGAAGATACACGCGGGTGTACTCTACAGGTTAACGCGTTTTTCCACAAAACGGGTTGCGTGCTGTGTCTGCCAGGAGGGAAGGAGGCGCTAGCGCGTCGACGGCGGTTGGAGCGAATCGCCGCAAAAATGCTTCAGCGTGCTTTCCGACGACACCTACACATTCAGTGGAGAAAATCCGAAATCGTACGGCAGCGCACCATACAGCTGCTTCGGTATCGCTCGGCGCAGGTTATCCAAGCGATGTTGCGGGGGCGTTTGGGCCGTCGCGTGTTCGAAACGGAGAAGTGGCTCAGGGTAGTGAAGAAAGCCCACCGGTTGCTCATCAAGCACGCGCTGGACCACTACCCACATCGAAAAAGGGTGTTTTGGTACAAGAACGAAGCGGAAGAGCGACAGCTGTACGCTGACTACCGAATGCTGGTGCTGAGGACAGGTTTTCGGCCGCCACGCATAGTGGTGGAACAAAACATCCGCGAGATTGGTGAGACCAAACTCCGCTCACATTGGTGAGATCAAGTCCGCGCTGTACCGTTGTGTTGGTTCCTCTTGTGGAATGCTGCTCTCCCCTTTCAACCGCAGCAAATATGACGCTATTGTAAGTCTCTAGGTGTAGAAACTTTCTTCCCTTTGGCGTGAAACGAGGCACATCTTTACGGATGCGTTTTCATAGAAGACATTTTTGATGACTCCCACGTGGGTCCATCTTCCAACATCCATGGCTCTACTCTCTGTCCAACATCGAAACTCCAACACGCCGGGGCATATCGTTCGCAGCGACGAGAGTGCTAGAGAGAGAAGCCGAGCTAGTGGGGCGCATCCAGGCGCGGTGGAGGGGACTCAGCGTTCGACGCTACTTGGTCGTATTCCGCAGGGAGCTGAGGAGACATCGAGAGGTGCGCGCGAGCATGGTCTTCCGTCTTCAGCGCACCGTAAGAGGTTGGTCTCACCGCAAGCGCTTTTCCAAGCTCAAGTCCCAAAAAGCAGAGCAGAACATTCTGGGGGACTATCTAGCCACGAGAGCAACTAAGAACAACGACGACGCGTGCACGGAGGGCATGTCAAGGCTCCGCAGGGCTTACGTTACGGAAAGGTATGCCAAGGCCTCGCCGCCGTTCGATTGACGTCGGGTACGGATCGCTTTTTGCTCTGAGAGGCCACGTGCAAAGTCTCCACGCGAGGTCGACGTCTTTTTCGACGACAAGGCTCTGCCGATGATTCCCAAAACGTTTTGGAATGCCGCAGTACGTCGGCAGCTGTTGTAATCGATGAAGTTCCCCCACAAGATATGGTCTGACTGTTCGGATGAACGCTTCGCCGAAATTCAGGCAGGAAGAGCTGACGGCACGTTTGATGGGGCACTCCAACCCGAAGCTAGCAGGTGGCTTGAAGATGAAGGCGTTCTTTGAAAGTCCTTACGGAGACGACGTGGTGTCGGGGCTGATGAACCATCAGGTACATCGAAAGCGTTGTACAATAAAGTGTAGTGGTGTTCATCACATGCACGCCAAGAACCCTCTGACGAGAATAATCAAGTGTTGTCAGGCGCTATGTTGACCGAAAAGTATTGTGTTGTAATTGGGGATGAACGGTAGAAAATAGACATCTGGGAGCCCCGTTCCTGCCGGTGATGCCAGCACCGAGAGTACAAAGTTACCAGCAAATTGACATCGACTTGACGGTGGCGGATTAAGCGCTCGACCTTTGTCTTAGAAATACGTGTTAGCTGCCTATCTCGATGCGGCCAGCGGGCTTGGTCTCGTAACTGATTCTAGATTGGGTTGTTGCCCACGGCAGGTCTGGCAAGCATGGCAACAGAAGAGAGATCTCGAGCAAAAGGATCTTGAACGACAAAAGAGGGCCGAGTGGGTGCGTCTCAAACAACTCGAAGACCCCCAACTGGCCATGTGAGAGTGTAGTGTGGCTTGCATTGTCAGTTCCTCGGCACTAGTACTGCTGTTACTTTGCGCGATGAGAAACATTTTGCCTACGTTGCATCGGTGTGCATCTTTACTACTTCGCCGTCCGTCGTGGAGGACTTCCATGTGCATGCATACTGTTCAGAACAACGAGGTTGATGAACCGCGGTGACGGTCGAAACGTCATCCAAATAGCAACGATTTTCTTCTCAGCAAGGCAACGACGAGGCTCAATATCTGCCAGTACGTTTCGAGGAGCGCATTGCCACCACCCACGAATTGCCTGTTGTTTATCGTCTTCCTACCAGGTATTTTAAAGAAGAGATGACAGCGAGGAATGTGTACGTGATCAACAAGCTGCGTTGGGACCGGCGTGCTCTCAACAATGTCGCGTCCGCTTTGAAAGACTACAACCGAACCGGGGGGCGAAAGTACGACTTCCCAGAAACCGTGAGTGCCAGCCACGCTGTTGGCGATGGAACACCCTTCGATAGGAATACATCGCCGTCGTTTCATTCACAACCCGTGGCTCTCCTCCAGTTGCTGTACATGCTCTATGGTCGTTCCTCTTATTGGTTTGAGAGTTTCGACCCGGATTGCACTGATGAACTCTTCTATAGACGGGTTCCGCGAGGACAAGCGTGTTCACGATCTCAATGATGACGAACCCATCAATCGAGCTGGGATTCGAAACATAGCTGCCACAAGGTTTTCAAGTTTACAAAGGAACTGCTTTTAACAGTAGACGGGGCGACACGGCGACACCACGAAGTTCATGTCGGTGAAAGAGTAGTTAGAGTTTAAGAGGGACCGAGGAAGTGTGGAAGAACAAGACACCCTGGAAAAAGAGGGCTTGCTTCACTTGCACCACACGCAAAGCGTGTCGGTTATTTCTTCGACTAAGGCAGTCGATCCCGCCTGCGTGTCATTGTTGACAAGCAGGTTGGCCAAGATCCGACAGTAATACTTGTAGCCTAGCCTAACGTTTGTACCGTTGTACCTGCTTGTTGTCGCCGGGCAGATCAACCAAGACCCGATGGCCATCTTGTTTGAAAGGCACTCCACGGATGGACAGGCCCTTCTCAGGCGATATCCCAAGGGCAACGTTTAGCTTGACTTCGAGGAGCCGAGTTGTTGTAATAATCTCCACACAAGTATCGTACTGAGCCTCCATTCAGTACCTCCTCCACTACATCTCAAGGGGACAGAAAATCAGGCGGACACGCTCCGAGCCCTAATTGGAGTGCCACCCCTCAACTCGACCTTCTACAACAAACCTAGGATGCGCCTTGTACAACCGACACACAAGAGCACCTCAGAAGTGCTTGTTGCTTACGTGTGTATGTCAGTACTACATGTGTTTCCCATGCCACCAGCCAGGCCTTATGGCCCCTGCCGAATAAAATTTCAAAATAGAAGGCGGGTGCTGGCAAACATGACCTATACTATCCTTTCTCGATGACACTGCGAAGACCCCTCTCGGCGGCTCATCCGACCGACGCGTGTGTGGAAATATTCTCCGTCCCTAGGGAGCCCGTCGCGCGCAGCCGTTCACAACCTAGTCTAGCTCCGTAAGTAGGCTCCTGCGAACCCAAACGCACGTGCGACCATTCAAGAAGCAAAAGCATCTCTTGCACTCATCAAGGCATGAACGAGGCTTCTGTGAAACGAGTACTCTGCAGCGCCTCCACCCTTTACCCCTTCTTGATCCCTCAATCCCTACTGAGGGATATGTTTTCAATGCAGGACAGTCCCGGTAACCTTTTCGCTCTTTCGTTTGGAGGATCACAGGATCAACGGCAGACAGGGCACCAAGGGGCACACTCAAACCACACACGTGGCAGGCACACCATTGCACACGTACGGCCGTAAGGCGTGAGGACATCCAGATCGCACACCTGCCCTATCAGCCACGGTACATACACCCGCAGTGGGCTGCTGCACACGGTCGAGCTAGTTCATCGGTGTACCCATACTTCCCTATCGCGAACATGACCTTCTTCGCCGACCACTATTATAGTGCTGAGGCACCGAGACTACACAAGCACAAAGCGGACGACGACGATTGGCTAGACTAAAACCACCCAAGATGTGAAAACTGTCCCTCTACGCGCGACGATCATCGTTGCACACAAAATTGTTCTTCCTGTGGTGGTCACGGAAGGGATGGGCAGGGTTGGGTCGATGAGGCGGTTCGACGAGTGGACCCGAGGGGTCAGGAATTCCCCCAGCGAAAACTCAAATCAGTACCCTCAGAATGAAACCAGAATGTCGAACCGACATCACCAACGCCAGCCATTCATCACTGTCCCAGAGTACTTCTTTCCCAAAGAAGGATGCGAGATCATCAAGCCCAAACAATTTCGATAAGAGCATCGCGGTCCGAAACAAAAATAAAGTAACCAAACAGCAGTTTGAACTACAGCTAGAAAAATCGAAAAATTAACAACTCGAACAGCCCTTCTGAAGAACGTTACCATTTGCTAACCCCCCCTAGATACCACGCAACACACGACAGAGAACTTCCAATTTCCGAGCGTTCCAACAATCACACAAAATGAGGCTACGATTCGAAAGTACCTTCGCCAGTAGAGTCCTACGTGGAAACCAACCCCGCACAGCACTTCAAACCCAACAAAATTTTACCCAATGTATGCATATGCGTACCAACCTGCAACAGGTTCGTGCAATTTCGAACAACGGCAACAGGCAATATATAGTCTTAGTTCAACAACCCATGAACCGTTTCACAAGCTGCACGTACTTATGAACCCCCCCCAGCACCCCACATGGCGACTCCTGGGTCGCCGCCACACCGCCAATCAACAGAATAAGAAAAATGAAAACGCCTAGTGAAACAACTTTATCGTATCTACAGCGAGGGAAAACACCGACCTAGAAAACATGCCGCACCTTACCCTGTGGCACGTGCTCTCAGGCGGCAGAGTAGAATTGCATACATACCCGTTGGCGACGCTGTACGTAACGTATGCAACCTCCACGGATCTATGTGCGGCAAATCGGGAAGAACTCGACTATACTGCCCGCACTTAACATATAACTATTATGACGGGACGTTCAACAGGTCTAATGCGACACTCGAGGTGCTGGCTCCTCGGGACAAAACATTCTGGAAAAATGAATAACGAGCTTTACAGGGTCAAAAGGCTGAGCCGGCATAACCCGAACTACACAGTTACTTGTCCACAAAGTAAAGGGGCAAAGGTTAATTGTCCGCAAACGTTGGTTACCTTCCTTTGATTACGTCATCGCTCGCCCTCGTCGCCTGACGGGGGCTTCTGGTCAACCTTTGCCTCAAGGCTGGAGGTTCATCTCTTGCAGCACGCTCTCCTGATCGACGGGAGTCACCGCGACGCGAACCCATGTCCGCTTCGTGACACACCTCGCGCCCGTAGTCAGGTTGCTCAGATGCAACTCCTGGTTTTGCAACAACACACAAATTAAGAACGACCAAATGGGGTGGTTATGAAATACAAAAGGGAGTTGCGGGGTGTGCTGAGGGCCGATCAGGTCCAGCAAGGGCCGTAGCAGGTAACAGAAAACAATAACAAATTTTTATCTCTTGTGCCAGAGTCGAGGTTTGGCCTCCTGTGGACAGGCAACAGATGAGATTCGCACATTTGGCGAAGGATCCTTCCATGACCGGACGGTTTTGCGTCACCTTTGCCCCCAAGACTTACTCCGACACTGCTTTCTGTGCGACCCTTGAGTCACAATTCTCTCGAACCCGCCCATAAACACTCAAGCCTCGACTCTGGCAGATCACAATAGGTGGGCGGTCTGCAGGCATCTCGACGATAGCTGCAGCTTGCTTTTCGAAATCCTAGCAAAAGTGGTTCGGAGAATTTCACGAGGCGGCCCGAAAACAAAGTCTAGGAAAAGGTCAGGTTTACGAGAGGAGGGAAAACTTTCGCGACAGGCAGCAACGGGGCAAGACGCCAGCAATCCATTGCGAACACCTTCAAGTGCGCAGAATGGCGACGCCACCAAGTCAAGATCGCCCCCCCCCCCCCCCCCCCCTTTTCACCCGAACAAGGAAATGGCCCCTTGCCCAAAATTTGGGGGGCTTCGACAAAATGCATTTGGGCTTTTGGGGTGGGGATGGGGGTGGTGGGCACGAAGGCCTTCCGGGAGCCCGGGTTTCCAAACGACACCCTGGAATGGTTGGGGGCCCTCCTGGCGTCCGTGGTTTTTTCCTTTTTGAGGTTATATTTTAAAAGGGGGGGGGGGGGGGGGGGGCGGGGATTGGAATTGATAAGTTTTAAATTTTTTTT